TAGTCCATTTAGAAGAAATACAATACTAATTGTCATGTGTCATGGATTGTTGAAGTTATATAATAACGAATTATCAGATGTCAAAGTACGGCATGTGCCACTCAGGGCAGAAGGAAATTTTGGAATAGAGACCAAGCAGCTGTTCTAAACTTTAAACACATCCTATTCAATCTTAGGGAAGTAGGTGAGCACCCTACGCTCTTTTCTAGTAAAGTTATTGCTTTGGCAATTTCATGCAGGTAAAATTCTGAACAATAATTTTCTATTCGCCAAAAAAAAAAAAAAAAAAAAAAAAAAAAAAAAAAGGCTCCAGAGTCTGAATGATTTTTTTTCTTATTGGTCTGAATTTATTTTGCATCTGTCCGATATTAATTCCAATTTGTCTGAATTTATAGTGTAAATGCTAGAATAGATTCGGATAACTATTACTCTCTAAAAATATAATTGCTCTAAGCATGTAGTTTGGTTCGTTCATACGCTCTTTATAGATTTATTAGCCAATATATAAAGACATGAAAATGACAAAGGAACAGGAATGGGACTTAGAGTTCGGAAATTTAAAAGACATCGGGAAAGCGAAAGGTAATAACTATAGTGAAACTGTCAATGTTTATACCCTATTTTTAGAAAATATTAGATCAATAATTCGGCTTTAAAAATAAGGTTCTGGATGATAAGATTGGCCAGCCATAGTAACTGATATAGGAGGACTAAGCAGCCCAAGCAAATCAAAGGAATCAAGCTTAAGGAAAAGACCTCTGCTCCCATTGAATCGATCGAGGTCCAAAAAAGAATCCAAAATCACACCCAAGAATTTTATTATGGGTTGAATCCAGTTGATGCTATGTCCCTGTTTGTTTCCAACCTGTGAGTAACCCTGTAATTTATGATTTTATCAATTATGATGGTAAAAAAAAAATAGATCTTTTGGAACACTCATTTTTTTTTTTTTTTTTTTTGTATGTATGTATCCCGTATCACGTTCTTTTGTTATGATAATCTTCTGCTTAAAGACAAAAAATCAAGAAGACAATCAATTAGATTACAAAGGTAATGTGTTGACTATTATATTTTAGATCTGGGCAACTCCAAAATTAATACCACAACGTTTAGCTCCGACCCTCTTAAAAAGCAAGTTGAACGACAATCCCCACAAGTAAAAAATGGATCGAACATTGGAACAATCTTCTTAAAAAGTATGTTTCTTAAAATATTTATTGTGCATATAGCGGAGAGCACAGCTATGAAGCAACAAAAGATGCTCGAAATATTTATGCGAGAGCTTTTTTTTAAGATTAGACTGCAGGCAGCGGGGCTCGGAATGGAAGAAATCTATCACAACAATATGAAGCTAATCGAACAAAAACATCCGCACCCCTTGTCACATTCTTGCCGCAATGTCTGGTATCGATATATTCATAAGAAAATTCCTCATAGATCTATTCTACATAGATTTATGCCAGCGTACTTTCCAACACCAGTTTGTCAATTATGCTCACATCCATCAGAAACTCTTGATCATTTTCTATTCGAGTGTCCTCTAAAACTGCCCGTTTGGCAACAAATCTGGGATCAACATATCTCCCCATCCTCTATCACTTTGTCGACCGATATCCTGCGTGTTAGTCTTCATACTTTTCGTGCCCTCCTGCCCAATATGCCACTTCTTCCTGATTCTAGCCTTCTCGCTCTCTCTGCTACTCTCGAATCCATTTGGTTGTGCCATTGGGCTTTTGTCTTTAACGACACTCCTTTTACTACTGCTTCCACTATCTCCCTCGCGTCCAAAAAGATTTTAAAATCTCAACATGAAGCACTTCTTCAATCTGGCACCCCTCATTCTCCCCCTCCCATTTTCTCTGAGGACAGCTTATACTCCCTCCATTGGTAAAACCTTCCGTTGCTCAGGCTTCCGCTAAAACTGCTTTGATTTATTTATTTTTCTAAATTTCAAACTTGTACATATTTTAACTATAACAAAAAAAAAAAAAAAAAACTCTAAAATAGAAAACCCAAAAAACACAATTGTGACTATTTCCCTTTAATATCACTAATAAATCACAGAGACTCCGTCTCCATATAAAAAAAACATCCGCACCAACACTGCGATGTTACACAAGCTTTCGAAACTTAATCCCTGCGATAACCTGTTGGGTCGGTAAGTTACATTGTAAATGAGAGAGCTGGCTCAAACTAAATTAAAATATAGGATACATCGGTATCGTGTTTGCTGCATCGCAAGTACATGATGTACAATGTGTATATATTGTTGTTGAGCATCCTTTGACTCAAACTATGAGAGTAATGGATCTGTTCAAGGATACATTGGACTTTATTTGGTTATTTAAGGATCAGAGCTTGGGTTTATTAATCGTTGTTGCGCCAGCTGTTGAAAGGTCGTAGAAGACCAGTAAGGCTTGTTATTGGTTCACAAAATGAGTCTTCTGTCCGTCATGCGCCGACTTTTCTTTACCCTCCAAGAAAAGAAAGAGAGGAAAAATTTATTTGCTTTCCTTGTAAGTAATAAACTAGGAGCAAGATGCTTTTCTTATGTTCAAAAATTGCAGCAAATAATATAACCAACGGTTTAAATATAGAATATTTGCAACTTGTTTTAACATATGATGGGCGGACTTTTCTAGCATTCGGTAGTAAATGGAGACGGGGAAGCACAGTGGAATTGTAGGTGCGGCTTCATGAATATAAAGAAGGTTTTATTTTAATTTCAATGGGCCTTTAAATGGTTTCACTCAAGTGTTGTATCTGAACTTGAAGTGTAATATGAGGTTTCCATATTCGACCCGACTTCTCCGACCAATGTGTGGTTCATCGAAACAATGGTAGATTACTGTCAGCAGTGTCTAAGGTGAATTTCAAACTATTATTGGTAACATACTTGTTTTCGTCTGCTTTTAGAAAAGCGATGATAAACGAACAGCAGTGGTAGGCAGTTTGGTTGTTGTAAGGCGGGAATGCAGGATTGGTGTTCAGTTGTAAAACAGTCACCTTTGCGTGGCTTTTTTCTAGTTTTTTTTTTTCCGGCGAACACAACCAAAGTCTGCCTGTCAAATTTTTTTCTAACCTTTGTTCATTTACCAATATTATTCATAAATAACAATGGCCGACAACTCAGTTATCAAGCCTACCGCTACAGCCCCTGCCATTGATACTTCTAACTGGCCTCTTCTTCTCAAGGTTTGTCACTTACAGCCAGTACAAAACGAAACAACTCCTCTGACTTATTCTATTTTATTTTAGAACTACGATCAATTGAATGTTCGTACCGGTCATTATACTCCCATTCCCAGTGGTTGCTCTCCCTTGAAGCGTCCTCTCGACGAGTATGTTCGTTATGGTGTCATTAATCTTGACAAGGTAAGGCATAAACCAGCCTTTTTCATTCCTAAAAAAAAAATTTTAACCGATGTTTATGTTTGTGAATAGCCTGCTAACCCTTCATCTCACGAAGTTGTTGCTTGGATTAAGCGTATTCTCCGTGTCGAAAAGACCGGTCACAGTGGTACCCTTGATCCCAAGGTCACTGGTGGCTTGATTGTCTGTGTTGATAGAGCTACTCGTTTAGTTAAGTCTCAACAAGGTGCTGGTAAGGAGTACGTCTGTATTCTTCGTCTCCACGATGCCATTGCTGGTGAAAAGAAGTTGTCCCAAGTAAGCTTTCTGTCATTTATTTTATCAGTGATTATACTGATATTTTATCTTTTTTTCCTTTAGGCTATTGAGACCCTTACTGGTGCTCTTTTCCAACGTCCCCCTCTTATTTCCGCTGTCAAGCGTCAATTGCGTGTTCGTACTATCCACGAATCCAAGTTGCTTGAATTCGATAACGATCGTCATCTTGCCGTTTTCTGGGCTTCTTGTGAAGCTGGTACTTATATGCGTACTCTCTGTGTTCACTTGGGTCTTTTGCTCGGTGTTGGTGGTCACATGCAAGAACTTCGTCGTGTTCGTTCCGGTACCACATCTGAAAATGTAAATATTAATATCTTTTTTTATACCTGTGTGTGTGTGTGTAGTGATAGTGGATGGGAATATTAATCTGTTTTCAAACTTTAGGATGATATCGTTACTATGCATGATGTTTTGGATGCTCAATGGTTATTCGACAATACTAAGGATGAGACCTACCTCCGTCGTGTTGTTCGTCCTTTGGAATCTCTTTTGACCAGTTATAAGCGTGTTGTTGTTAAGGATAGTGCTGTTAACGCCATTTGTTACGGTGCCAAGTTGATGCTTCCCGGTCTTTTACGTTTCGAGAGTGGTATTGAGATTAACGACGAGATTGTTTTGATGACAACTAAGGGTGAGGCTATTGCTCTCGCCTATGCACAAATGACCACCTCTGTTATGGCCACTTGTGATCATGGTGTTGTTGCCAAGGTTAAACGTGTTATTATGGAGCGTGATACATATCCTCGTAGATGGGGTATGGGTCCCGTTGCTCTTGCCAAGAAGAAGCTTAAGACTGAAGGTAAACTTGATAAGTTCGGTCGTGTTACTGATGAAACCCCCGCTGTCTGGAAGTCCGCATATGTCGATTATGCTAACAATGCTGACGGTAAGCTTCCTGCACCCGTTTTCGGTACATCTTCAGAGACTATCGTAGCTGCTGCTGGTGTCGCCCCCAAGATCACTGTTCTCGATGTTGCTGCCAAGGATAACGCTCCTGCTGTTGCTGCCGTCGTTGCCGGTGTCAAGCGTGCTGCTGAAGAATCCACTGAAGATACTGAGACCAAGAAGTCAAAGAAGGAAAAGAAGGAGAAGAAGGAAAAGAAGGAGAAGAAGGAGAAAAAGGAGAAAAAGAACAAGGATTAAAGCATTCTCTTATATATATATATTCAATTTTTTACTCAATTTTCAAATCATGTATGCTTTCTCCTTTCATTAAAAAAAAAACTATAAAATTTCTTATTCATATTACAAATTTTATTGTTCTCCTTCTGTAAATGCCCCCTCCCTCATTGAAATAATAAAAAAGCTTTTTCTCAAAAGTAATCATCGATCCATAATAGCCATTTTTATGTTAACCGAAGCACACCCCAGCTGGACATTTATATGTTACAAAATAAGAAACTGTCGGTCACAGAAAATGAATTTATGGAATAGCGGTTACAAAAATTAATTCAGATCAATAAAAAAAATTTCAGACTTAATGAAATATTGTGTATTTATGGATGAAGCATATTCAATTAAGGGAATACTTACTATTATTCCTGTGCCAACTCAATAGGGTGAAAACCTCAGCATTATTAGCTGTATATCACCCTCGGTACTATCAATTTTTCGAAGGTGGAGCCTTTGAAACCGGCTGATGTACCCAAAATTGAGAAAGAGTTTCCTTTGCCAGCTAGCAGAAAAAGAAAAGCTAAAGCAGATGATAAGAAGAGTGTAAATCCATTAAAACGTACAACTACGCATCATGTCGTTACTTTGTTTCGAAACGTCATGGATATCCTGGACAGCCACTATAGGAATGATTCTTATATCGTCATGAATAATAGCGGAATCCATCATTCTCATTACGTCTGTGATGCAATCGAAAGTAAAGTCTATAAACCTTTATTTATGCCCCCCTATTCCACATTTTAATATGTAATTGAGAAGTGCTCCGCTTTCTAATTTGGACACTTGGACACTTTTAAGGAAGCCCGCGAGACCATTACTACAGAAGATTGTGTTGGTTGGATACGACACTCGGAAACTTACTGGAATAATTGTTTAAATAATGAATCAAGGCTAATTTAGTTTCATTGTCTGAATTTTGGTTGTCATATTTCTGAAATTCTTTTTCATTTGTCTGAAAATTATTTTGTGCTGATCTGATAATGAAGATTTATTTGTCTGAATTTAAAGTGATAATATTATATAATATGACTTTCTGGGTACAACGAATTTGGGACCCAATATGCAACCAGGTATAAAGGAATGACATGGTAAGTGTCAGAGAATATACTCATCCAAAATGTCCAAGTGCGACTGTTGTTTTAAGCATAAAAAAAAAACTAACATATTTTTTTGTCATTGATATATACACACTATATCCAGCCTATAATCTACTTGACATTTAATGCAACCCAGCACTGAAACATAAACCATTAACTGATCAAAATATTAGTGTCTACTTCCAATCCACGCTCCCATCTGATCTTTCCGGATAACAATCTATTTCAATCCTTCCTTATAAAAAGGATCCCCTTTTCCATTTAATAAAAAGATATCTAGTTTTAGTCTCAAATAATTTAACCGTTTATTTCTTGGAATATTTCAGTCATAAATTATTTAAGTCTGAAATTACACAAAAACTTACGCCCATCGGCATCCCATATTATGTTTCAATATTAGTGCATGCTATTACTTAAACGCTGATAGACTTGGGGGTAATTCCAGATGTCATAATCGCCAAGTTAAGGATCTAACGTATGGATGATTATTAAACTATCCTAACATAAGCCAGCTCTTGTTTATAGTTGCATAAATAAAACACACATTTTTATACTAAACTTCACACAAATGGCCATTTTATTTCCAGAAAAGTGGGCGAAAGCAAAGTGTTATGGCTAAAAGACTTATGTTACTATAGGCATGATATGCGAAGAGCAAAAATACGAAATAAAAAAGGCAAGTTATCAAATGTAAAAGTATGAGGTTTAAGTTAAAGAAATGAATGTAAGGAGAATCTTTGTGTCTTCGGATTACAATCAGTCAGTTAAGATGTGTACAAAACACAAAGCTACGGGGTCAAAGTAACAGAGAATACGTGGAATACATACATATAGTATAAAAAAAATTATACGAAGCTAAAGCAGTAATAATCTACAAAGATACAAGGATGCTGAGTAAGCTTTGAGTTATCAAGTTGCCCTTTCTTTCACCTGAATGTCATGTGCTGTGGTTTAGTACGTTTGTATGTCCACAGATTGTAGCAGATACATACAAAAGACCAATAGTACTGTATGATTACACAGAGAATGTACTGATGCACACCATCTACGAGTTGCAAATATTTCTCCCACTCATGCACACGGGTTTAAGTACTTTTTGCAATGTCGCATTATTACTGCGTTGAATTCGCACTCACTTCAAAAGACGGAACGAAGCCCATATTGATACAGAACTAAATACCATGTCCTGTACAAGACTGGTCATTTAACTTTATTTTACTAGATGTTAACTCTTAGAATATGACTAAACAGCAAAGCATGAGTAGAAGTGCTGAAGTTTCTTTACTTTGGAAGGAAGTCAGGCGCAAACTTAAGAGTGCTCTATGTCGGCAATTGAATTAATGCGCGAAAAGAAAGGAATTATTACCTCTTAAATTCACATCAATTTGGTGTTTTTTATAAATCGCATTGAACAAATTCCATTCAAGCCTCTATCAATAAAATTATAGTTAAAAACTAGAGTAGCATCCCTTTCATTGATGTTGTTCATACCATATCCGATTCAAAATTAGGTTTTTGAATTGACCGACAAAAATTAAATCTTGTCTTTCGACAACAATTATTTTTATAACCACCAATTTATCTTATTATACCATTTTCTGTTTTTTTTTTTTATGTAAGGGGATAAGGTCTCTAATTAAATTCATTAGGAGTAGGAAGAAGCGAGGTAGTCACAATTGTGCTATTGCCCATTCCAAGACGTGCGTATTGTATTTTTTATTCGATTCTTCTGATCGCATGATTACTTTTTTTGCAACCGACAATATTTGCCAGCCGGACTCTATAAAAACAAAATAACGTTAAAAGGAAATTTTATTATATCTCCTCACACTCCCTTTCTCCTTTATTGATTACTACAAGTATGGCACCAAACATACTAAATAAAATAATAGATTATGTAGAATGGTTCTACCATCATAAAATTCACTTTATTCAATTGCATTATCTATATATTTTAACACTTTCATTCCTCACTTCTACGTTTTTTTACTATCAAACTGGAACTCACTGGAATTATATTGATGCCTTATTTATGGCAACATCTTCTGCGACAAGTACCGGTCTCATCACCATTGATATGTCAAAACTTACAACTTGGCAGTTGTTAGTAGCATATGCTGCTTCATTCATGGGATCCCACGTCATGATATCTATTATCGTCCTATATGTGAGAAGGCACTATTTCTCAAAAAGATTCGAGGATATTTTGGCATTTAATAGAGTACAGCAAAATCGCGAAGCAAATAGAAGAAAATTTGAAAAAAACCTCCAAGAAATGGAAAAACAACGTAGAAAGAGCCTTAGTTCATTGGATAAGCGCAAGAGACAACCTTTGCGTAAAAGATTATCGTTCTTATCTGTAAAATCTTCCACAACTGGAATGAACGATGAAGAAAATATTGAATCAACCGTACCGACTCACGGTCCGAGAAAGAAGAGCCGTTTCAGTACACAACGCCCATTGTCTATGAACTTTCATCATTTCGATCTTCTATCGCCGTTTAAAAGAATACATCATCCCCATGAAAATGGTACTGGCCCATATCTGGATCCACAAACATCTGACATTCGAGCGATGGAGCCAGGTATAAGCGAGATATTGGTAGACCCAAATAACGGCACAGACACCCATACTGTGCATTCAGCAACTAGAAATTCTGAAAATAGAAATAACCGACATCAAACATTAACAAACGAAAGGGACATCTCTAACAATGATAACACTCTTTCTCCGGAAAATTTTAATACATCCATATCGCATTTATCTCAACTAAGTAATAATAGTGAGAGAAACGAAGTTTATACTTTTCCTCTTATATATCAAGGCGAAAGTGAAAACACAAGCAGTAACCAATATACTAACAGTATACGAGGTAATGGCGATGTAGAAAGTCTTGCCAATTCGACCGAGACCACTTTATCAAATTCATCAAGTCACAATTCCAATTCTAATTGCAGCAGCAGTTCCAGTGATAATCATAACTCTGGTACACTGGAAGAACATTCTGAAAATACAGTACAAGAAGATACAGTAGCTCATACAGCGTATACAGCAAACGATAGCAATAACAATGCTGGATCTTCAAATCAGGGCATTGCATTTGCGGAAAATATTGAAAGGCAAAGAGAAATTGCACGTCGGAGGTTGGAGCAAGATCGAAGGTTTGATGATATCTTACAGAGAATAGCCGGCAATGAAGATTTGGCAGGCAGTAACAATCACTCGGTTGACCAGGGTATAGAGATCGAACTTGAAAGTGATGACGAAGAAATGAGTAGAATAATGCGTGAACCTGTACATAAGAGCGACTTAACAAAAAAGCAGAGATATAGACTTGGTGGGGCTGAGTACCGGGCAATTGTGTTTTTAACAAGGCTAGTACCAATTTATTATTTGGTTTGCGCCGTTGGCTTTGGTTTTATAATCAGAATTTATGTAGCCGCCTCTACATATGCCCAAGACATACTGAGAACCACAAACTCAAATGGTCCAGTAAATGAATGGTTTTTTTCGTTCTTTTGTAGCATGTCTTCTTTCAATAACCTTGGTTTAATACAGGTTGATGCAAGTATGGTTCCCTTTCAATCTGCACCCGGATTATTGCTCCCAATTATATTTTTGGTTTTTGCCGGAAATACGGCATATGCAATATTCCTAAGGCTCATAATATGGATATTGTATAAACTGACCCCGAAATCGCATGTCATGAAAAAAGAAACTTATCGCTATTTACTGGACCATCCGCGTAGATGTTATACTAGTCTGTTTCCAGCTACCCATACAAAATGGCTAGTCATTGCTCTGATTGGAATTACTGCAGTTGAGTTTACCACTTTTATTGCGTTGAACTTCTACCTACCAGTATTAAGTGGCATTAATTGGGGTGCTCGTGTTTTAGATGGTTTCTTTCAATCTGTAGCCAATAGAAGTGGTAAGTGGGGTACCCATGGAATGACCTCATGTGCTTACTTCGATTAATATAGCTGGTTACAGTATTGTTGATTTGATGGAGCTAAATCCAGGAACTCAAATTGTATTTATTGTCGCAATGTATATCAGTCCTTACCCTGTCACCATTTCTATGCGTAACAGTAATGTTTATCAGGTAAATATAATTTGCATAATTGTTCTTGTAACACGCAAAATACTTAAATTGGAAAGCCAATAGGAGCGATCCTTGGGAATTTATGGCAAACAAGATGACAACGAAGACGACTATGAGCAGGAACCACAGGGTCCTGGACTTTTTCCTAGGCTAAAACGATCAGCTACTTTTAATAGTGCTCTGACAAGCTCAAAAAAAGTTCTAAAAAAACCTGACTTCTTCGTTATGACTCAAATTCAGCGACAGTTAACAAGCGAAATTTGCTGGGTCATAGTTTGTATATTTGCTATATGTGTCATTGAATCGGAGGCCATTCTTGCTATAACTCCTATCACAATAGCATCAATCATCTTCGAGTGTGTGTCTGCCTTTGCCAATGTAGGTGCCTCCACCGGTTATCCACACACAACTGCATCACAATCCCAACAATATCATCCTCTAAGTAAATTAGTTCTTATTATTTTAATGTATAGAGGAAGACATAGAGGTAAAATGATACACGCCGAGGCTTAAATCCTTTTGGCTGAATTTTTTCCCCTTCTATTTTTCAGGTCTTCCAGCGACTATAGATCGTGCCATTCTATTGCCCTCGGAACAACTTGAAGAAAAGGAACATCAGGATCATCTGCTCCGTAGGAGAAATACGTCTATATCAGTTGGCGATAACGGTGGAGAGGCCGTCATGTTTTATAACCGTTCTCGAACACTTTAATATACCCATATTACGTAATAATCGTGACTTTGAAATATCTGGGCTCCATTTGCCAAGTCTTTACTCCTTTTTAAAGCTCCTTTCTTTTTCTTATTCTATTTTTCTCTTTATTTTAATCTTTTTTTTTTTTTAATGCGGCAATTTTGGTTCAAGATTTACTCGGCTGAGCGGGATGAGCACAGGATTTTTTGGTTGGATGTACCTCATGACAAGGAGGAAGGTGTTTACAATCAGTTAAAGCATGATGTAAATATAACTCTAAATAAGCACTTTTTAACAACGAATAACTAAATTGACAAAACCATTTTAGGTGCGACATGTATTTGGTTTCCCTGAAGATTATGATTTTTACTTCACACACAAAGATAATGACAATGATGAAGTTGCTATAAAAGAGAACTACGAAATATTGAATTATATGTGTCGGATGGAAAACAATCATAAATTGAGGCTTTCGGTTACACCAATCAATCAAGAAAGACAACATATTCCTGATTCAAACTCAAGTGATAGTGCTTCAATAGCTTTAAACGAATCCTTCCAATCTATCATTAAAAATCTGGAACTTGGCATGAACAATTTACAGGTAGCTGTTGAAAAAAGTGCAGTTACTACAGTTGAGACAGTTATGAAAACTGCTGCTGAGACTGCTGCTCATGTTTATCGTTCTATGCTACCCCCTCCGACACTTTCTGAAAAGCCTCAATTTGATGTTATCTGCGATGGATGTTATACGCCTATTCGAGGGTAACCTGTTATATATCATATAAATTCCTGTTTTATTAACGTTTGTATTGTATTAGTCAAAGATGGCGTTGTGAAACATGCGAAGATTTTGATTTATGCAGTACTTGCAAATCTCGTGTGGTTCATGACAAAAAACATAATTTCCGATCTATCAATAATACTCCACAGCATACTCAACCAGATATTGTGCCTGATCATACTGATATGGATTTAAATGATCCCAAACCATTACAGACTATCTTTATCTGTGATTATTGCGATTCAGATATTGTGGGAATTCGTCACACTTGTGGGGCTTGTCCAGGTAAAAAAAAAAAAAAAAAAAAAAAAACTTGATTTTTTCTTAACTGATATCATTCAAAGATTTCGACCTGTGTCATTCTTGCTTTGCGATTGTCAAGGAAAACCATCCGGAGCATGTATTTGTCACTCGTCTTGTTGGCACACAAGCTAACATATGCAATCAACAACCTAAAGCAGCGAAGCCTAAAAAATCTAAGACGCCATTTATCCCACGGGAGTCATCTGATACTATTTATCATCGCGGTGTTAATTGTGATAATTGTCAGGATATCGTTACAGGAATCCGCTACAAAGTAAGCTTTACATAATCATACATCAAGTACATGATAACCTAACTTTATAATAAACAATAGTGCGGACATTGTGTAAATTATGATTTATGTGAAACGTGTGAAGAATATGCCCTGTCTATTCATGATAAGATGCACGCTTTTATCAAAATCAGATACCCCATACAGAGCATTATAAAGAAGCCCATCTTGCCCAAATTTATGCCTCTAGGAGATGTGGATCGAGCCTATAGTCCCAGTACCTCCTCTGCTGGTCCGTCACAGGTTCAAGAAATGACAATGATTGATTCACCGAAATTAAGTGTTAATGAATCCAATACTAGTATGAGGTCTGTTTCTTCAGTAGCAGTTTCTACAGTAGAACCTTCAACATTACCTATACCTGTCCCCGTAGACCCTGTTTTGTCTGCAGAATTTATATCAGACATTAATATACCTGATGGGACTTTAATTGTCCCCAAAAAGACATTCATTAAGGTTAGTCATACAATATATCAAAAAGGGGGTTTATGTCCAAAATTCTAAACTTGTTTGTTTTATTTACAAATAACATCAGATGTGGAAGATAAGTAACAATGGCAATACTGATTGGCCCATTGGGACTCATTTACTTTTCAATGGCGGAACCATTTTAAGACCACATCCTATATCACGCCCGGACAGTTTTGTGGTGCCGGTAATATCACCCAATGAAGAAACATGTGTTACTGCTGAGCTCCAGGCTCCTGATTGTCCTGGTGACTACTCCAGTTACTTTTGTTTGTGCACTCCTGATGGAGTTAGATTTGGTGATGTGTTATGGTGTACAATCAAGGTTGACCAGGATGATGAACCTGTCGAAATGGCACGAACAGTGTCGGCGTCGGACATTATGATGAATTCAAGTAATTCAATGATATATCCAATCATCTCCACAGGTCATGAAGATGCTCAAAGCAATGATGGATATACCGACCAGGATGGATATTCTACATCAACAAATGACCAAGTATCAACAATTAATTCGGCCAGAAGTTATACCAATAGCCATGTAAGTAGCCCATCGTCTTCTGAAATTGATGTTGGTGAGCACCACTGCAATGACTATTTAAGTGAAGAAGAGACAAGTGGTACTGTTCACGAAATGAGTGACAGCTCAATAAATCGTACATACCAGGTAGTGGGAGAATCAGGTATAACTCTGGTTCAAAAAAATATTGAGGAACAAGAAGATGATTTTATTATGATCGATGGTCAAGAAGGAAACGACGACGAGGAGGATGTCTTGAATAGAAACACTAATAGTCTTAATTCGTCTGTACATTCTTCACAAACTGTTACTCCCAGGCGTGAAACTATATCCGACGAGGTGTTGTTCAGATCTCAACTATTACAGTTGCACGAAATGGTAACATTATGAAAGGAAAAAAGTATAGTATTGTTTGTTAACTAATAATCACTTCTCTTTTTTGCATTATCGTAACTATTTAGGGTTTTACATCATATGATGATTTAGCCATAAGTCTCTTGAAGGCTAATAAGGGTCATGTAGAAGCCGTAATAGCTAAACTTCTTTACTACCCTTAGTTTCATATGTATCGGCTGATTGTAACTCTTTAGGTTTTCGAAAGCTTGCAAATATTAATAAATATTGTTCTAAATACTATCATCTAAATTTATTGGTCTGACTAATCAAATAAGCAAAATATAAATTTCATTTAAATTGCTGGTACATACCTGCATACATAAAGTAAAATACATACATTACTATTCATCAAAAGAAATCAAACAAACCATATCCCTTTAGAAAAAAAAAGGACTACACACACTTCACCAAAACGAGAAACAACAAAATAAATCGCTCCCGGGTGGGCTTGAACCACCAACCTCCTGATTAACAGTCAGACGCGCTAGCCAATTGCGCCACGGAAGCGGATATGATTCTTGAATATATAAAAAATAGATATACAAATAAAACAACATATAGATGTCACGTGATAAACACGTGGATGTATTACGATTGGTTGAAATGTATCCGTGAATGCGGAAGGAATTGGGATTTGTTAAGCGCTTGCCACCTCTGTATAGTTTATTAAGATTTTGTTCGAACATGGGCATCTTTACGATATGTCTAATAAATAGATAATTACTCTTTTAATATATTTACGTTTTTCAAATACTATGGGATTCTTAATATTGAAGTGGTTGCAGTAAGGGACAAGATGGTAAGATAGTATCAAATTTATTTTCTCCATGATTAATACGAGTATTACGACTGATTATAATCAAATCTGATATAGAATATACTAGTTACTAGATGATGGCTGATACAGTTCTTGAAAAACTTGGTCGTCGATATAATAGGCTTTTAAAATCAATTCAAGCATTTGATTTCTTTCTTCGAGTTTACCTAACCTTTCTTCGAGCCCCTTGTGGTGTATGCTGCATGTGTGACGAGAGTCATGCTCTTTGCCAACCTCCACTCCATCTGATATGTTTTCCAGCTCTATATTATTGGACAGCAGTTCGCTTTCCTCCAATAGCTCTGGATTATTGACATTGTGATTAGATCGGTTCAAATTGTAGATAGATAAAAAGCGTTCATGCACAGGCGTTACGAAAGGTACACTTTGTGTGTTGGGAATAAGAAAATACTTTTCCAAGTTCTGTTGCCGCTTTCGTTTGCTGTTTGAAAAGATGTCCACGTTTTGAAATATGCCCCATGGCTCCTTTGGTTTGGCCCCAAATAAAAATGCATATGCCGTTAATAATATGCCAACAATACCACCCATAACACCGAATGCTGATACTATCGTAACATCTCTTTGTTCAATGATAGTTTTTACGCTAAAACTCGCGGGAGATATGATTACTTTTCCCATAGGAACAGGATCCAGATGGTCTTCGTATGTCCCACGATTTACAGTTCCTGAATGAGTTATACTAAGCTCAGAGGTATCAAGGTACTTAGGAAATATGCCAACAAGATTCCACCAACTATCAGGATCAAGTTTTTTGGTGTATACAGTCTCAAATTGGATGGATAATTCAGAATCCGGATACACAGAAATAACCTGGCTGATAACGTCACTTTCGGATCCGCTATACAATTCACCAACGATCCATTTATCTACGGCGTATACATCATAACTAGGTATATTTTCATTACTAAAAACAACACGATTTGGATTTTTGTTAGGTTCATAAAATTGGATATGAATGGCCTGCGCTTCAGTGTAATATATCCCGTAATGTTTAAAATGCAAAGATGGCTCATCTTTAGACACTACAGTTACGTCTGATATGCTTTCATATAAGTAGCATTTTGTATCAAATATCTGTTGAGCAAAGGATGGTGACATGATATGATGACTAAGTACGGTTATATTGCCGCAAGCGCTATAATCTACAGAATTTTCATGTAAACAGTTTGGTGTCGGAAATCCAGATCCTTCTGTATCAGTTCTATTATCGTAAACCCATCCCACATAACAGAAACGAATATCTTAAATTAAGTTAGATTATAGCTACGGATTACTGTTAAGCTCACCTGGAATTGTTATATTGTCTAACTCTTTGTAATTATCTGTAGTTGATAACGGACTATTTAGAATACTGAACAAAAAATAGAATATAAATGCCATGAGTATGACACCCAATATAATCTTGACTAAAAATCCATAAAGTAATGTAGGGAAAGATTCTCCTGGTCTGTTTTTATTAAAATTTTGTTTAGCCTATAAGAAAAATATGTTTAAAGTATTTGACATGGTGTTACCTTCTGTTCCAAATAACGGTGAAGACAAAATTAGTTATGTAGCAATTCTTGCTTCTTAACTTCTTTCGATTTATAATCATGATACTGATGGCAATTGAAAATAACACTGTACAGGTGCTAAAGATTATCGAAATAATTGTCGAGGCACTCAATGAACTTGATGACTTCACTGGATTAACATCGTCAAGCAAAGTCGATATGGCAGTCAGTTCTATGGCATTATTTTTATTGACCACCAATTCACCATTTTCATCCTTTAAGGGTAGCTTAAATATATCTAAACCTTTTGATTCTGAGCTCCTATCTATTTCTTTAGCACCAAACCCCACGGCTAAATATTTGTCTTTATGGAGAATGGTTGAAGACGCATAACTTCGTGGTTTTACGTATTTGCTTTTGCCACTTTTCTCAACTTGTAACCAGGTATAATTCACTTAACTTAGTACAAGTACCTGAGCTGTTGTGTAATATACCGAACCAGTTTTAGAAACCCCACCAAAAAAGTACGCGAAATTTTTATCACTAGACACTTGCACTGTTCCTCCTTCAACACCATATGTGTATTCCCCAATCACAGTTAATTTTTTTAGCTCTGCTAGCCAGATCTTACTTTTTGTATCCAATACCCACATTTCATCGAGTGCATGATAGGAGTCGTTATCATCTTTCCTTCCCATTATGGACCCAATGTTACCGTCCCTGAGATAAATTTTGATATGAACAACATAATATATTATTTAGTATTATTATTTGTTATACTCAAGGTAAATTAAATGTAAAAGGGCTTATAGAGGAGTAATTAAGACCATTGTAATCACCCACTATATCATAACCATGCTTTACTGGATCGTAGTACCAAGTATAAGGTGACAGTGTACTTATCTGGTAATAACTTATACCGCCCATTGTATAAATCATTCCATCTGCGCTTAAAACCGTGCTATGTAAAGTTCGCAAATTGAAGGCTATCGACAATGACGTGTTATAACTTGGTGGGGTGGGGTTGGTAAACCAAGTAAAAGTTTTAAAGTCAAAGATGTAAGGCCGAACGACACGGTCACTTTCGGGGACATCCATGGTGGCATTTATAAATTCATTTGTCAGTATCATCATATGTGTATTATTGAGCATCACAGCACCACAAAATGCACACATGGGGCCGGCATTTTTTTGTTGTACCTTTAACATGTTCACTACACCTGTATTCACATTAAAATCATGAGCGTACATGTCGTTGGAGCTTCCAACAGATAGGGCTGATTGACCACCGTAAACATACATTGTATCATTTACCATAACTGTGGATCTTCCAAATAATCGAGGACTAAATTTTATATCTGGGTCATCTATAGTTACTGGGTACTCTGCTCCGACAAGAGTTAAACATGTTCGAAATATGATTAATTGTAAAAGGTAAAGTAGCGATAATAAATCGACGTTTCTAAAGCATCCATAGCGTATCATTTTTTTTTTCAGAAGAAAGAAAACGCCCCATCCATTCGCAAAAAGAATTGTTATAGTCTTTTTGGGTCTGTATCGCTATCAACAATAATAAATGGTGGTGTTACAGTTCCTAAGCCGTTTATAAATTCTATTCCCAGCAATACATTGCCATTGGTACGTTGGTAGACGGCACACGGAAACTTTGCACCTTAAGTAATCCGATACAAGCAGATGATCTATATCACACAACCTGTTGAAACTTTTAATTTTCATGTTAGTTGTTTACTTTTTCGGACAAAATGTAAAAAAATGAATTTTTGGACAAACATTGCTTTTTTTTTACCTGTAATGATCTTAATTCTTACTTAAAAGGAAGCCGTGTTTGATACGGCGATACGATAATGAGAGCATGTTAGGCTTATTGTTTAGTTTTTTTATTTTATTTTTTATTTTTATTTTTATTTTTTTGGGTTTAAAAGCCTCTGGTCTTCCTTGGCCTGACCAAATCGCCTAGTGTATAGCTTCCGATATTTGCTCCCATGTTTATACTTTTTAGGTAACTTTGTTTTTTGCCTTTCTTTTCTGCTTACGCTTATAATCGATGCGCTTTTTCTCATTGCACAAGTGAGCAGCTCTAAAATCCGCAAGTTCGTTTTTTTTCTTTTCATTTTTATTGTTGCTGACAAATCCCTAATCTCTAATTTAGAATACGTGATCAGGTGTAAAGGCGAATGCAGCAACTAAGCGTGATTGCGATATGTCATAACCAGGGAAGTAAGTGATGAGTATGGGATTAGAATTTTTACTGTACGAAAATGAAATACGAGCGTAACAAGCTTAAGCGAGAAACAAACTGATTGCAATATAAATTTCAACATAGAGTGAACAGTGCCATAGGATACTACAATAAAAGTGGGGAAGATAGAAAATTAATTGTATTTCTCTTCATTAAGAGGGTAATAACACCTGTCAAAAGTGAGCATTTAGGGACAATTGCACCTAAAAGTGAGTATTTGGGTCAAAAAGCAAGAAAGTCGCAATGCTGACACTGTTACGCAAAAGCACAGTTTTCTGTTGTATTCACTCATAATAAATTAAAAATATGTTGTATGATTATGGTTTATTATCCCCAGTACGACCAGTAATGCAGCACATACTTCCACTATGGCGGTGATTTCCACGGCCAGTCGCGCTTTTCGTGAGACGAAAGCCCACTTTTCTCCGCATAGAATCTTTAAATTGACATCAATCAGCTGTGATTTAAACATGCAAGAATAAACAAATAAAAACGAAAAAAAGAATACCAGTTTACTTTTCTTTACATTAAAGCGAAATAACAATGTACGAAAAAGAAAAAGAAACGATCGAGATTGGTATAATTGGTGCTGGTGGCATGGGTCGTTTTTATGCTCAAACATTCTCTAAAGCCGGCTGGAAAAAGTACAAAGAGAATTGTAAATTGGGTTGAATATATCGCGCTAATCTTACTTCTGCTCATGTAGCGTGAATGTATGTGACCTGCCAGAAAAGTATGAAAATTTAAAGAAAGACTTCGAAGGTAAAATATAAACCTACTTTCAAGAATAGGATAAACTGGCTAAAAGATCCTTTTTTTTTCTTTCTTAAAGGTACGCCAATCAAGGTATTGCCTGATGGATTTCATATCTCAAGACGTTGCGATTGGATCATGTATGCTGTCGAGGCAGAGTACATCAATGCTGTAGTAAAGCAATATGGACCTGGTAAAGTCTTTTTTGTTTTTTTTGTTTTTTTTATACTAATTATGTGTCATAATTTTTTTTTGTATGTCAGCTACCAAAATTGGTGCTATTGTTGGTGGGCAGACCTCCGTTAAGAAGCCCGAGATCGAGGCATTAGAGAAATATTTACCTGAAGATGTCCACATTATTTCTTGTCACTCTATGCATGGTCCTGGCGTTGATCCTACAGGACAGCCTCTGATTGTCATTAAACATCGTGCTACTGATGAAAAACTTGATTTAGTACTTAAGCTTCTATCTTGCTTTAAATCCAACATTGCACAACTTACAGCTGACGAACATGATCGCATTACCGCGGACACACAAGCTGTAACCCATGCTGCTTTCTTGACTATGGGTAGTGCATGGAGAGCAAATGCTCAATTTCCCGTAAGTATTTCTTTACAAGTACCTGCCTTATACTGATATGATGTGTATATAGTGGTTATTACCCCATTTTGTGGGAGGTATCGAGAACGTCAAAGTGAACGTAGCATTACGTATTTATAGTAACAAGTGGCATGTTTATGCAGGTAAAATTATGAGTCTATTCTCAAATTTGGATTATTTCCCTAACATTGTCTAATTTAAGGTCTTGCTATCATGAACCCTATTGCCAAAGTCCAAATCACACAATACGCTAAATGCGTAGCAGATCTATTCAAATTGATGATTCAAGAAAAGGAAGAGGAATTCCGAGCACGTATTAAAAAGGCAGGCGAATTTGTGTTTGGAGGTCTTCAAAAGGATCATGTTCCCATTCTTTTAGATGATCGAATTTTAGATGAATTTTCACTTTCAAAGATACCCAAAGAAAAGAAGCAACCCAATTCCCATTTATCTCTTTTGGCCATGGTGGATTGCTGGCATCAATTAGGGTTGAATCCTTATGAACACATGGTGTGTCAAACGCCATTATTTAGAATGTGGATGTAAAGGAAAACAATAATTTCATCTGTATAAGATTTTAATCGCTTGTATTTTGTATATAGGGGTATTACTGAGTATCTGTTCCGTAATGCAAGCATGTTGGATGAAGCTATCAATGCTGCTTTGTACCGTAAAGAAATCCGACCTGATGATATGGAATTTGTGACATGTGCTAGAGGTTGGGCAGAATCCGTCTCTTTAGGAAGCATGGAAGGATATCAAAAAAGATTTGAAGAGACCGCTGATTTCTTTAGGGATCAATTTGCTGAAAGTACAATTGTTGGTAATCGAATGATTTCAATGATTTCCAAAAATATTTCGCAGTAGTATCTGTTCATCGCATGAATAAATGGAAATGTTTTTGCTTGTACAGTGATTTTACTTGCTTAAGGGCTTCTAATGCATTTGCTCTGGAAGAGCAGATATCCATTTTTTTTAAGCAAATGTGGTTTATGAAATGCTGCCAACAAAAATCTGTTACAAAAAGTAAATTATACCTATAATGAGGGTATTTAACTTGATTATCTATGATACTGAAATATGTAACTTTTTATTTATCAAATCGATAATTTCCCAAATGTTTTGATATAAAAAGCAGCCTCTCTTTTGTGATGACTTTCTCTTTATAGCGTTACTAAAGGTTTAACAGAGAACCTTTACTTTTTATTGTTTTATTATATCTTTAACCTATTTCTGTCTTAAAAAGTCACGTCCTCCCAGTCATTCAAAGTCAGTACATTATCGTCAAACCCTATCTTCCGGACATCTACAATTGATTTGTGAAGCCTTCGTAATCTCTCCTGTTTCCAGTCTAAACCCACACGCTCCGATTCATTGTGATCAGTTTCTGCTGAGTCTGATCTGCATTGCACATCTGTTGAGTTTGAGGCCGAGAATTGGATCGAATCAACTTCGCAGATTCTAGCAAGCGCTTTGAGCTTCTTATAATTCAAAAGTAATGCTCTTCTGAGCGACAATACTACTAAAAAAAGCGAGCTGCTTGTGGTGATTTGGGGGCAAATGTGGGGGGTATCGAGGCTGAATATTTGTTGTAATGGATAATTTTTCCGTTATCAACCATACGATAACCATATTTTTTTTTTAAAGGAGAGAAATTACTGTAAACATTGGGCCGACTTACTATTTCTCACAGAGGTAAGACACCAAATTTTAAAAAACAAACTCATCCTTATCGTTAGTGAAAGCTCAAAGAATTGTGCACCTATAGATTTCATCATAATGATATCGGTAGGGATTGGCAGGATGCTTCGCCAATAGATCAGAGTCTTTCCTCTTAGTTTCATGGCCTTTTCAAAATCTTCTTCGATTGTATTATAAGTAAAGATCTAAGCACTATGGGTGCTTAGATAAACAATTAAATCAATTCGACTGCCATATAAAGATATATTTGTTTGTACATATGTCTTTATTTATATTAAACTAGATCACAAATAAAAATACTTCTGGCAACATCGTGGTTTTAGTACTAACGTTCTTTACCTCCAGAAATACATCGGGCTTGCTTCCACCTTGCATCGTCTTGATGGAAAATTCTAGGTGATCGACTTCTGACTTTTTATTGATCTTTTACGTATGGCGATTGTTACTGACGGGGTGAGTGTAGTCAAAGTAGGTATTATCTATAAATCAGAGGGCTTCCAAGTCTTTGGTATTAATCTTATATAAGTAAAGGCTGTACAGCCAATCTTACCCGTAATACCGCCTTCAGTTTCTCGTTTGTTAATTAAACTAGTTAGTTCAATCATTAACCCGATGTATATAGACTTTCTATGCCTCCGGTGTTGCAGTGTTCTCCAAAATAATTGCATATCATTTTTAGATATATTTTGTCACTTTTGAGCGTTTCGGATGAAAACATAGTCGGTTTATTTAATTATAATAGTGCGACCGGATAGATGAGGATTATATGTCAGATAAATATGATTGGATAAGAATATTTATCTTATATAAAATTCCAATAAAAATAAAGTAGAAATAGAATATTGTTTCATTGATAGAATTGTCATGAATTTATATAGAAAAAATAATTTAGGTTTTGGGCTAAGTATAATAGAATGATAGGTTTAGATTTATTGAGGTGGCAACTTTAAAGTGGCACCTTGATGTGGTCCTTTTACATCTTGCCTTCCGGTCCTTTAATATTAATTATTACATTAATGTAATAGTGAGGGAGCGATTAGCTATCTAATAAAGTGAGAATTGGTGGACTATCAACAGATATATGTCAAATTTTTGAAAAATGATGCGAAAAAAAAAAAAAGAAAAAGAAAAGATGGATTGATCTGAAGGTACGATCAACGGATGGGTGGCGACGCAACAGAAAACAAGCAACTAGTGTTCAACGAGGGTAATTATACCAAGAAGAGCCATGATGCGGGTCTTCGGGAATATTTTATAAAGGGTGACACAGGGTGTCAATCGACCAAAAGGCGGGTGTTTTTTGGTGGACAGAGAGTTCAGGGCAAAATTAATGCGATTTACACCAGTAGTGGCGTGATGAGCTCTTTGATTGTCACAAAAATTATGCCAATAATTACGCAGAAGGATTGGAGAGATAGGAACAGGATCAGGGAAAGAGGTATAGAGAGCGTTGGATGTTAGTTTGGTATGAGGTCTTGTTTGAGGGAAGAAATCTTTGAGAAGGAGAGAGTCTTCGTGGAGATTGTCAGAGCTTGGCACGTATTTAGTTACCAAGGTGCTACAGCGGCGAAGCATACCAGGGACAAAAGCGATGTGTTTAGCAACTGTTGTATGTTTACTACCTACGAACATTGACACCAGGAAATTTTTTAGGGTGACTAATTTACCCATATCACGGGCTGTGAAACAAGAAATACCCCAACCATATTCAGTTTTTGGTCGAATGAAGGTTTTGTATAGGCGCGCAGAAATAAGGAGAGAGAAAACATTACAGTGGACACCGACAATGGTAAGGATAGACATGGTTCTTTTGGCTTTTGCGGCACGAGCTTCAGTATTTTTACTTGCAGATAAACCTTTTTTTGTAAATTACATACCCAGGTGACAGAACTGATCAACAGTAGGAATAGTTTCACCATACAGAGTAAATTTTGAGCGTCTCAAAAGGTATGTCACGAGATTTGCAAAGCTCTTGGATCTTGTGTTTTGTCGAGTGCTTATCAGAGATTCTTTTACTCCCAGGAAATTCCTTTTCAAACGCCTCCTTCATACTAACAGTAGTTTTGCTGGTAACAACGGTCTCCTCAAAGGATGAGACCGGAAATTCAGATGCATTGCTCCCCCTGAGTCCCGATCAAACTCGTCCATGCCATTTAGCTTTCTTTTGATGTTCCAAATCAACATCACTAGTTGATTCCTCAAAGCCATTATAAAGGTTATCTATGAGGTTAAGCTAAAAATAAGTACTAGAACACGCAGCGGTTTGTTGCTGATGTCCTGTTCAGTTATCTCGGTCACCGTGAGTTTGTTTCGACAAATAAAAACGATTTTCCTGAAGGTATTTATAGTGCAAAAAAAAAAAAAAAGGTGTCCTTACCCTCGGTAAATTGTCGAACCATGCGCTTGTCGTTTGGGATGTGCTGTAATACATTTTGCTTTACATTTTTCGGAGGTAAAAGAATCGCTATCTCCAATCGTGTATCGTGTAATTTTGATGAAAAGTATGGAAGTATAAGTGAATTTGACTAATTCAAATAGGGCCAAAGCTATTGTATAGTTATTATGATTAAGAACATGCCGAGCAAAGTTCTTGCTAATAATCAATTAAGGCGTTAAAGACACAAAGAGTTTTCACTACCAGTCCAAATTAATGACAGCTGTCTTAATATGTTTTAATTTGCGTGTTTATTTTTTAAGGTATTGCGTCTGATTAAAGCTGCCCATAAGAGTTTTGCTACTAGTTGACTTGTCATATCCACTGTTATCATTTACCCTATTAGCTACTTTCACTATTGCTTTTTGTATTCAAAAATGTGAGATAAAAAGTGTGTAGATTCATCAACTTCTGAAAGATTTATCGATATTCGATAATATTTTTATTTTTCCACATCGTATTTATTGCTTTCAATATTATCTAAACTAAATAAATTACGTAACGGGCGTATTCATTTTTTAAAATTTCCATAATCCGATCCTACAACAAAATATAATTTGTAAATTTGACTCGTTCAATGCTAGCCCAGCATTAACTGATTGTGCGTTGGCGGACTACCATCTTCGACATAACATGACAGTAAGTCCCATTGAATGATATTTTTACTAACTACAATAAAACAACAACATCGCTAACACTTTTTTCAGGTCGGTTCAAAATAGATATGGATTAATCAGGCTATTAACTTTCTTAGAGCTGAACTTGGCCAATGCTTATTATGTCCAATATGTTACCAGCCCTACCAGCCAGCCCCTAAAAAAAGAAAAATAAGAACTTGTGCAATTTGTCATCTAGAAGATTGTCCTGGGGCTTCTAAAAGGAGACATTGCCTAAATAGATCTTATCAATAAACAATCATATACATTTATTTATGTGAAATAATTTCATATTTGAATAAATTACAATAGTTAAATACATCAAAAGAACATTTAATAAAATGAAAAATAATAATGGAGAATTCCCCATTTTTTCTTAGGAGAGCCCTTTTAAAAAGAACAAAATCTGAGTCATAAGCTATGTTAACATAATTTTAATGATTCACTTTTAACTTTTTTTTTTAAAAACAAAAGAGGGTTTATTTATCTACATGATACAAAATCGAAATACAAAAAATAATGGTGGTATATAACTTCTATATGTCTTTTCTAATGTTGCTGTTGTTGATCAGGAGGGCAGCAATTGTTTTCTAAACAAGAGTCTTCGATGCATCGTAATAAACATGTCGATGAGTTATTCAAATCCTGTTGAATGATGTTTTTTTAGTAAACATATTTATGCATTTTGTGCAGATAATTTTACCTCTTCCGAACTATTGTTGATAGCAGAACTGAGTGGTGTATGTCGCGCATCATGTATAATCAGTTTACTGTCGCTGTTTGTCTCATCGTCATCATCAATATGAGTCTTTTCGTCTAAATGGTCTTCTATAAACTCTGGCTGAATTGTGGCTGAATGAATTCCATATCCGTGAAGTAATTTACGGATTTTGGATCCAAGTACCATATAATCCTGTCGAGATCTTAGAAGCACATGCAGAGAGGCAATCAATTTTGTGTCAGAAAGCTGCCAAACATGTAATTCGTGGACCGAAATAACACCATTTAACTATTACAACCCCCCCATCTGCCGGTTAGAAAAATTTGCATATAAAATACTTTTTTTTTTTTTTTTTTTTTTTTTTTTTAAACCGTAAATATTTACCTTTAATAAAGCCTCATTGACATCCTGTAGCGGAACACTATTAGGCACACCTTGCAGTAAAATAGATGAAGTTTGTTTGACTAAAAAACATTTGATATTTTAGTGAATGTAGTATTGTTTGTTTGCATACACAAGTTTTTACCTAATGGGATTGCGGACATAAAAATAATGACTGTGATTAAAGTGCTATGTATATTCTTTCTTGGATTAATATTCATAATTCATGGCCTGAACTCTTTTTTTTTTACCTGACAATAGGATCAAAATAAAATCTCCATTCAAAAGGAGTTAACCAGATAATCAAAGCAGATATAATCACACCAACGTTACCCAAGGCATCACCCAGGACATGCAGAAAGATCTAGCATAAATAGAGGCGTTAGTACAAACATGGACACAGATTTATGTAGACACCTACGCCTCTCATGTTCAAATTTCCCTCTTCGTGTCCATGGCCATGAGATTTAACCGATTCAACATCATGATGATGCTCTTCACTATGGTGATGTTCGGCGTGGCTATGTCCTCCGTGGCTGTGTCCTCCATGACTGTGACCACCATGTCCATGTCCATGATCTATAAGTTACAATGCGTTAGTACCAGACCTGGAGAGAATGAATAGGGAGTGTAGTTACCGTGAAATAAAAATAAACCAACAAGGTTTGCAACCAATCCAGCACCACCTGTAATCAAGACCAATACAGGGCGAGTGACAGGTTGTGGAGAAGCGAATCTTTCGATAGAATCAATCAAGATAGTAAAGCATAAGGCGAGCAAGAACACACCATTTATAAGAGCACCAAGAATTTCGGCTCTTTGCCAGCCATATGAATATTTGGGATCGTAGTGTGTTTTTTGAGCAACCTAAAGAATACTGTTTAGAGGATGTAAGGGAGGGGGAGTAAAATTTACTTTGATAGCCCATAATGCAACACCCATGCTGAGTAAATCATTCAGCATATGAAATGAATCAGCGATCTTATAAGAGAATGGTGTTAGAAGGCATAAAATGTTATTAATACCGTTCAATTACCAATGCCAATGAATTCACATAATAGCCAACGACAATTTCCACAATAAAAAAGCTGCCTGTAATAACAAGCATACAATATATTTTCGCTTCTCTTGAAAATTTCATTTTAGGCAACAAAGAAGAAAGAGAAAGAGAGAGAGAGAGAGAGGATATGAATAAGTTTATTTTGATTTATATATGAGCGTTTTTTTACTTTTAGGGGTGCATTGCTTTTTTGTCTATCTTTAACAGGAAACTCCCATGATTCTCCATAACGAATTAAATGTTGTGTGTATATATATATATATATACCGAAATTTCGCATCAGCAGATCGAGTTGAAATACTTACATGATTACACTTCCTGGGGGTTGATCCCTCCACATTGTGATGGGGCTTCATGCCTGATCTGATGATTCAGTAAATCATATGCAGATTTTGGGATAATCATGTCACACACACACACACACACACACACACACATACAAAATAGCCCCTCCATCTCGTCCTTTTTTATTATTATTATGTTTACAAGACATTCCTATCACTCTTAAACATTCCCCACATAGAAATTCGTTGTCTAAAGTTCATTGTATATCATCATGCAGGGGACTGTTATAAACAATGGAGCCTATTTTATTTGTTTTTGTGTTTACTTATATCTCATTTTACAAAAGTCGTTACTGATTTTTTCCCTTTTTTTTTTTTTACCTTTTGTAAATCCCTAACCAAATGATCTTGACATCAATACAGTCGGCTTGTCTCTAAAGAAAAAAATAGACATAAATTGTGAAGGTGCACATGTTGGTCTCTGCTAATTGATTCATGACCGAGAAAGACAATTTGGTCATGGCTATGCAATGTGACGATGAACTGACCGAGAATTAAGGTTGGGCACAAACTGAAACATAATTTAAGAAAAAGACACCGGAAAAGACATAGTAACAGAGAACCAAGGCCATTTATAAATACCCAAGGACAAATATATATTTATACATATATATTTATTACTTGCAAGCTACAGGAAAGTAGCTGTAAAATTTTAGGTACAACAAAAATCCTAACGGAAACAATTCATGGACTAAAGAACCCTTACTTACTCCAGAGTAATAGTAAAGGTGATAAGTGAGAATTGTAAATATATCTTAAATTTACAGAAAAACTGTGATGACAGTGCTTCCTATGTCATTGATGATGGTTTTTCTTTCGTATGTAAGTTGTATTAAGTGATGCATAAAAAAATTAATAGTGTATATGTATGAAGTCCACATATAGAGCTACTTGATGCAAGAACAGAATCAGAACAATATATGGCTTCTGCTTTTATCCTATTTTCAAGTGTTACTAAATCGTAACGACTGTGTTCACTAAGGTTGTAACTATGTGTCTGAAGATGATCAGGGAGTCGATAAACCCCTTCACTTACGTTATATTATTTAAATATACGACTACAGGTTTGTTTGATATATATTATTACACCCTAAATTGCAGTGCCCGATTTCTGATTTATTATTTATCTCCTGCTATAAATACAGTAGTTCCTGCACTGACGCACCATTATATAAACAGAGTCTCTTTTTCATTTGTCTAAATATCATGTGGTTAACTACCGTATTTTGTTGTTGCGAATCAAAATATGAATAATTTTTCTCGTACTTTGATACAAGGGACACTAATCTCTAAATTTTTGGACTAGTTAGGTTTCAGTCCTGTAATAATGTCATCCAAGTAGTGGGCTCTCTTCATTATTTAAATAAACGTACTAAGCCAACATATCAATAAGAATGTAATGAATAGGGAGCAATGACCAACCCAGTCTTAAATGTGAAACTTTAGCCTTTTCTTGGACGGGATAACTCAGTAAAAGGAAACCATGACATAATAAAATTCATTAGGTAATTTTTTTTGTAGGGAAGCGATGCCAAGAGCCTCATTGCTGTTCCAACAGTAATTAAAAAGGCATTGTACACAAAGAGAACGATAATCATAACTTTTTACTGGCATACGATATGTGAATTGTACATCTACAGTAAATGCTAGACATGTACCCATCATTATCAATTGTATCGACAGTCATTATGCCAGAAAAGATATACGATGACCGATTATTAAAGAAGTAAACAAGAGATGGGTGAATTAGTTTTTTTTTTGAAAAGATAGTCTTGGGACAGACTAACGCCGATGATCCCCGAATTCTCTAGTGACACGAGATGTTGCTTTAATTATCGGATACCCATTGTTCCATTCATAGGTGGTTTTGTACCACATTGTATTCCTATTCACATAAAAATAGATATGCTGAGTATTATATAACATTTCATGAAGAAGAGGAAGAAAGATCACTAAAATCACCCCGGCATGACCCTAACTCGAGCTAGATACATAATATGGGTAAATGTGTATAATCAGATTATCTTTTAAAAAGTTCCCATCAAAACAGGGTACATTTTGTGTTACATAGCAGTTGATTTAGCGCCTTGAGTATGGGGTGACTGTTAAATTTGATTGAAATACTTTTTTGGTTATCAGATTGAAGTTATTTCTTTTTCTTTTTTTTTAATCGCTAGATTTTCCAGAAATCAAATTATTCCAACATAAATCACACAATGGTCTCTAATAATACCTCTGAAGTGAAAAATATTGTATTTATCGGTGCATCTTGTGGAGGTAATTGTTTAATAGAAATTGTCCCTTTTATAGTCCTTGCCCCCGCTAATTTTTTTTTTTTTTTTTTTTTTTTTTGCTCTCTATAGCACTGGGTGCTTGTCTCTCCTGGAACGCTGATCATGTTGAAAACTACCGCATTATCTTGATTGAAGAAAAGACCCATTTCAACCATGTGTTTGCCTTTCCTCGTGCATCTGTGGTATCTGGTTTCGAAAAAGAGCTGTTTGTGCCTTACGATCAAATGTTTAAAGGAGACGAATCTGTTGGTAAAGTCGTTCATGCTCGTGCCACAAGCATCCATCAAAATCATGTCGTTATTGACCGAGAGGTGCCTGAATTCGGCACCAAGATTGATTTTGCCTATCTCGTTTACGTTGCTGGTACCAAAATTCCCATTCCCGGTCGCTTGACTGTCAACACAAAGGCTGAAGGTATCGCAGCCCTTAAAAGTTATCAAGAAATTATCCGTGAGGCCGAACGTCCCATTATTATTGGCGCTGGTGCCGTTGGATTAGGTAAGACATTTCCTCCGCTCAAGCGCTTTTTTTTTTCAAATACCGACTCATCTTTTTCATGTTTCAACAGAATTGGCTGCTGAAATTAAGGAACACTATCCTGAAAAGACAGTAACTTTATTACATTCCCGTAACAGATACTTGCCCAGATATAAAGTGAGCATGGATGTGATGACCTACAACATTCTCAAGAAGGTTGGTGTCAAGCAAGTCTTGGGTGATCGTGTTATTCTGCCTCCTGGTGGATTTCCTTTGAAAGTTAATCCTATTGAAGTCCATACCAAGGGTGGAAAAATCATTCATGGCGATCTTGCCGTAAGTAAAAGCACCCTTTTTTTTTATATATGTGTGAAACTCATCAGTTGATATTAGATCATGTGTATTGGTATGACACCTAATAGCGGTATGCTTGCAGAACTCGCACCCGATGCTATTAATAAAGAAACCGGTTTTGTCAAGGTCAAACCAACAATGCAAATTCAAGATGATAGATTCCCACATATATTTGCTGCCGGTGATGTCACAGACCATACAGATGTCAAGACAGGTCATTATGCCTGGATGCAAGGTTATGCCGCTTTTGAAAATATCAGAAAGATGATTGCTGGTGCCACGCAGGAAGAATTAGAGCCATACAAGAGTAAAGATCTTGCTCTGATCAAGATGATTCTCGGAAAGGTAAGCATCTTTATATTTGATTTAACGGTTAAAAAATAAAAGAAATGATGAACTCATATAAACCCATGTAGAAAGAAGCCGTGATGCAGACGCATATGCTTGGTCCTTTAGTCACAGTGGGTTCATGGATTGCTGCACGCTCTATTCCTGAAAATGTATACGCCACCAGCTCATGGGGTTGGTTAAATGTTCCTTTTGATGAAGAACATACCCACTTGTAAATCCACCATCGTTTCTTCCTCTAACCCTTGCAATATATCTTGAGAATTCTCTAGTCTTCCCCCCCCCCTCACCTCCCATTTGTAATACTATAATAAATTATATCACCCACATTTCTTTTTACAACAAGTCTGCAGAATCTACAGAAGCGGGGATCGCAATTGTTGAGTAACCCTAACTTTTATCAGATCTACCTGAAACTCGGTATTATTTAACGGGACCAAAATAAATTAAGGAAAAAAGGGGGACGGGTAATTTTATTAGGTACGATAGTAGTGCAATGTAATTTTGATTATTAATAGGTTTTTTCTTTTAGTTATTAGCGTGTAAAAAAATAAATTATAATTCTATACACAAAAAAAGGGTGAGTCATACTGCAGCAAAACATAAAATCAATTACACAACGAAAAGGACTTACTGTTTTTGGGGCTTTCTTCAGAGCTCTTACTGATACTGTAACTATCAGCAACTTGTTCATTTGTTTCTCCCTCAGGTTCTTGACCGTGACTTTCCTCCTCGGTTAATCCAAATGGCTTCATCCTCAAAAAGAATCCAAACGCAATAATCGAAAGACAAAGCCCAACAATCGATAAAATCCGTTGGACATGGCCATAAGCAATGGTGGCACCAGCATGCTGTGCCTCGGGGAGATTGTTGATATAATCGATACTACCGAGAATTAAAGCAGGGTCATATTCTCCAGGAGCATGTTCTGCTAATTGTCCAGGCAAAAGAGCATTCCAAATAGCACCAGCAATAGATCCACCAATACTTGTAGCAATTGTACCTCCCACTTGTACCAATGCGGTTACCATAGCAAGGTCTAGTAAAAAAGAACAAAAAAAAAAAAGTTATTATTCGACGCAACTATCTTTATCAAGATGTTTCTTTTACCAGCATGAGGAACTGAACTTTGAACAGCTACAAGAACAGGCACATAAATCATGCCTGAGCCAAAACCGGCAATAATTTGAGTAATAATCACGAAACCCATGGGAGAAGTAGGATAACGAGAGGGAATCATAAGACCCATACCGAGCATGTACAAGCAAATTCCCACAAAGACAATAGGTCGATAAACCTTGAAGCGTTTCATCAAGTATCCAGCAGCAAGTTGAGATAATAAGAAGGTGGCATGGTAACTACGATCAATGTAGACCGACGTGACATTGGACACTCTACGGGTAATTTGAAGATAGGTGGTGAAGTAAGTCCAATTTGTAGCACGAATCGTACTGATAGCAGCACAAGTCATAACACCAGCAATAGGGGTAGGACTTTTCCAATCCCCAACAGGAATGACAGGGAACTCTGCATACTTTCTTTCATACACAACAAACAAGATGGCACAGACAAAGCCAGCGACAAGACAACCAATGGTGGGAGACGTATTCCATCCACCCCAACGTGAGGGACCAAGCACCAGAGGTAACAGAATCATGCAGAGTGCACCGATAAACAAAATACTGCCAACAATATCGAGTTCATTACACACATACTTGAACTTTTCAGCAAAGGACATGCTCTGGTATTTTGTCTTGTCTTTGCGAGGTAAAAGTCCTGATTTCTTGACAGTTTTCTCAATACGATACAGGCCAAATAATAAAGGAATAGCAGTGCCGCCAACACAGAATGGAATCATGGCATATGTCCATCTCCATGAGCTATGTTTTACAATGGCATCGCCCACTAAAGGTGCAACCCAAAGGTTGACCATGGCAGGGAAATCGTAAAAGGCCTGGAACAGCCCTCGGTTTACTGAAGATGTAATATCTAGTGATAATAAAGGAATGCGTTAGATATAAGTTTGGAATTCAGTCAAGAAGATTGATCTTTACCGGCAATAAGAACGTGACCAAGAACAGAGACACCCGATATACCAATAGCGTAGATAACTTGTCCACCCTAGTCGAGGAAAAAAATATATATATAATATGTTAGTTTTTTCTTAATTTACATATTATTATGCAATAATGAGCTTTACAATAAGAGCATCCATGCTGGGAGCAACCGCTTGGACAATGCCAGAAATAACATAAAAGAAAATTGCAATGGCGAATGCTTCCGATCTGCCAATCATATCGGAAAACTTTGCATACATTGGTAACAAGACAGTTTCGACAATATAAAGAACCACACTGATCAGACCAGAGATATTGAGAGACTCGAAATAACTGGTGACAGCAACAGAGGCAGCGTAAACAACGTTTCCCTCCCAATTCTTGGCCCATGCAACCATGATAATACTAATAATAAGTTTTTACTGTTTTAGCATACAAGTTAAAAGAAATATTTATAAAGAGTACCCTGTGACAACGAGAATTTTGTCCCATTTTCTTCCAAGTCTTTTCATTAAAATGACTTTCTGAACACCATAAAACTCTTGACTAAAGTCTCTTGTTTCCTGAGGTTGAGATGTACTTCCGTATCCAACCTCGTTGTTATCCATTTGGGTTAATGAATTTGGACCCTCTTGTTCCTTTTTTAGAGAAGGAAATTTCATTTTACAATATACTGTCTTTGTGAAAAATAAATAATTGTTTGTAGCAGAAGAGAAAAGAAACAATTGTGTACAACAAGAATTTGCAACCTACATTTATACAGCTGTAAAATTATGAATATATCAATTGACCCATGATCTGATAATAAAAGATCTAGCAAATGATGATTCCCCGATTTCTTTTTTTTTTTTCTTAAAATTTTTTATCAGATCTTGCAAGAGCTGAAGTTATTAGATGCCCAATCTCTTTTCCTTCTCAATGGCAGTAGAACAAGCTAATTTTACAAATTATTCAATTGCCTTGTCATAAAACAAGGTTTTTTTTATTTTATTTCTGTCTACAAGATTCTCGTGTGGTTTCCACTTTTATTGATTTGGTTAAGTTGAATTGAATTCTCCGCTCACTTGTTACCCAGACCTATTTGAATCATGTATAAATGGTAACTCTTGTTGATCAAGAGACAGTGAACCCGGTCTCAATAGATAGTAGAGACATATAGTCAGATCGTAACAACAGACAGTGAAACAGACAATGTGTGTGTGTGTGTGTGTGTGTAGGCAAGTACTCACACTTCTACATGACTAATACTAAACCCAAAAAGGGTCGCTTTCTGTGTACATGGAGTAATCTCTTTCAGTGCCATATTTTAATAATACCGCGGCTACAAACATCAAATAAAGGTTGCAACAAAACTCATCCGTAAACACCCTCTCTCATGCACCTTGCTGTGTTACTTAGAACTCTTACATAGAAAATAAAATAAAATTCATACCTCCGTGCAACCGGCTTTAAAATGAAATAAGTTTTGTTTGTTATTTTTGTTCTTTTAGGATTGTATGACCTGAAATGATTTTTGATCTCAAATGTGGTTCCCCACATCTGCACACTGTAATATAAAGTAACGAGAGGCAAAACTCCGAATATGGCTTACTAGTAGTGTCAGTTTTTTTATTATTATTTATCTTACGTGTGTGCAACCATTTTGTAGAGTGTAATGCTTCCCATTTCTTCAAGTGAATTTTATGTCTATCTTTTGCTGGTAGTATCATAAAGAGGAATCGCCATTCCCAAAAAATTGAATCTCAGTTAGATCTGATAACAAAAAGGGTCCCTTCTTGAAGGTCTCATGCTTCTGTTGTACCACTAAAATTTAAAGTAGACATCATGCCATTCACATAATCTTTCGATTAATTACTTTTTTTGTTCTAGAAACATTATATATATTTATATATATATATATCAAGGCAGTTTATCAATAAAATGCTTTCCTAGTATACTTTTTTTTTAGTACATCCTTATAAGCCAAGAAAAATGCTCGGAATCATCTACAATACCAAATTAGATCACCAAGTTTTTGATTTTTTAAAAACCTTAGAGTGGTCAAAACACAAGGGGTATAACCTCGAGATTAAAAATGTCAAAACTTACAGGATACATTTTCTGTAGGGTAAAATGAAAATAAGAGCTCTTAGATGACAATAAGGGGAGCTAAAGTTGGATAGAATGATCTTGAAACCACATTAATAATATAGCGTTATTTGTGCAACACGCTGTAAATCTGTAACATAAAAGTTGATCTATACCCTTCTCACAATACTTTTAGTGTACATTCGCATCAATGGCTCATTGCTGATATCCAGTGTCAATGGTCTAATAAAGATAATTTTTCCAGTAAGAAATTGCTGATCAATCTTATTCACTCGTCATAAATTCACATGTTGATTAATGAACCCTTTGAGGACATGATTATTGTTCTTTTGCTTCGTTACTATACCTATGTCAGGCCTACCTCAGGTTTGGGGTGTCCATAGCCGAAAAAGCAAAAAAGAGAGTCGGGGTGACGTTGGGCCAGTTTCACCCCCTGGTGATTTTTCTACGAGAGAGCATTTTTTTTTTTCTTCTTCACTTTTTTATTTCGATTAAAATGAGCGCCATTTTCCGTCGTGCCTACACCACCAAGACCCTTATTCCTCCTAATGTAGCAGCCGCCACCAGACTTTCTGGTTCTGCCAAGGATGGTCAAATTTCTCAATTGGTCGATTTCTACAAGGTTTGAGATAAAAAAAAAAAAAAAAAAAAATTAAATCAATTGTAAAGTGCTGTGTCACTCACTTATGGCTTCTATTATAGAAATTGCCCAAGGGTGCTGCCGAAGTTGCCAAGCCCGTTGGCCCTTTTGCTCGTTATAAGGCCGCTTATATTGATGGTGAAAACGCTTCCGTCACTCCTTTGCTTCACCTTATCTTTGGTGTCTTTGCCATTGGTTATACCATTGATTACCAATTCCACTTGAGTAAGAAGCATTGCATACATGCATACACATGGATCGAACTAACACTCTCTTTTTTCTTCTTTTTACCGTAGAGCACCACAAGAATGTCGAACATCATTAGAGAATTTTATCCAAAACCAAAATATAATAAAGCAACACGGAAACGATAGTGTATATTTTATGTATATTTCAATGTGGACAAAAATAAAAGAGAGAGAGAGAGAGAGAAAGAGAAAGAAAGAGAGAAAGAGAGAAAGAGAGAGAGAGTGTGTGTGCGTGTGTCATATTTATTGTAAATGTATAAAGGGATCTAATCATAAGCATCATCGTCACTTTCGCTATCATCATCACTATCATTTTCGTCATCCTCGTCCAGTGCAATATAAACAGGTTTGACAAGGTCTGATTCTTCAATATCGGGCTCTTCCATTGGGAACATGGCGTTTCCATATTCGCAACTCTCAATCATTATTTGCTTGGCCTTGTCGGTGGCATTGGGTGGAGGACCTCCTGTGGCTGCCTTCATGATATCTTGTCGAATGAGACGAAATCCAGCCTCAGGGACCAAGACTTGTTGAATAAACTCAATGGGTAATTGTGGCGAAACCAAGTGTTTGGCAAAGTAACCGGATTTTAAATAAGCGCTGGATAAGGCATCGAAAATGACAGCGGATCCCTTGGGTCCGTAATAGCCGGGCAAGGTGTGTTCAAAACGGAGCATGACGCTCATGGCACTTCTTGCCTTGGTCAATCCCTGTTCTTTGTATGCGGTTTCAGCCAGATTACGGTAATCACTATTGATTCGATTGGAGATGATGGCACGTAGTTCTTCATCAAAGCGTTGAATGCGTTTGGGAATAGCGTCAAAGTCGATTTTAGTAGGGTACTTTTTCTTATAACCCTCAGGAATGGTCACTAATTCTCTATAATGCAGACTACAAAATGCATCCTTTTCTGCAGTGGGGATATGTCTTTTGGTAATCATGCTTAAGGAATAGGATGAAGTGGCGTTTTCCTTTTCTTTTATCCTAAGCTCTCGTTCTTCGTGTTCTCGATCTCGTTTTTTTATAGCTTTTAAAGCCTCGGCAATGGCTGTACGCATAGGAAATAAAATTTCTGAGCAGAACGGACAAACTTTTTTATCCTTGTTGTCGGCTTGTTGTTTCTGATGAGCAGTCAGATTCTCCAACAATTGCTTCTTTTTATGGATGATTTCTTCCTGTGCCTTGTTTTTCTTTGGTAAAGTCAGTTTGGTTGGTAAATTCAATTTGGCTCTGGCGGGTACTCTAAAATCATCGGTATCGTCAATGACGGAATTCACTAATCCAGGCTTTGACACCCTGCCTGCTTTGTTTGCAGCAAAGGGATTTCTGGCAGGTTTAGAAAGGGAAACAGGCGCGGTATGACGAGTAGGGAGAATCAGAGATTCTTTAAAATCATCATCAGAATCATCTGTCGACGTTTTCTTCACTCTAGTTGGTTTTATCAATTTGGTTGTGTCTGTTCTAAACGTTTGTCCTTTGAATCGATTCCTTGCAGGGTCAAAGCTTGACACCATGGCTGTATTAGGTTTTTTATTGCTTCCTGAAGACGCAGACATAAACTGATTCCTTCCTGCAGAGAGTTCATCCATTCTACGTTTATATGTGTTTCTCTCCATGTTGAAGTGAAAAAAGAAGAAAAAAAAAATTATTGTATTCCTCGCTTCTTTTAGCTTCTGTAAAAATCAGTCACATGTATTTTTGAGCCCCAGTTTTAAAATAGTGTAAAGACAACAGCATGAATTCTTGTACGTGACACACGTCTTGCCACGCAATGATAACTTTCATTTGAATGTATTACCCAGACAAAAAATAATAGTTGCTTTTAGACTCTTCTTACGTGTTAAAGCCACGTCTCTTTCTTTAAAATGTCTCTCACTTTCACCTTATCACTTTAGTATACTGCTATTATCCCAGCCTGCTCGCATCTAAATAAACAAGAATATAACTACATCAGACTGCCTATTTGAGAACAGGACATTATCATTGGAATTACGTTGTGGCTCTACCTTTACCCTGCACATATTTATGCAGAAGAGTTACTGCGGGATCCAATCCCGTCCAAACTTTGTTGTCAACTAGAAGTACTGGATTGTCTTTCATCAGTAGATGTACAGAGAATTGTGTATACACAATAGCTAACACCAGCTAATTATACTACAAATTCATCTCCCTTTTTGCTTCTACAGCATTGGGCTTAAAGCGAAAAAAGAAAGTCAAACCAGGACGTGTCTCCACGTTACACACGTCTAAAAAAAACCTCTGCTCCGTTTAGTTTGGTTCCCAGCAATAAATAAAAAGAAAAGGGAAAACTCTCCCTTTAAAATCGCACTCCTTTTTTATTTAACAATGAAGCCTGACACTGCAGACGATATACCACCCATCTTGACTCACAAACCAGACACAAAAGACGAAGGCGAGCCAGTATTTGATAAACCCAACACGTACGAAGAGCGAGTGCGTTTACCTCAAGAAGTGTTGGATGACTTGATCGTTAGAGCGGAATTTGTCGATGGCAAACGACCTGCTATAAAGACGAATGAAGATGACGAGGAGGAAAGTGGAGGGTCACTTTTAACCAGCCATCTGCTATCACATATTCCTTCTTCTACTACGGGACTGACGTCTTCACCACCTCCTGCTGCTCTCAGTCCCAGTGCTTCTAGCGTCAGCAGTAATAGTAGTAATATGAGCAGTGCCACCACCCGTTTAGCGCTACTAAAAATCCTGAAAACCAAGCCTATGGAAGACTTGATCACGTTTGATTTACGTAAATACTCTTTATCTAGACCCCACGAGCATGAGGTATATTTACAAGGCACCAAAGACCAGAAATACAAAAAGATCCAACCTCATTCGTATTCTTGGGGATTTCAAAATATTCTGTACAAGACCAGTACTGAAAAGATCAAGGTGGCCGAAGCAAGAAGACGAGCCTTTAAGAAAGAAATTACAGTGGAATGGGGAGACTTTCCTTTGCTTTCGACAGAGGAATTCAATGGTGAAGAAGACGATGTGGAGGACGATGATACGATTACGGCAGCCACAGAAAACACCACTAAATCAAATCAATTACACAACAAGACAAACTCGCACCTGTTGTTTACGTACGAAACTGAGTTTGAGGGATTCCAAATTCGATGGAAAAGAGCCAGTTTGTTATCGCATGATATGGTCTGTGAGGTCAAATGCGAACAGCCGCAGGAACAAAAGAAGAAATGGCATGTCATTGCCGAATTCGATAGTCATCGTATGGGCTATTTTGTACATCTGGGCGAATTAATCATTGATAGAAATGCCCTGAAATTAGTGGATAGACCTGATCATTTTGAAGCTCACATCGTCGTCACATGTTGTACGCTGATTGATCTGATGAGAGAAGTCGTAGAAAAGGCTGTGGGGTTGAGTAAAGGTGGCGTAGTTGGCAGTGATTAGTTCTAGACTTTATATAAATAAATAAATCTTGGTGTTTGGGGAAAGCAAGCTGTAACTAAGATGTTTATTATTTTCACATGCTTACGTAAAAGTTTGCTGTATTTTTCTCTAATTGATTTTATAGCGCCCACTCACACAGACACACCTATCTCTCTCTCTTATCATACACCACTGCATTCTCGAGAGTTATAAATACACACACATTAGCTGTAACAACACCTTCGGGGACGGTTGTTATGTAAGTGATCGACATGAAACTACGAGACCCAATTAAGATGATTGGCCAATAGTTCGCCTCTTATGTAAACATCAACATATCACCTGTGTAATTTACACACATACACGTCTATATTTTATCCGGGGATTTATTTGTCCCCCTTTCTTTTTCTCTCTCTTTTTCTTTTTTTTAGAGGGATTGTGATGAACCGAAACGTGTGGAGACGATTACTTCAGTGGCCGTTAATGATGAATCGTGATACGAATGAAGCACCGCAGACCGAGAGTGTTTCGATCACTTTAAGTGACACATCGACTGTCATCGAAAGCAACAGCCTATCGACTGTCATTGAAACGGACACAATCAGCCATAACCAAATACAACGATTAGCAGTCTCGAAGCCCGACATAAAGAAAAGGAAACGAGTGCTTATCCAGAAAAGGAGCAAAAGAGCACGAGAATCAACACCGTCATTGACATCATGGGCAACCGATTCGGATGTGGAATGGGAAGAACATCCTGACGCATGGGCCTATTTACAGGATGACAAAGGTGTTGGTTATTACCTTTTGGACTGTCAGTCGCTGGAAGATGATCGGAAAGGCTATTTGATTGGTAGTGACAGTTCATGCGACATAGTGTAAGATCACATCGATAAATTCTTATTTCTTTCTTTTTGTACTCACTCTGGTGATTGCAGTATAGACGATGAGCGTATTCAACCAAGACATTGTTTGATCTATGTGGTAAATCTTTTTCTTTATTTTTTATTTATTTGTTTCCCTAATTCCTTAAATACTATTTTCAGGAGAACTATACGGGTATCGACAATAAATGTACCATCCGAGTATTTCTAAAAGATATCAGGTATTTTACATATTAATCTATAACCATGCCATTATTAATCAAAACTAGTGAGACAACATGGCCTACCATAACCTCCGTCAATAAAAATGTCATTCAAAAACAATCTAAAGAGCCTGTCTGGCTTCAGAATTTAGATCATATCCGATTTATTTCACCAAGAGAGAACAAGCCTAAATCCTTGCGTAAGAAACCTTTCTCAATTCTTTGCTTTATACTGACCTCTTTTATTTATATATAGCCTATGTTATTTACCTAAGGCCAAATATCATTGCTAAAGTAATCGAGAAATATACATCGATAACAACGACAGTCCACTGATGAATTTTACATATTTTATCTAGACTTTTCTGGATGAATTCAAGCTGGGTCAATTGATTGGCAGAGGTAATTTCGCTTCTGTCTACATTGCAACAATGAAGAAACGAGATCCCACACAGCCCGAATATTACGTTGTTAAAATCATAAACAAGGATTCATTCAAGCATCAAACTAAATCACTCGAATCATTCGAGCAAGAAATCAGTGTACTCATGTTATTACAAAAGCATGTAAGTATATCACTCGATAGTTTCCACTTTTTTTTTTGCGCCTAACATTGTGCAACATTTCAGCCAGGAGTTGTAGGCATTGTCAAAGTGTTTGATAGCGCCAAAGAATACCACATTGTCATGGAATAGTAATAATATATTTTCTCATTATCTATACACAGTTTTATTCATGCTGATCTTTTTTGTAGTATTTCGGAAGGAGATTTGTTTTCCCACATTACGAATTGTGGTTCATTGACCGAATCCAGCACAAAAATAATATTTAAACAACTCTTTCATACAACCAAGGTAAATTGAGTTCAACAAAGCACAGCTAGAAAAAGATGTGACGCGAGCCTCTGATTTATCTAAATACATCTCCCTCAGTATTTACATGATTCTGGTGTGGTTCATCGAGACATTAAACCCGAAAACAGTAAAGTTCCTTTATTAAGATATATGCAATTGAAACCCATCTCTTATATCTTTTTTAATAGTTATGATGGTAAATAAAATTGATATGCAAGTAAAAATATGTGATTTCGGATTGGCTAGTCTTCAACAAGATAATTTAATGACTCGATGTGGAACAGAATACTACGGTAAAAATAAACAGAAAGGCAGGTGTGACCTATATAGTATTGCTAATCAACCCTTTACAGTGGCACCTGAAGTGCTTGACTTAAAGCAAAAGAGTAAATTGTTCGATCAAATCACTTCCAAAGATCCATCGACAACAGCCTATGGAAAGGAATGTGATTTATGGAGTCTGGGCGTTGTGCTTTATGTGTGTCTCTGCGGAACTGTACCTTTCCATGATGGTAACCTACATGTTTTTGTGTGTCTACTCATTCCATGTTAGCTAACGTTTATGAATAACTATAAGAACAAGGTACATTTGGTTCATTTTCTACCCGACAAAGTATTTTAACAGGACGGTATAATTTTAATGCGCCTGTATGGAGGGACATATCAAGCAAAGGTAAGAATCATTTGACAATAACAGGAAAGAATTCAAACTCACTAAGTGCCGTAGTCAAATCATTGATTGAAGGTTTACTGACAGTGGATGTAAAGAAAAGAACAACTGTAGATGAAGCACTGGTAAAAAAAAAGGAGTAGATATAACTGGGTCTATTTTACAATTCTGACGCTTTTTAATTTGGTAGAATCACCCTTGGTTTACCCAAGAGGAGTAGTCTGGTTTAAATCATATTACAACAATGTTTTTTCTTTATATTCTGGGGTCTCGTGTTTGCATAATTTTAATAAATCAGTAGGAATGCAAGTAATAATCACTTTTTAATTTGGACGGATCGAAATTATTTTCAGATAGTCACTTGCAGCATAAAATATCCAGATAAAGTAACCCTTACTGTAGTAATCCTCCAAGCGAAAGATAAACTCCAGCAAAAAAAAAAAAGTAATCAACCCCAATTTCCGGTAACTGGTGGTGGTGGTGAGGGGAATGGATGATAAAAGTTGTCCGGACCGGGGAGTTTCCGAGCTGGAGGGGGATCTCTCAGCTTACGAGATGTCAGCTACTGCAGTAAGTTGTAGTTCCATCCTCTTTTAGCAAGGTATAAATTCAAACAATGGTAAGTTAAAACGAAAAGAGAGATACAGGGAAATTACTCGACGTTAGATGATCAGAAAACGACCGATGGATGGATTCAGAGAATTTCACGTCGAAAAATAGATACACAGTCAATTAGAGAAAAAAAAAAAAAAGGGTCGAGATGACATGACATGCGATGACTAACCCTACCTTTTTATTTTTGTGTGGAATTAATAGCCCAAGCAGGTTCTGGACATCAAGAATTTCCTCGAAATCACCCGTAGAAAGGACGCTCGTTGTAAGATATTAATGATTAAAGGAAGAAAACCGACGATTAATTTTCTTTCTCTTAATCTGTAGCTGCTCGTGTCAAGAAGAACGGTGAACAATACAAGTTCAAGGTCAGATGTTCTCGTTACTTGTACACTCTCGTTGTCAACGACCGTCAAAAGGCTTTGAAGCTCAAGCAGTCTCTTCCTCCTGGTATGTCTTTTTAGTCGTTTCAGTACGTCCTTTTATTAACTTTTTTTCTTTTATCAATAGCTCTCAGCGTCCAAGAACTTTAAATTTGTTGAAACATTTAACCCTTGTTACTTAAAAACTTTGTTTTTTTTACACATACAGCTTGTATCTAAATAAAGCAAAAATTGGACACTATGTGGATAGAAAGGATCTTTTTTAAAGAAGAGGACCTGATGTATTTTTATTTTCTATGTCTTTTTTTTTTTTGCATAAGTTTGACAATGATATGTTTGAAGAAGAGCCAGTCACTTTTTTTTTCTTACTGTGGTGTGTGTGGGATCAATTGTGATTTTATAGTTAACCCTTCTCTCTTCCATACGTACACATAATGTCAGAATTTCAAAATGCCATCTTAGATAAACAGGTACACACCATGTGCTCAATCGTTTCTCTCATGGTCATTTCCTAACCTTACAAAAAAAAAAAAAAAAGATTCAAGAGTCAAAAGTGTTGAATGCAGAGTTAGCCCATTTGAAGCCCACCACCGTAAGGAAAAACCAGCAACAAAAAATGTAATAAGAGAAGACAAGCATTGATATGTGTGCATTTTTATATTTGTAGGCCCTCTATGAGCGCCAGGTCCCTTCGTCCAACATTTTTTTCCTCGCAAAAGATAATGAAGCTGTCAAAACTAAAAGTTTAAGTAATGTATCATTTTCTTAGTCACTGAAAATAATGAAATTAAACGTTGATTCCCTCTAGATTACCAAAAGGACCTCGAGAAGCTAATGAAATAAAGACCCTTTTTTTATCCGTATCAATGACGTGTATTATACTATCAATGTCCATCTTCGTTTAAGAGCGGGAGATTGAGCACAAGTCAACAACAAGGATATGGTAAAACCTAATATTTTAGTAGACATGCACGACAATAGCAAAGTAGAGAATAGATTTACTCTATGCGGGAACAATCATAATTTATCAGTCATAAAGAATATCAGAGACAGAACATACGAATGTTTCTAATCGTAATTAGGATTGTCTTACTGAGTGACCTCGTACATCTAAATGAATAGCACATATGCTAGTATCCTTCCTTCTTTTCGCTGTCGGGATTGTAATACTACTATTGCTATCTAACATGTCATGGATCTCTACGATCGATGAGCCAGTAATTCCGTTTGTGGTAACTCCAGTTGGATCGCTCAGAGTTCTCGCTTATTTAGAAGCTTTCATCCCCCAGCATCTAAAGCCTTCGAAATGTCGAATAAAAAGACTTGAGGCGACATTCCGCGTGTAGTCAAATGCTTTCCCACATAACCTTCTTATCAATCGTTCCTGCTACGTCGGTATCGACAGGTATCTCTCGACCGAGAATACACCCTTTTAGTGGCAGGGAAGCGTTTCGTTAGTGTAACACCATCCTTACGCAACTTTCTTTTTCAGCAAGCGGAAGGTTTCTCATTCAGTTTGTTGTTCGTGAGATAGCCGAGTAGTTGTACTGCAGGGAGAATCGCATGTCCATTAGGCCAAATCGGGGGCGTGACTTTCGAAAAAAAAGCTTTAAAAACCGACCCGAGCAGCACTCATTTCTTTCTTTCACACAATGGGTGCCCATCATTTGTGTTTCCGATCATGCTTAAGCATCTAAGTCACTTTCAGAATTCATCGTTGTATCCTTTACTCCCATTATATGATCCGGAATTCCGCAAAAGCCCAGTCTTTAATAAGTTCTCCATATGGCATGTCAGCACTGCAAAATTATGGTGAAGGTTAACAACGGTTTTGACCGTATCCCTGACTGATCTGGTCAATTTTAGACTATTCTGTATCCTGGACGGGGCAATTTTATAAATTGACCGTCTCCGTCACCGTAAAGGATACGGTCAATTTTTCGACCATTCTGTGTGTTTGACGTTACATAAGCTTCCCACTCTTATTTTAAAAGATCTTTTTTACAAAACTACTCTTCTTTCCCCAATTCTTTTTATATAAATATTCTGTAAATAATAAAATGTAGCATACTCTGTTACTATCTAAATCTTTCCCGATGTAAACTATTGTGCGTGGTATTTTGACATCTAATAAGATGAGTCATTGCTATTTTTTTGGTGTTCTGCCCGTGTTTATTGAAACGTTATTAACTTGATCTCTTTGTTTGTGTTGATATATTCTGATAATATTGTTATAGATAAAATGGTAATGAAGTTGGCTATAGGATAAGGCATCTAAAATAATACATATGAAATATGTTAATCACCTATTAATAACTTTGATTACAGGTTTGTCACTGTTCTATTTATGATTCTCCACTACCAAACAATGGGCTACACCTTATTGAATTTGGTCTTTATTTCTTTCTAATAACTCTTTTAATATATTCTTTTAATAAAATACATCGTAATATTTTTTATTATCACATAAATAAATAAATTACTTTTTTTATAAACAAACCAATTAAATATAACTGTTCAACAAGACAAGAGTGTAATAATTTTTGCATTAGTAATGGACGTTTGAAGATTTCGGAAAATATAGAATATAACTCATAAAATCCGTCAAATACACAGTCAATAACGGAGATAAATTAACCATTTCAGCCACGGATACGGTGAAAATAATGAAATAATGGCAGTATCCATCACAAATTGGCCGTACAGTTAATCCAATAAATTATGTCGTCCAGGCCGAACAAAATGTCGCCCAGTCAGAAATAAAATGTCGCTTAATTAGAAGTAAAATGTCGGCCCAACCGGAATTAAATTTCGCTCCTACAAGAACAAAATGTCGTCCAATCAGAAATAAGTTTTCGCTGCCACAGGAATAAAATGTCGCTTAGTTTTTCTAAGAAAGCTTTTGATACCTTTTTCTTATAATTTCTATTGTAGCCTTACGAGATGAAGAACTCTTTTTTTTTTATGAAGATGGACAAAACAATATTTATAATGAAAACGGTCAATTAAGGTATGTTTCTATGGAGGATGTCATGTCAACTATCGACGATCCCAATATTGTTCTTGAAACTTTGGTTAATCATTCTTCTTATATGAAGAATAAGCCATTGGAAAAACAACCGACTGAAAACAAAAAGTCAACTACTTCAAAGCCAGTGAAATTTGCCTCAAAGAGGAATAATGTGGACTATAGCATTAATCAGAGGACAACATTCATCGATCGTATGATCGAATTACCTATGGGACAGAGGTATGCCGCTGTGGTCGGGAGAGAACTAGGTGTCAAAAAACGAACTGCTCAACGTTGGTGGAGAAGCTACAAAGAGATTGGCGAAGTGCCTGTGGTAAAAACGTAGATTTTTACACTGAAAAAATAAAAAAGAAAAAAAAACGAGTTCTTTAAAGTTCCTTTTTATTATACAAATTCAACCCAAATTTGTTACACATGGCATATGGCGTTTTATATACTGAATTTTTACAAACATTCATATTCAAGCACGACTAGGTAAGAAGACTAGCGTAGCAGTGACACTTTTCAAAAACCAAAGTAGAAGCTTAGAAGTTATAGAGAAGAGACCAGAAAAAAATATGGGCTCCAGAGGAGACATTCTTTTTACACTCCAAGGTCAAGGAGCTAGGATTCAGTAAAGTTGGAAAGGACGCAGTACTTCTTATCGATGACAAGTACCTTAATGATGGGTTGTTGAAACTATTAAAGATGCTAAGATACATTTTCTCTGTCTTTGTGGAAACAAATCATTCTCAAATTAGTCAACTCGTAAAGAGAAAATAAAGTGGTAGTTGAAAACCAGTTAATTAAATCAATGTAATTGTTAACTAAAATAAATTCAATCAAGCGTACAGTTGTTCTAATGCCAAAGGGCGGATTTTTGGTTATTTAGACATGAGAATAAAAAATAATACAAATGACATCTCCCTCCTTTTTCCCTTTTCTTCGTTCTAAGAAGATTAAATATCATCAAGAACATTTTATTTTTAAATAAAAGAAGATTAAGCAAATATATTTCTTATTTTTGGAACGACTGAGAGAGTAAAGCTATCAATAAGTATGAGATTGTTACAGTGATACAGAACATTATGTTTGAATTATGCAGTAGAATGGCTAGTACGATGCATCACATCTACTTCAAGGCCATCAATTTTTACAAAGTCTTTATTTTAAATAAATACGCATGCACTTTTACACATATATAGAAAAATAACAGATTTTTTTTATTTAAGATCTTGGGATGTGATTGATTATATAAATAAAACAAAAAAATTCAAGTTTGCTGGTTTTTTTTTTATGTGGAATGACTATTGACGATTATGCTTAATATGGCAATGTAAGAAGTTTAAATATATATTGCAATAACGATAATAGTTGATGATTAGCGTATAATTCATTAATCATAATGAAAACGAGTTACAGTTTATTGTAGTTGATTTGATAATTGATTAAAAAATTCTGTTGGTTAGTCACTGGGTTATCTCTTTTTGCTTGATCTTAATAATTAACATGAACTATAGGAAAGCCACAATTCCGGAGAACTGCATAGTTGACGATACATTGAACTGTTTGCTGTTATAATGCACTCTTCTGCTTTTTTACATTTTCAAGAGTGATATTCTGTTTGTATTATTTACAAAAGAAATTAAGGTCAGCAAGATATAAACGTTTTAATCAAACACTATGTACTTACTTTAACTTGAATAAGCTTATAAATGAAGGCAGGTGACAAATGTAATTCTTCAATGTTTCTACATTCGATATGTGTAAGGAGATGGCATATCCAATACATGTGTGTTTAAATTTTTTACCTTGACATAAAAGCCCGCGGACTGTAGATCTGTTTTCCTAATTTGATCAAGTCAGATTCTACGAGACTTGAGTTTGAATTCTGCCACAATAACGATACATCTAATATTAATGATAAGGTTAAAGCCCTGAAAGTCAGGTTCAAATGTTGGATCTTCATATGAGGCGTCATTGGCCCTATGAAAATGTATCAAATGCATGTAGATTAGTCTTCTATTTCCACAAAAACTGCCAACTTACCATTAAACAGTGAATTTTTTATCCGTACTATAAATTAACTAAAGTATGGGTGCTAAATAATGGCACGCATAAGAGTCTTCGATCGAACTATCATGAGAACCAGCAACAAACGCAGGTGGTCTAAATAAATATATGATATTAGTAACTCATTACACCATGTTGGCGTTTATGTATATTTACAACTGCGTCAAAGTATGAGCCATATGTAAATCAACCTTATTGTCTTGTTCAGTCGCTTGAATTAAAAAATCAGTACATAATTTCAATATCATCAGGAGGATTCTTCAGACAAATAAGCTCATAAGTTATCACAAAACATGCATCAAAACTTATAGTATTAACTTACTTTAGCAATTTCTAGACACCAAGCATGAGATTAATTTAGCTTGTGAGGGCGGTTAAAGTGAGAGTGATGCGACACGGCTAATGGATTATACTGATTTTAAGGAAAATGTATAACATCATGCTTAGCTATGTGAGTCTGGATACCAAATTGACTTGGAACAATACTTGTAAAGCAGTAGCCAAAACAGCAGTTTGTATTAATCTCTGAGTGGCAAAGTATCTTCTTTCCCATCTTGTAACAAAACTTCAAGATGACAATTAATAATACAGGATGAACCTGTGTGTACGAATACATCACATTTTCACTCTTCAACTGTATTGGAAGCTGCCTCGTAAGTCAGACCTATAGTTCCCAATCGAAATCGATAACAAACTATAGAACCTTCCATGTCAGACCAATGGCTACGCAACTACAAATCTTTTCCGCCTAACTTTGTTATCGACAACAAAATTCTTGGATGTCTCTGAATCAGCAATGGAAAACAAGAAATGCTTCTATTCAACATTGCTGCAAGCTGCCTCGTAAGTCAGATCTATGGCTCCTGAGCATTAAAGATGCCAAGTAACCAAAGGACCTTGAGAGCACAAAACGTGTAGAGTCGTAGCAAACCCGAGTAACGCAGAACTACTGTTTCGCAGCTATAACTACTGACCAAGCCAAAATGGAACTCTTGTTATAGTTCTTGGAGAATAATCTGAACAAAGATATTCATTTTCCCTAGCAGAAGACGAATTCAATATAATGCTTTTTTTACGCAAAAGAATTTATACTTAGCTATGTGAGTCTGGATACCAAATTGACTTGGAACAATACTTGTAAAGCAGTAGCCAAAACAGCAGTTTGTATTAATCTCTGAGTGGCAAAGTATCTTCTTTCCCATCTTGTAACAAGACTTCAAGATGACAATTAATGATACAGGATGAACCTGTGTGTACGAATACATCACATTTTCACTCTTCAACTGTATTGGAAGCTGCCTCGTAAGTCAGACCTATAGTTCCCAATCGAAATCGATAACAAACTATAGAACCTTCCATGTCAGACCAATGGCTACGCAACTACAAATCTTTTCCGCCTAACTTTGTTATCGACAACAAAATTCTTGGATGTCTCTGAATCAGCAATGGAAAACAAGAAATGCTTCTATTCAACATTGCTGCAAGCTGCCTCGTAAGTCAGATCTATGGCTCCTAAGCATTAAAGATGCCAAGTAACCAAAGGACCTTGAGAGCACAAAACGTGTAGAGTCGTAGCAAACCCGAGTAACGCAGAACTACTGTTTCGCAGCTATAACTACTGACCAAGCCAAAGTGGCACCCTTGATGTAACTTTGTAAAGTGTTTAAAAATTGCTTACTACGGAAATTTTAAGTCTAGTGAAATAAATAATAGTTACGTCATTTGTGACGGCATAATGCGCTTGAATCAACAGCGCTCTTTTGTGAAATCTAGTGAATAATACAGTATTTCAATCTCAGATCGTCTCTCAAAATTTTTGAAATCGTCTCCTTTTAGACTAAAATACTGTATTGAAATCACAAAAAAAAAAGGACTTCATAAATCAAACTCCCTATTCCTCAAATGTCATACTTAACAAAAACTGTCTACAGTTATTGGAACTTTGATGAAGCTATCGCGGCCAAGCGCATTGAAAAAGGAAATTGCTCTTTGGAGAGTGCGTTTGATGCATTAAGACAAGAGTTAAATTTTCATAACAACGAAAAAGCGAGCAAATGGAAACACGATTGGAATGCAAGTAAAAAAGAGATAAAGTTTAAGCAGAGAAATAAAACTAATACAATATTCAGACTATGAAAAACAATTATCTTGCTCAATTACCACCACCCACGACTGAGTCGCATCGAACATCGTCGTCAGAACCCTCAAATTATGCAACGTAAGTAAAGTTCCTTATATGTGAAGAAACATAATACTCTAACTATATTTTTTTATAAGACCGAGTAGCTCTTCAACTATCAATATAGGCTCCATCAATCATTCCCTGAACAGTTTCAATGGCTCAGTGTACAATTCTCCAGCACCTCAATCTTCACGCAAAAAATCAACCCAGCTTCAAAACAATGACAAGCAATCGTTCGATATGAATTATAAGCGTGTTCCTCCAACAGATAGTCTTGTTATTGATGGAAAAGTAATTTTAGAAAAGTGGGTAGAATATCAAGTTATGGTTGCCAAGAAGTATTATCAAACCGGCTTACTGGTAGAAACAGATGCACAAGGCATCTTGGCATTAGACAATATTTTGCTTTTAAAGAAAGATCAAATATGCGAAGATGTGAAAAATATCTTGGGAATTGATATGATTCAAAGCTTGACAAACCACATTCAAAAAAAATATCGTATTGAATGCGAAACACTTGATGTGAATCTAGAGAGAGAGTTAAAATTGATTGTAAAGGTAAATTTGGGCATTTGATTTAAACTTTAAGGCGAAAAGCGCAGCTAATTATGACTCTTGTGTAGAATTTTGGCGAAGGAAAACTTGGATCAAGACAAGCTTCTAAATGTATCATGTCACTGACTTCAGAAAATGTTGATACCGCTGTAGATGACATTTTGATTGGTCTGAGAAACCTGTTAGTATCATAATAATAATACGCTTTTTGCTTTTTGCTTTTTGCTTATGTATTGACGTAATTTTTTCATTAGTACGGAAAGATTACCAAGAAAAAAATTTACAGGAAAAATCCAAGAAAGAACATTGTGTGGGTCTTACGTTGATTCTATTTTTCGTCCTATCATTGAAGATACTGATTCAGGAAAGCAATTTTCATGGTAAGCTATTACTTAAAAGAATTTGGGTATACGAAGAACTAACCAGTGAATGATATTTACAGGTGCGATATTCAAATAAACAATTCAATTCAAAGGCCAGATTTTGTAGGAAGAATACTAAATAACGTTGTATGGAACGGCCCAATTACCGTAGGTGAAGTAAAGGGTGAAGATACAAAAGATGATATATGCGACTCTTTTAGACTTGATTAGAATTGGCCGATTCTCTAAACAATCCATTGACAGTAATTTCTATGAAGGTGTGATTGGTATTCACGCTGTTGGTAGGTTATTGCTAAAATTTTATGGACTTTTAACTAAACTTACTTTGTAGGCTTGATAGTGACAGTCTATTTTACTTGTTTGCTTGATTCTGGACTTTATGTAATGATTGAAATTTGCACCATAAGTATGCCTAGAGACGCTACTCAACTCAGACTATATGTTGCCGTTTGTGAAGACCTTTTATCTGTTCACCATTTATATAAGAATCATTGTCAATTGGCAAATGATATTGATAGTTTAAAGTCAAACATGCGTGCAGGTATGAGTGAGGAGATCTTTAGAGAGCTTACTCGCAGCACGAAAAACAGAAAGCGACCTTGTCCATTCACCGTCAATCAATAACTCATGCACGCTAATCATATCATTTTAAGTGCGCTTTTTTTTGTAGCAAAAGTAAAGAATTTTATTAAAGTTATTAAACGTCACACATCGCGGAGGGATGTGGCGAGATTATATATAAATCGAAATAGTATTGGCATATAAGAATATGACTTCCGAAAGAGCTAATGGCTACATTTCAAAACGAAGACGATATGACAGAATACGACATAACGGTATTAACTACCAAATATCTCATTAATCAACATAGGGAACGTCGACAGTTAGGTGGTATTGCTGCAAAATGAAGGCTAGTATGGAACGGCCACAAACGACGTATCGTGAATGCAGAACTGCCAGTAGTACTTCCAGATAGCAAACTGGATCGTCGCAATCAAAGTCATATAGTATCTATGTTGGTTGGTCGGTATATCCTCGGGTATAGTGAGTTCAAGTAGGAATACCAAAAACCGCCCTTTAACTTTTAAAAAACAGCCTTTAAAAACACGCCCTTTGGCATTAGAACAACTGTACGCTTGATTGAATTTATTTTAGTTAACAATTACATTGATTTAATTAACTGGTTTTCAACTACCACTTTATTTTCTCTTTACGAGTTGACTAATTTGAGAATGATTTGTTTCCACAAAGACAGAGAAAATGTATCTTAGCATCTTTAATAGTTTCAACAACCCATCATTAAGGTACTTGTCATCGATAAGAAGTACTGCGTCCTTTCCAACTTTACTGAATCCTAGCTCCTTGACCTTGGAGTGTAAAAAGAATGTCTCCTCTGGAGCCCATATTTTTTTCTGGTCTCTTCTCTATAACTTCTAAGCTTCTACTTTGGTTTTTGAAAAGTGTCACTGCTACGCTAGTCTTCTTACCTAGTCGTGCTTGAATATGAATGTTTGTAAAAATTCAGTATATAAAACGCCATATGCCATGTGTAACAAATTTGGGTTGAATTTGTATAATAAAAAGGAACTTTAAAGAACTCGTTTTTTTTTCTTTTTATTTTTTCAGTGTAAAAATCTACGTTTTTACCACAGGCACTTCGCCAATCTCTTTGTAGCTTCTCCACCAACGTTGAGCAGTTCGTTTTTTGACACCTAGTTCTCTCCCGACCACAGCGGCATACCTCTGTCCCATAGGTAATTCGATCATACGATCGATGAATGTTGTCCTCTGATTAATGCTATAGTCCACATTATTCCTCTTTGAGGCAAATTTCACTGGCTTTGAAGTAGTTGACTTTTTGTTTTCAGTCGGTTGTTTTTCCAATGGCTTATTCTTCATATAAGAAGAATGATTAACCAAAGTTTCAAGAACAATATTGGGATCGTCGATAGTTGACATGACATCCTCCATAGAAACATACCTTAATTGACCGTTTTCATTATAAATATTGTTTTGTCCATCTTCATAAAAAAAAAAGAGTTCTTCATCTCGTAAGGCTACAATAGAAATTATAAGAAAAAGGTATCAAAAGCTTTCTTAGAAAAACTAAGCGACATTTTATTCCTGTGGCAGCGAAAACTTATTTCTGATTGGACGACATTTTGTTCTTGTAGGAGCGAAATTTAATTCCGGTTGGGCCGACATTTTACTTCTAATTAAGCGACATTTTATTTCTGACTGGGCGACATTTTGTTCGGCCTGGACGACATAATTTATTGGATTAACTGTATCAGTCACGGATACGGTGAAAAATGGGAAAAATTGGTTGTGACCGTCACGGATACGGAAAAATTGGAAAAATTGGCCGTATCCGTCACGCGTCCGTCAGGGATACGGTGACTCTAACATTGACCGTATCGGTGACGGGTGACTATTTGACTACTTTCAATCCTCAACAAAGTTTCAAATGATAAATGTGCCTGTTCCTAATATTCTGGCTCTACCACTCCGCAAGGTCATTCAAGTTCAAGATAATTCTCATTGGTCACTTAAACATCGAAATTTTGCTGCTGGACTGTTTTTGATATTTGATGAACAACAATAACGACTGCGCCTACGGGTCACGCATGAATTCTCTCGATTCCCACGTCTGTGTCCAACTCTGGCCAATGATATTTTATGTAATCGCACTAGCAAACTTGAAGCGTTTGTATGGTGTCCCAGATGCGACTTCAACAGCTATGGAACCAATTCCAGCCTAGCTCTTTCCGAAGATACTATCAGCAGCCATGCTCAACAACTCACAACTTCCCAATCCGGAATATCAAACAGTTCTGGCGATGCCGTATGTCTACTATCGAGTTTCTCTAGGTATATTCACACAAAACAATTGATGTTTAAACATATTAATAACGTTTTCTCTCCACAATGCTCTTTCTGTGGTACGGCTGAGGACTCAACCATTCATTTCTTGGTGGAGTATCCAATCATGCGACAGATTTGGCACCGAGTACTGTCCCACTACTACCCGTATCTTGACTTTACGACAACAATGTTGTATGAGTCACTATGCTCCCTAAAACATCCGCTGTCTATGCAAAACAATGAGTGGTATCTCGCTATAGTCTCTACTACTATTTGGCAAATATGAAACCTGTACTGGCTTCATGGCACAGACAATCCACAATCTTATCCTGTCGCCAATTTACCCAAATTTGCGTCAAAAATTATTCAACAAATTAATAAGATCATTCACCCTGTCCCAAACCCAGATTAATAATCTTGTCTATGTTACATACATCCACGAACATCCGTTTCATCAAGTCCCACCACTCCGCGATGTGTGACAATAATTTGTATAAAATCAAACCCTTAATAAAAATTTATTTACAAAAAAAAAAAAATCTTTCACACAAATACAAATAAAATGGCTTCTCTACCCGATCCTCTTGCAACTGCCAGTGGTCCTGTGTCTGCTTATATGAGTGGACATGACAGTAAGCTTTCAAATGACACGCAAAGCATAAATTATAGTGAACTAACTTTTTTGTCCTGGGCAAATAGGTGCTAATTTAGCTTATGTAAAGCACTTTGCAAAGAAAACCGATGCTGTTCGTGCAACATTTAAAAGTCTCAATTCCAAAGGATTCTCAGTAGCTTACACATTAGCTGATGGGACTGAACATGAAGCTTTCATTGAATACAATGCACCTGTTACCAAACGTGAGGATTTACGCCCCGTCTTGGAGGACATGGCAAAAGAAGCTGAAGCTGCACTAGGCATGGTAAATATGCATATGTGAGTAAAATGAGACGACGTCATGATATTTACTTGTTAGATAAATAGCCAAGTTCCATGAATGGCCCTCCTCCTTTTAAATCTCTTATGAAAGCCGCTGAGATTGAAGACGCACAAAAAGCCGAGATTGAGCATATCCAAGATGACAAGGACGCCGAAGCATCAGCTGCCATTGCCGACGCTGCTATTGGGGATATCTTTGGTACTCGTCCTACGGTGGAGCGTGATGTATTTTATCCGGCCGATCGTTTTTGGCAAACGTCTGTTACAATTGGTTTGTCATCAATTGCTCTGCTTGGATATGCTTCAGATGCCTTTTTACAAAGGCTCTTTCCATCATTTGTCGTCACTTTTCGTAATTACTTGACTCCCGAATTAATTCGTTCCGTGTTGAATTGGGCTGCCGTGGTTCATTTAATGGAAGGGTCGGTGGCTTTAGCCATCTGCTTGAAAAGAAATTATTATAGCCCTATCAACGTCTTAAAGTGGACAGGCAGTACGACGTTGTATGGCGCTGCTTCGATGATAAAGCTCATGCGTCATGGAAGATTAGTCGAAAGAGCCTCTAAAAAGAATAATTAAAAAGATATCTCTTTTCTTTTACATTTTCCAATACCTTTACAGCACTTATTGGCTGTATCAAAAAAAAAAAAAAAAAAAAAAAATCCCATTGTTAAAAACTGTCTATAGTCTATTACCAAAATAAAAATGTTCATATGTACGTTCTCGAAATATCTATGCAACAAATATAAGCCAATTCCACTGACGTCGCCCAATAAAATTATGGGCGTGTAGTTCTGAATTTTGCGCATTATTCAGTTTTTTTCATGTAAAATTTTAAAAGCTAAGTGCCTTCATAAATCAAAATTAAAACATCTTAGAAGATGGAACTCGATCGATAAAAAGATGACAAATGGTTTCTGTTTGATGAAGAATTTAAATTTCAAATGGCTTCTCTGTTCCACTCAGTTTTGCGTGAATCATGAGGTAGCTATCCCTGCTATGACAAATCTCTTGTATTGTGGTGGTAAATGATAACATTTACTGTTGCTGTATGACATACGTCCCAAAACTGATATTGCTTTCAATCATTTAATTTTTGAGTACATTCGTTTTAATCATAATACTCATAATTGTATTATTCATTTAGTTTTAGGCATGGTGTTCTTGGTCTTTCATGGTTACAAGAGCATATAATTTCGCCTTAATGATCTTTTACACAATGCAAGACAATTATTACAAGTCGGTTCTGAATCTTTCAAAGCAATTGTTCTACTCTGTCAAAAAAACTAGACTGCTTTCTGTTATATTTATATACTATATACTGAAAAGCTACAATGATGTCTTTTTTAAAGTAAAAAATAAAAAAATAGCATGCTTTTAAAAATAATATTACTTGTTGTGACAGTAAGAAGAAAATCGAGCTAAACTGATATACTCTTAAGAATCAGGCGATTAACACAGCATTATTTGACACCTGAAACACAATCAGTTGAATTAGAATTTATTTCACACTTTTCAACATTTGGACTCTATTTCTAGCTCTGGATTTTGGAGCGAGTCCGAGCAAAGGAGCCTACAGAAACTCGAGCGAGTTCGATTTTCAAAAAAAAAAAAAAAGAAAAAAAAAATGTATTTGAGTGAGCTTTGACTAAAACACGATTGTTGCTCGCTCGAGAGTTTCGATCCTCATTTCAAACACTAAAATTTATTTATAATGTGGTCTTCTAGCAGCAGTATCGATAATAGGGTATACATTGCCAGCCCTTTATTTATTGTATGTGGATGCTTTTATAAAAATAGTAGTAGTAGTAGCAGTGAGAGCTATGTTATAGATGATCAAAAGAGAAGTTTAAATTTATTGATAACCATCAGGTTTGACGATCGAAATTCCAGCCGATGGTTTAACAAGTTCCACTTCGTCCATTGCATCTGGGTTCTTATTCATATGGGGTTGGACTTCCATGTTGGTGGGCTCTGGTGTATGTGGTACATGCTTAATTGCGGCGGCTCCTGACAAAGGGCTATTAACTTGTGTTGTGTTTTCTGATAATTGGGGAGACCGCGTGTAGGCTAAATTGTCAACCTCTCTATAATCATTATCGATTTTATCCCAATCCACATGAATAGGGTCGTGTAACTGTTCATTAGCAATATCGGATTCAAGCTGTTGATGTTGTTGGGTCTTCTTCTTCTTTTGACGACGCATGTAGAATATAATAAATGCAATAATACCGAGACCCTAAAATAGTTTTAAAATTTTGTTAAGTTTTTTAGACAATAGCGGTCTTTTGATAAGTAACGTACAAGAACACCACATCCAGCTCCAATTCCCGCCGTTGCACCTGTGCTTAATCCGGTAGACGCGGCAGGTGGATGTGTTTCATCGGCTTCAAGCTCGTATTGACCATCGGCTCTATAGACAGAAGTATAAGCGATCTTGGTCGCATCAGCGACATTAAGGGTAAGCATGGATGGATTTAGACTTCCGTCTAAACCTCTTCCAAACAGAACAAATAGTGTTGAATTAACAAGCACAGCTAATTTATTTATAAACTGTTAGCATTTTATGTCATTAGAAATGATGGTATATGATACTTACTTGAATGACTAAATCTAGGTCCACTTAAAGACGTAGGGACGTAAAAATCCTGTCGTGTCCATTTGTTCTCTAAAATATTTAATGTATAACAGTAATCGGTGGTCGCTAGGAATAAAAATAAAAAGTTAATTAACGTTGACTTGGTGCGAAACTTTTTGTATAAAATCGATTCTGTTTTTTACCTTTGGCACCATCATTACTTCCGCCATACAAAATAATATCATCCGAATTGGGTACTATTTGGAGTTATTTGGTTAGATATTTTCTTTTTTCAATAAAAAAGGAGAGGGGATAAACATACAAAGATTTGTAGAGTGGAAAAGACGATTAGATGGAATATCACCAGTAAATGTTTCTTGTGACCAAGAACCAGCTTTGGTATCAAATGTATTTCCTTTATCGAATGGAACTCGGATGGATTGAGAAAGAGAATCGGGGGTATAGTAACTTCCACCAAAGTAATATACTTTACCCGTACTTGGGATGATAGTAGCGGATTGTGTATTTGGGTAATAATCTGCGGGTATATTGGCTTGAGGAGAGAAATCATACCAGCTCTGTTTTTTTTCAGAAATATCATATTAAAGGTGAGTTTTGTTGATACATTATAGGACAGACTTTTATATGTCCTTACGTTTGAAGTTAATGAGAAAACTTTGAAAGCACGGAATCCAACAAGGGATCCGCCGGTGGAAGTATAATTCATTGTCTTTCCAGAAGCTGTGATTTCGGGGAGTGAAGTATTTGCAGCTCTTTAAAAATAAATTGGTGTCAGTATATTTTTTTATTTTTTATTTTTTATTTTTTGCTTACTGTTCTAATCCACCATAGAAACCAATCATGTTATCTGGAAGATTTACTGCTGTTGACCGGTGTCTAAAAACGGTGTAAATTGTAGAATAAACTTTAAGTAAAATAATTATGGGGTAGCTATATTTCATAAAAAATATTCCATACACTTGTCTTGTTCCTCTGTTTGGCTCAGTACATGATAAACCTTTGATCCAAGTATTTGTAGCAGTATCATAGATAATTGTCTGATTCGAAAATTTTTGATTGGCGCTAGTAAGAAGACCACCAACAATCATGAAGCTTTTTCCATCAGGTAAGACAGCTGCTGTAGGGGCTCTTCTACTTTCTAAATTGAATGTCGTTTTGGGGATCATCTTCTCCCATTTGCTACTCAAGGTATCTGTTTCATTTCCTGAAAATTTGGCAATGTCAAGAGAGTAGATGTTTTGATCGATTTTGTTGCCAGAGGCAAAATCGCTATAGGTGTCACCGCCAAAACAATAAATTTGTCCACCCACGTATGCACAAGCTAAGAAATACAGATCAGCGTGTTAGTAGAGTTTGATCTGAATTAGACGGTGATAGGATGCTAAAAAAGGGGATTTCATTTTACATGGAAAAGATCGTGAAACCATAGTTTCAGCAGCCAATGAAACCCCGAGAAGCGTTACTGAAAAAAGAATGGTAGGTGTATATTTCATACTAAGAATATTTTCAATATCGAAACGAAAAGAGTAGAAAAAGGAAAAAAAAAAGGAGTTGACTGATGCGATGCGTTTAACATTGTCTTTGTAGTACAGGAAACTCTATATAATTTGGCTTAGCTACCTAATTTATACGGTCTAACCTAATTACACCTTTGTGATTCAACTTGAATTATCATGGAGAAGTATCATGGAGAAGAAACAAAAAAACCCTGAATGTTTTCAAGGAATTTGTTGTTCTTTTGCAACTGTAAACAATTTTCGGTATGATTTCTGCGCATTAAGTCATTTTGTATGACAGCTTATTTACATAGGACTAAATATATTTTTTTAAGATGCTATAATTAACTTGAAGATTTAAGGTTACAAAATATCTTCCGCTATTAATTCCAGTCCTAGACAAGGCACTTTACGTATTGCACCAAAAAAAAAAAAAAAAAAAAAAAAAAAAAAAAGTCATGCTTAAGAGTCAGTAACCGTCTAGTTAGAACTCTAAGAATAAAATTTAATGTGGTAGACTATTTGTTGAGCTTTGTGTATTTTTTTGGTGACTGAATTCATGAATTTTATTCAGTAAAATGTAAAAATAGATTTCTGATCATCAAGTTTAACGTTGGTGGTGACACACAATGTTAAATTTTCTTTCTTTTAAAAAGACGTACTTTTTGTTGCATATTTAAAGTTTACTGGCAAGCTTTTGGTTTTATTTTCATCTTTTTAAGAATCATCATTGTCAAAAGTATAACAACAATGTTGTTCAAGCGTGTAATACGATACTCTCTTCAACCCTGATTTTTGTTACGTAGCACGATTATCTACGGACATTCGCTCCACAAATGGGAGAGATAACCTCAGTGTGACACATACATGGGTCGACCCACAGCAAACTTGTTTACATTTTAAATATGCAGAATCTCATTCAACTGTAGCCTCTCCTTTTTTTAAAAAGGATGATTATTTCCACTGGACTACCTGGCCAATATTTAGATCTTGATAAGGATGGATTAGGAATTTTATTATCGAGCTTTTAATACAAAGTGATGAGGCTGGGGAAGAATTTAAAAATCTTGTTATACAGTAGTATCGGACAGACGTACATCTATACCATTTCTATTTGAATCGTTTTAATGATGATTATGCAGTTGGATGTACTAGGCGACGATTTTTTTTCATTATAAACCATAGTGATATTTAGAAATCAAGGATAATCAGATTAAGTTTAATTCGTATCACCTTGAAACGAAAACAATAAAAAGGTGATTCAAAAGACAGACGAAGCTCCCCGCATTTTTTACACAAGTGTCTATTTTTGAGTGCAGGCTTACCCTTATTTGGAAAACGTTTTCTGCACCAGAGTACAACAAATTTAGTCGGAGGGGCGAGCATTTGTAAGTTTTCTTAATTAAAGTTCATTTACACTGTTTCTTTTGCCACAAGAATTCAAAATATTATTTATAGTTGTATGTGCACTAATTAGGAGTTTCAGTTACATCCCATTGACTTTTTTATGATTACACGAATAACGAGAAATCTTGACAAAAAGAAGAGGACCAGAGGAAACCAAGTTTTTTTTTAAAAAAGGAAAAAGGCCTTAAGTGGAATCGAGTATTGCTGGCCTCATCTACATAACGTCAATAAGGACCAAAAATCCAAAATCAAAATTTACAATGAATTCTTTGAACAAGTAGCAGGATGTATTGTAGCTAAAAAGTTGCCCACAGCGGAGTTGCTATGAACTTTTATTGTTTTATGTATTTTGTTACTGTTTGTTAGGTGCTTTTTGAGATGTTAGTTATTTCAAGTCAAGCTCCTTTTGAAGACACCTTTCCCGATAGGTTTCAGCATGTTTTATCCAGTCATTACAGTCAGCAATAGTGACCTGTGTACAAACTTCTGGAATACGTGGTGTAAGCATGGATAAATCTTTGTTAGCTCTAATATGACTATAGCCTTGCTAGGTCACCACACTTTATATCAAATGAACTAAGCTAATATGACCCACGCACGCCTAAAAAATTCATTTGTCTTGGATTTTCATTTTCTTTGATGATTTTTTTGAGGTGGCGGTTGTTTCTGTCGAGCTACTTGTTACCGGTATTGCAGGAGGAGGTATATTCAATAAACAAGTATCCAAATCCAGAAAGTTATTCTCTAATGACATTATCGTATTCATAACCTCAACAACAATTTCACGGCAGGCCCAGGTGGAGTAGATCGCAGGGATCAAAGAATTGAATTGAGAGATTTGAGTACCAATACTGATGGATTTGTAAGAGGTCACACGAGAAACATACATTGTAGGTCTATACAAAGTAATCATCTGACTTTTGAGGCCGCTGTGTATAAATCCGACTGTCCTTAGCTGATTATATTGCAGATGGTAAGCGTTCGGCATATTCTCATAAAGACTGTCCAGCATATACTTGAGTGCACATGGAAGCTTATACATTCTTTCATATAAATATTTTGTGCCCCAACCACCACTGTCTTTGATCCCTGCTTCACTGCCACCAAATTCTATAGTTTCAGATTGTTCAGCTACATTTTGTCTAAAGATCATATCCAGTCTATGGCCAAATTGAACAGGATCCATTTTTCCAAGTGATGAAATATGTCTATTGGCATTTTTTCTCTTTCGACTCGCATGGCTAACAGATTCACCAACTACAGAATCGATATCTTTGAGAGCATCAAAAGCATTTTCTATCATTGACCATATATGAGATTGAAACCATGATTCACCGTGAGGCTTCATCATATTTCCTGCTTCGTATTGTCTGAGTATTGAATACATTGTACAATTAATCCAGTCTTCGTCTGAATCAAACTTATCATCAAACGTGTTGTTAGCTTTAAAAACATTACGAATATCTTTGGCATTGCTTTTGTTAAAGGCTAAAAGGTGATTTTTTAAATCAGAAGTCATCAACGGAAGCTTTTTTTCGTTATACGTTCGTATTTCTTCTAACTCTGCTGGCGTGAGCACGTTGTATTTGGTATAATTAGAATCATCAGGATCCATGATTAGAGATTTACTTGGATGATCATGAGTACATTGTAAGCCAAACATATATAGCTCGTTATCTACGCATTTTCCAGTAGATAAAATCCATTTTTTAGCAGGATCTAGTTTCCCAAACATACTTTCGAACATCGGCTCTCCATCACTGATGGGCGGTGATGGTTCTGCTGATGATGAATTGGCGCTTGTACTGAAAGATGAGGGTTCTACTTCTAACACACTGCCGCTACTATTGAGTGAGGGTGCTGCTGCCCTAATGTTGCCATTGTTGTTGTTGTCGCTGGAAGAAGGTGCTTCTGCTACGCTGTTGCTGCTGGATAAGTTGCCCTCAGGCATGGAGAGTTCCGCCTCTGTTGTTCGTTTCTTCAGCTGCACCTCGAGGCACTTCTTGGTCGTCATATGATGCTCCCTTGTTTTAACGTAAAAGAATCTCCTCACCAAAATTGTACCGAGTGTCTATTATGTGTTCAACTTTATCAGTATTATCAACTAAAAAGCAAATTAATTCAAAGTATAAAACTCCCTAATTACCTCTTTAGCTTTAGCCTGTATTTTCCTGGCCCATAGAATACAGTTCTTTTGAGGCCGGCACTTCTTGATATTGTACCCACCAATAGCAATTACGGCTTGTTCAAATGCTATTACGCAGGAAGACATATTTTCGCACCCTGAATTCTGGGCAAATGCTAGATCAGGAAAAACTGTATCTTCTTTCCAATTAGATAGTATCCAGTCAATATTCGATTGCATGTTGTCCTGTAGTGGTGAAAGTGTTTTTTTAATAAGAAAAGCGTTTTTATTTCTATAAAAAAAATGTATTTGCTCAAAAGTCATGCGAAAAATAAGGAAATGTCTAGACCTCCGTATTTTTTTCAAACGATTTTTTATATGCCACTTACATCAATTCTGGTCAAAAACAGCAGGCCAGTATGAATGAAGCCATTCGCAGTGCAACTCCTGTTATTCACAGTTTGTGAGTTCCAAAACTCAAGAACCTTGCCTAGGAGGTCGCCCTCCTATAGCAAAGACTAGCCGCAGCCGCAATATCACTATATATGTTTTTCAATTTAGCTTCTTTTCAAAGAAACAAGAGTCACTACTAAACAAACCTTTTTACGCGATCGGTCACTTTCATACGATAAAAGAAGTATGTTAAGCGAAAAGAAAAGGAAAAGAATAAAGTGTGTGAACCAACTTTATTTATAGACAAACAAGCTTATGTCAGGATGATTTCATTTGTCTATTTTATCATCCATAATGTTTGAGCCTTTACTTAAAATAGAAACACTTGCAAAAACCTCCCAAGCAAGTCAGAGCTTGGTAATTGTCTATCTGCATTCCAGTAGTAGCTTGTAATGACAGTGAAGCAGATTTTATGGAAAACAGAAATCGATCATCCTATGAAGTTTAGATGATATGGCAAGTCAATCAACGTGTAGACCATCACGTGATTCTAAAAAATACGTTTGAAAAAAAAAAGTCTTAACAAATTTCATGGCAGGTATAAGAATAACAATCAGCTGTTCCAGAGCATAGCGTCTTTCGGATACGCTTTTCATGTTTTATTAAATGCAGGCTGGCAACGGTCCTTCTTGGGTGATCCAAGAAGAGAACACTTTATTTAAACATTGCCTTTTGTATATGGCAAAGGGGCTTAGTCTGCTTCTTTTCCGCGTATATTAAGGCAAGGTTGTTATCTCTATATCCCGTTGATAAAGATACAAGGCAATTATAAAAGGTATGTCATATAATACATTTCTTTTAACAATAGACATATTACATGTTTACTATTTTTATAAATTACATGGGAGGGATTAGAGCAGCTATCAACTATTCCATAGTGTTTTATCACAAGTCTGTCCCAACTAATGACATTGCCCAAAAGCATCGAAATGAAGGAAGTCATGGACTCCTTGACTGAAACATTTCAAAAGGTAACCGTTGCTCCTCCTCAAAAGAATAAAAAGTACGGCCAAGATCAGATCGAACGATTTATTAAGTTGATTCAAGAAGAGAAACTTACAGTATCGAAATCAGCTGAACAATGCGGTTATTCTTCACAGTAGTGCGTACAAGCTTTTAAACGAGTTTAATGCTGGCTGTGGATCAGTACTGTCAGGTAGAGCGTAAAAACAAGTCAAGCGTTCCCCAAACAAGCTTTTACCAGAGTATACAGCATTTTTGATCGACTTATTGACACGAATCCTTCAATCACTCTTGAGGAAGCTAAACAAAATTTAAGTGAGCATTTTGATGGTCTCCAAGTATCTCACTGTCCAGATTTTTTTAAACCCGATTAAAGAATGTTGGTCCGAAGTCGAGAAAAATATCAGAAGAAATCCTCTTAATAAATCTGAAATGCTTACACCACGTATATTGTATACAAACAGCGTATATAGCTGTGGTGGAATTTATTTAACCATTCAGAATTTGCCTCGCGACGTTAGAAATTTGAGAAAAAATGTCCAGAAGTTTGTACACAAGTCACTATTGCTGACTGTAATGACTGGATAAAACATGCTGAAACCTATTGGGAGAGGTGTCTTCAAAAGGAACTTGGCTTGAAATAACTAACATCTCAAAAAGCACCTAACAAACAGTAACACAATACATAAAACAATAAAACAATTGTCTTAAAAAAAAAAGAACAAATCGTCTCAAAAAAAGTTAACATTGTCTAAACTTGTAGTCAAATGTGTCTTAAAAAATTATGAAATCGTTGTTGAAATCAATCACCTAATACTCCTATTAATTCCAACAAAAATTACAGAGAATATTTCCATAAACACACATACTAAATTAAAAAAAAAAGACTTTATTCGGAACCGCCATTGTGGACCAAAGATCTATCGCCGGGTTCCAAATATGGAAAACAATACATTTTAGCGCCTCCGCTGTGGATACCCTACTGAAAGTCCAAGAATAAAGTAATAGGAAAACCTTTGACTAGCATTGAAGAACAGCTCCAAGAAGGTCGGACGAGAAGGTCATACCTAACTTGTTAATAAGCACGTATGATCTATTAAGAGGAAAAAGATAATCTGTAAAAAAAAATTGGCTCTTTTCAAATAGCATATTATTATTATGGATGATAAATTGACCCATATATCACTTGTAAGACACCACACGATGCAAAGACGCCTCCACCCACTGTGCTTGTTAAGCTTAAGATACCAAATATTGCTAGAAGATCAAGTTGTGCCAGCCAGATGGGCAAATCCACCTGCTCTCAAAAATGCTAGAATTGAGTGGTAGCAATAGCTTTAATAGCTGCATGTTTACGGAAGATAAACTTTCATTCAATTGTCAGATGTGATCATCATCACAGTAGAATATGATGACTCTGATTTTAAACTAATCATTTACATATACGGGTTATTCCAGTGATTTCTACATCCAATCCATTGATAGATCAATAAGAGGTGAAGATATTCTTTTTTATGTGAGACATAGTGTTTTTTTTGTTTATTTAATATTAATTTAATAAGGGTATTTAAACAGAGCCAACAATCTCATCAGCTTTTTGCAAAGCCTCAATCATCTTCTTACACTCCTTTCTTCTTTGTTGAGTGAATTCAGATTCTTGCAATAAATCAGCCAAAACATCTGCCTTGTATAATTCGGATAACAATTCTCTTTGGAGCTCCTCCTTGGCATGGCTGACTAAGTTTAACATGATGGCTTTAGGAACCATATCAATCATAGTACGCTTAACAATGTTGTAATAGGATTGAATCAAAAGTTCTAAATTGAATGCATGCATCAGCTTCTCTTTCACTCTCTTTTTATCCTGACACCAAACACTTACTAATGACTTCGGTCTCCATAAATTCACGCTCGGATAGAGCCCCCATAGCCTTTAAAGTGGCAGGTGGCTATTGTTGAAAATAAAAAAATTAATTTTCACGATTAAAAAAAAAAGAAGAAACACTTACAGCCTCCATCATTCCTCCGACGCTCTTCTTGGTCTTTTTAGGACCGGCAAAGAAACTACCAAAGAATGAACCACTGGTATCATTACTGGAATCAATGCTAGAAGCACTGGAAGTGTTGGTAGTTTGGAGTGCAGCTAATTGTTGCTGTCTGTTATTGTTGTTGTTGGTATTGTTATTATGTTGTTTATCGGTAATTTGAGCAGGTTGGTTTTTAGCTTGTAATTGCTCATTTACAATGGCGATTGCTTGGTGGCCACTTAAAAAGTCGGGATGGGCTGTATTGATATAACAAGCTTCCATTCTATTCAATTCATGTTAGAGACTTACTAGAGGTTGCCCAGTTTTTTTTTTATAACAATTACTTACGCAACGAGGTCAGTTACAAGCTTGCTAGTAGGGTTCAATGCCTTTTTGAAGAAGGATAAAACCACTTGATAAAATCTCTCTTTAAGGGCAGGGAAACGCTTGAAGAATTGCTTGTTCAACAATTGACTCAAGATACGAACCAGCTCATCATAGACCATGTTGATACATTTAACACTGGGTTCTTCTAAACGCTTAATTTGTTGCTTAATGATAACTTCAAAAGCTGTGGTTGCTACGAAAAGAGCAGGAGAGGAACCCTAGAATCACGCGGTAAGTTTCTTTTCTTAATTCTTTTTATGAATAAAATTACTTACAGAAGAGTTGTAAAGAATGGTACGAATATCCACATCCTTAATTTGTTCTAAAGGATCGACGCTCTTGACACCGTTCGAATATAACTCATGAAAGACAAAACTGATTCTAGCACCACCGGATAATTCAAAACTTGTCAAATCATTGGAATTACCATCAATGATTGTTCTAAACTCTGTACAGAATTCGGTAATGATGTTCAAGACCAAATTAGCTTGACCAGAGTTGGAACCGTCACTTAAAGGATCACCCAATTGTAACAACTCTTGTTGGTATTTTTGTAAGGCAGCCTGTATTTTGGCCTTAATTTCAGGAAGGGTATTACGAATATGATGCATCAAGATCATATTTAATTTACGTGCCAAGAAAGGGGTACCGCAGTACTGAGCTTTACTTCTGTAAGAAGCATGATTTTCGAAATATTCACGCTCAGAATCCAAAGCCTTGTTGATGGACTTCTTTTGGTCGATATCACGTTGACCACGATTAACAACAGGGACATAGCCTAATCGAAGAGGAATAACTCTACCGGCCAAGATATCAATGACATCAGTACCCTGATCCATCAAGTCAACCTTTGTTAATACACCGATAGTGCGCAGACCCTCAGGGTCCACATCTCGTGCCAACTTCAAACCATCTGAGTTGGCTAAATCGGTATTAGCGCCAGTTACTGCCAAGATAATAGCATTTGGCTTGGTAATGTATTTGAGAATCATATCGCGAATTTGCTTTTCAATATCTTTGGGTTGATCACCAACGGGTACTTTAGTCAAACCAGGCAAATCAATCAAGGTTAAGGTCAAGACATTGGGAGAGAAAATACGAAGATTAATGGGTTGAGGAGAGATACCAACATTTTTACCCGTCTTTAACTCGGTATCCTTTACAATCTCTTCTCTAATTTTGTTGAAGTTATAAAACTTTTGACCTGGCAAATGTAAAAATTCTCCCCACTCGTCTGGATTTTCTTGAGCATCACTGGATACATTGTCTTTCTCACTCGTAGGCGAACTTGAGGTAGTTGGTGCTGCTCGGTTGATTAATTGAAGAATCTAGTACAAAAGTCAATAATGAATAAACAAGATGGAGAATGCCCTTTTTTTCATAAATGAATACTTTACAAGAGGTCTACGGGTGACAATACCGGTTCCTCGCGGTAAAAAATCTCGACCCACAATGTTTTCCAGGACTGAACTTTTACCACTGGATTGAGACCCAATTACAGCAATTTGGGGTAAGTCCACTGGGTTATGAACTCCTACAGTTGCAAAAGCATCCTGTAACTTGTTGACTACACATAAACTATTGAGTTTTTTATTTTTTGTCTTGATTAGTTTTGTCTTTTACCAGTTTTAATTAATTGATTATCCATGCTTCTTAATTAAAATAGGAGAGATGAAGGAGAAGTAACAAAAAAGGGAAAAAAAAATAGTTGGTTTGTGGCAACTTGTGTTCCGTTGGCCTGTTGCACGTCATCTTGATGCTCTTTTTTAACCTTTGTACCTTGTGGAGTTTTAATTATACAGTGATGATGAGGGGCTGTGATAAACGATATTGGGGGTTTAATTATTGAGAAATAGTAATTGTAAAAGGTATGATAAAAGATAAAGTATGAAGAGAATTTAGAAGTATCCCGCTCTTTTTGGTCCGTATGTATCGTATGGGTCTTGGTAGCTACTGTATGGATCCATACCTCCACCTCCTCCTCGTCCGTATCCGCCTGCTGCACCATATGGCGATGATCCATTTCCGTAATAATAATTTGACGGTTGTTCATATCCATGCTGACCTGAGTAGCCACCATAACCACCGCCACCTCCACCACCATATGCACCTCCGCCAGGATATGCCATCATCTGTTGCGATTGACCGTAACCATTACCTCCCTGATAGCCCATCATTTGCTGTTGTTGATAAGGATTTGACATGGCCATCATTTGTTGTTGTTGTAACATGTTACTACTACTTCCAAGCGAATTCGGCATAATTGAGGTACCTGGTGTCAATGCACCTGTCATACCACCTATCCCACCTATGCCAGCCATACCGCCCATCCCACCCATACCAGTCATACCATTCATTCCACCCATGCCGCCCATGCCAGCCAAACCACCCATGCCGTTCATGCCAGTCATACTGTTCATACCACCCATCCCACCAAGACCGTTCATACCACCCATCCCTCCCGCAGAGCTCATTAATAGGTTTGCAAGCATTGGATTTTGCTGTAATTGTTGTTGTAAGCCGCCACCCATCATATTCGCGCCAGCACCCATCATATTGGCACCACCGCCCATCATGTTAGCACCACCACCAGCACCACCACCGCCCATCATCATCATCATGGCCATCATAATAGCCTGTTGTTGTTGCGGAGGTAATTGTTGTAATTGTAGTAGTTGTTGTTGTTGGTGTTGCTGTTGCATCATTTCGTCCATACCACCCATCATACCGGCATTCGGCATCATATGAGAATACATGGAAGGATTTGGCATCATCATTCCTCCACCCATCATACCTCCACCTCCCACTCCTCCGCCATACCGAGCCATCGTCATCGGTTCAATCATTCTGTTGTAACCAGCGGCTTCTCGGATCTTACGTTTCAGGTTATCCAAAATTCCAGGTTGTTCTCCCATAAACCCCGGATAGAGTCCTTGCATCTGTTGCTGTTGTTGATGTTGTTGCTGTTGTTGTATCTGTTGTGCTTGTTGTTGTGCTTGCGTGTTTTGTAAAGTAGGTGAACCCGGTCCCTGTTGTGTCACTGCTGGTTGTGGTTGGGGTTGTGCCATTTTGGTTATCTATCGCGGTCGTCTAGAAACGGGAAGAAAGGTGCAAGGAAAAAGAAAATAAAGGTAAAAAGAGAAGAAGAAAGCAAGAAAAAGATTATCTTTTTTTTATGTTGTTATGACTTTCCTTTTCAGATCTTTAGCTTAAAAAGTAATCACATGCGCCCTTTTTTATTCTAGTTTGTGGTTACACCTTTAATACTTATTGCTGTTGTTGTTATTGTTTAAATAGCCGCAAACTCTGTATATACATGACATCAGACATTATACAATATGATCTTGTCTATTTTAAAACCATAATCATCGTTACTTGACAGATACTACATACGATTATAATAAAGCACCACGCACACAAGAGTACAATTGACCTTTTCCCTCCTTCCCGGGCGCAGTTTCAATATTACCATTTCGGGCGTGATTTCATTGGAACATCAAAGCCTATTTGTTCATGCAAATGGTGGCAATAAAAAAGATTTTCATAATTTTTTGCGGCTCGGAACGGTTTTTTTTTTTTTTGGATTTATTGTTGGTTTGCTCCGATAAGTCAACATAATAAGGTCTAGATTAGCAAAAAAAAAAAAAAAAAAAAAAAAAAAAAAAATCAGGCACATGTCAGCCAATCATTGGAGATTCCTTGGTTTCAATGTTTATAGTTTTCCAATGGTGACAAATTTTACTTGAAGTAGTTTACTATTGTTCATTGGATAATGTTGTTACTTGATTCTTTAATAGTTTTTTAAAAATTTATAGTTGGTCATAACTTATTTCCAAGAAAAACGCATCATCCGGTGATCTACAAAATAAGCCTGGGAAAACAAAGGTTACACGACTTACAAATACAATAAAAATCGCGACACATTTTACCCTGCGACATCATTTTAGCAAACAAAGAAACGATGAATCGTCTAGTTGCAATGGATCCCAAAAATAAAAATATCAAGACCTGAAAAAAAGATCAAAGTAATTGAAATTTTAGAAAAGAATGACCAAGTAAAAATGCGTGCTAAATACGTCCCCTAGATCTCCAGAGTTTGACGTGAGCATATTTCTTTTGAATCGGAAAGCAGAGAACTAAATTTAGTTCATGCAGAAATAAACTTAATGCCGTCAGGTTTTCTTTATATCATTCAAGCATTTCTTTTGCTCACGAATATTATATCTGACTCTAGTGCAGAATAGTGAATTAGGGAAAAGATTTAGATTTAGACACATGCGGACTTCGATATGAGCGACTATAAGAAGAAAGTTTTTTTTTTGGTATATTTAACCTTATTTTCTTTCTTTTTACTTTTTCCCCACGTTTAATGGACGATAATCCGATTACGAATAGTGACGCAAAAAGGCCACTGAAGGAACGTTTACTGAATTCACAAATTGTAGCATGTATTGCTGGTTCAGTCATTCTATTTTGCAGCTTTGGAATAAGACAAACATTTGGTGTGTTCTTGATCCCGGTAACAAAAAGTACAGGGTGGGATCGGTCTACAGTTTCAATTGCTGCCGGTTTATTTCAATTATTCTGGGGTCTATCTCAACCATTTGTTGTATACTTTGCTGAAAGAAAATGGGGATTTGGTAAATGTATCTTCTTTGCCAGTGCATGTTATGCTGCAGGACTGTTTATATTATACGCCTCCAACAAGTCGTCAGGATTATTCATTTTTGCCTACGCAGTTATTGTTGGAATTTCAGCTGCTGGTAACTCGTTTCCAGTCATTTTGGCCACCATCGGAAGAAGATTTCCTCAACAATCAAAACAACAAGCGATAGCCTTTGGTTTGGTTTCTAGTTCGGGAAGCTTCGGACAAGTAGTTTTTTTACCTATTGCAAGAGTTATGGTAGTAGCTATTGATTGGCAATTGTCCTTTGTCGTACTCGGTAAAAAGATTAAAAATGTTTTTTGTTTGGTCAAAAGTCACTTTTGGTAACCATTAAAGTTCCATTTTAGGTAGTATCATGGTTGTAGTACTTCCTTTGTGTTTCTTTTTGCAATCAGTTCCTGCAAAACCTCCTTTACCAGCAGCTATTGTTGAGAAAGAGGAGCTTCTTGAGGACAAGAAAGTAGTTATACAAGTAGAAGAAAACAATAAAATCAAACCCGAAGAGCCAATTACGGAAGATACCTTTTCAGCACCAGACATTAAAACTGCACTGAAGGAAGCATTCGCTTCACCCATTTTTATTATGATCTGTTTAGGTTTCAGCGTCTGTGGATTTCATGTATCATTTTTGGCAACACATTTACCTGCTTATCTGGTAAACTCAACTAAGACTAACGATTTTATATATATATATCTTTCTAACATTTTACAACTGACATGTAGCAAGATCAAGGCATCGATCCTTCATTGGCGGGTAAAAAAATACAAGTCTATTTGCTTTGGAAGATCTAACATTTAAGCTTGTTTTTTTTTTAGCTTGGACTATGTCAATTTTGGGCGCTGGATCAGTGATAGGATCTATAGCCACAGGGTTTATAACAAACTACCTCAGTCCTCGACTTTGTTTGACACTACTCTACCTGATACGTGCTATTCTTTTTATCATTTTTATCTTTATTCCAATCTCAATGACAACTGTCATGATATTCTCTTGTCTATTTGGTGTAGGTACCAATAATAATAATAGGCGATAAGACGTCTAATATTTTTTCATTTAGTTCTTTTGGTTATCAACAGTGCCTCTCACTACCAAATTTATTGGTGATGTCTTTGGACATCGCTATTTGGGAACATTAACATCGATTGCTTTCATAGGGCATCAGATTGGTGCATTCCTTGGTGCATATGTAGGCGGCCTCATATTTGATAAAACACATAGTTATATGTCCCTATGGTACGCCTCTTTAGCGCTGGCCGTATTTGCGGTCGTAGCCAATTTCTTTGCCGGCGAAGATCCAATCAACTTTAGACGAAGAGGATTATAAGCTAACTCTTTCATAATGACTAATACATAAAGTTTTATTTTCTGTAATTTATAAAAACCTTGTGGTCACAATAATCTGCCATATGTTATGACTCAATCTGGCGTAATTATACCGTTTGTATTGAGTTGTTCTGTTTTAAGTCACAAAAGTATTGTTTGTGTGACTATTGCCTACTATTTAACTTAGAAGGATTTTTAACGCTATTTTGTTTTTCTTCTCTTTATCAACATTTAAAAATGCAGGAACAAAACGAGCCGATGTCTTTAAACCAAAGGTTGATTCGCTCACCAGTCATGGCTTGTGTTGCTGGTTGTGCTATCTTATGGGTTAGTTTTGGAATACGACAGACATTTGGAGTGTTCTTGATTCCCATTACTACAGAGACGGGCTGGCACAGATCAACATATTCTATTGCAGCTGCACTTTTACAACTGCTTTGGGGGTTTTCACAACCTTTTTTGGTATTTTTAGCTGAAAGAAAGGTCGGATTTGGTAAAACAATTTTTGTGTCATCAATTATTTATGCCGTGGGATGCTTTATTCTATACGCATCTGGAAAGTCAGCAGGTTTGTTTGTTTTTGCTATGGGTGCAGTGATTGGTATCAGTGCAGGTGGAAATTCGTTTCCAAATGTCTTAGCATCGGTGGGTAGAAGATTTCCACAAGGATCCAAACATCAAAGTATTGCTTTTGGTATCGTGTCCAGTTTTGGAAGTTTCGGTCAATGCTGTTTTTTGCCTATTGCTAGAGCATTCTTGACCTCCATTGGTTGGAGAATGACATTTATAGTGTTTGGTACGTCTTTTTGTTACACTTACAATGCTTACCTCTCCGTTTTTACGGGATTACATTGTTTACTTTCTGTTATTCCGGGATTTCGGATTTACATACTCTTGGAGTTTGATTTTAATTTATTTATATTAGGTGTCTTCATGGTTGCCCTTTCTCCATTGGCTTACTATTTACAGACGTTACCTCCGATCCCTGCCTTACCACAAAAAAATGATGAAGAAGAGATTGTTATCGATGAGAAAAAACAAGACATCAATCAAGCTGAAGTGTCTCAACAAGAAGAGGTGCAATACCGTCCTCTAGAGGATATTTCAGCCCCTGATATTAAAACCGCACTCAAAGAAGCCTTTACTTCCTCCACGTTTATCTTTATTACTTTAGGATTTTCAGTTTGCGGTTTTCATATCGCGTTCTTATCTACACATTTACCTGCTTACTTAGTACGTATACTCTTACAATATAAGCTAAGAAATGTTTACCTTTTTAAATTGTCATTTACATTAGCAAGACAATGGAATTAATTCTTCTTTGGCTGGTATGTCATTTCTTAAGTATCATGTTTCAATCTTACTTAACTTTGAATTGTAGCGTGGACAATCTCGATTCTTGGCCTTGGGTCTATGGTTGGTACTATTTCCACTGGGTATCTCTCTACAATTTTTCTTCCTAAATACGTATTGATGGGTATTTATGGTTTAAGAGCTATTCTTATTGTCATAATTGTGTTTATTCCTATCTCCGTAACAACAGTCATGGTATTCTCTGTCTTTTTTGGCGTAAGTCTATGTGTTCTTGTAAGAAAAGCCAGGCTTTAGTCGCTTACTTTATATTGTATAGTTTCTTTGGTTGTCAACTGTTCCACCTACAACTAAATTTGTTGGTGATGTGTTTGGTCATAAATACTTGGGTACACTTACCTCAATTACGTTTGTGGGTCATCAGATCGGATCATTCATGGGCGCATATATCGGCGGTGTTGTGTATGATAAGACGCACAGCTACAACCGTATGTGGTATGGTTCTATAGCCATGGCTGCTTTTGGAATCGCAGTAAACTTCTTGGCAGCTGTAGAGCCAATGAACAAGGTCAGAGCAAGAAGACAAGTAAAGATTGAGAATTAACTTAAAATAAAATAAAACTCTAGTTTAGACTTTAAAACCATTAGCGTGAAAAAAATGCATAAAAAAATTCTGATCAGTTTTTGTATATCAAAAAGACTAATACATGATTAGAGTATTTCAAGTGTGATGGAAGCCGGAATGCTGATTTTGCTGTAAAACTGATAAACTATTTATAAGTGCACACCAGGAGAATTTAGATTCAAATCAAACATGATTTGTAAAGTTTGTATAACATTGTTTATTTAATCTGCAGATATTCCTTTTATAAATAAAGGTTAAATAGTAGAAAGACATGCTCTAATTTTCGCCGGATATGGATTACATTAAGGCTGCAGCCACCCATCGGTTTATGGCTCCTCCGGATTAAACTGTAGCTGTTGTGTATAGTTTTGACACTTAAAATTCAGACTAATGATGTTGGTGTCTAAATGTCATCACACAGAACATAAATATGGTAGAAAATTGTCCAAAACCAGCGGTAAAAGGGAAATGATCGATCATTATCAACCGTGTATTGAGCGGTTAAAATACGCTGCCTAACAAAGTACCGCAAACAGATGTGAATCGATTGATCCCGGAAAAAGTGATTTGCTTAGAATAAAATTTCAATCATCGACGGAATAAATAATCGCTTAAAATCAATTAATTTTCCATGCATAGTTTACAAACGAAATAATCGAAAGAGAAATATATCTGTAATCATTAAATGAGCATATTGCTAAAGTGGATAGAAGGAAAGTGTTTTATCATATTGAAGAACCCGGATAAGTGCCCTATTGTATGCGTATAATGTAACTTTTATTTAAGGCCACTTCATCCAAAAGTCTAACCTGTTCGAGCTTGCACTTTAACAAAGAATACCGAAATTTATTTAACACGAGTCATTTTAAACTGATTAATTCCACTTATTTTGGTCAAAGAGATACACTAGCATATACATTGACTCGAAAGCCAATACATAAAGCTTTTGTTGATATTTTGGGTCGTCAAAACGAAAATGTGCTTCTCTTGTATGTCTATGCAATGAAGATTGCTTTGTCAAGCTTTTCGACAAATTTTATGAATATGTGGAACAACAAGAACCGTTTCAACAAGCTATTTACAAACCTTTTAAAAACTTTACTTACTGTTCGTCTAGCTCCACAAAGAGATGCAAAGCTTAAAAAAATACAAAGGAAACAAGCAAAAGAAAAAAACAAAAAACCTCAAGTAACAAGTCAAATGTGTATGTGAGAGCTATCCTTCACAAAGGATTAGCATTATTCAAAAATGCATCTAGAAGAAGAGACAACAAATATCTTGAAAAGGCACGGGCCGATACTGAAAACTGCGACAAATTGGAAAATATGTGCCAACAGCTGTCAAATTCAAATCAATACATACGAAACAAAATTCGAACAAAAGTATGTAGAATATACAGATAATTATCATTTCACTGTCTTAAAATCAAAACTTATTCTAATCATTTTGTAATTTTTAGATAAATGAAGCTGCCGCTAACTAATGTTGCCAAAAGGAAAGCCTCCGAGTAGATTGAGGAGGGGTACCAACAAAGACTGGAGACGATTGCGGAAAATGACTTCAATGCCGAACAGCAGTTGTTAGAGATGGAAGACGGGTCCCTTGATGTCACAACCGATGCATCTAGAAGACGAATAAGATCACTAGTTTCGGTAATGAGAAACGTTATTTTTCAAAATCATGGGAAGGTAATAGCCGAAAGACAAGTAAAAAATTCATGTATCGATATACAGACGATGGAGCTTCAGACATGTATTCTTATTTGCAAATTTTTGATGCCTTATGTTCCCCCAAAAAAAGACTAGTCATTGATGCCTTGACAAATTCCGTTTGTTTTGATGGCAAACCAAGTTTTGCGTGCTTGTGGATACTCAAGGTTTACAGTATAGGTAACTCCACTTACTATGCCCGGTAAACTAAAATGCATTGAAGATCGATGCTCCCTCTTTGTTTTCTTCATCCAAAAGATATAAAAACCTAGACGTTTTATGGGTTTGACGACCAAGTGTTGGTGTCAAGGCAACCGGCCACAGAAAATTAGGATGCTCTTTTTAGCTCCTTTTTTGAAATATCAACAATACAAAGGGTTTCTTCGTCTTATGGTCTTGATTTTGCGCACTCTATGGTTCTTTTGCCAGGTTTAAAAACTGTCTATCTGGTTGGAAATTTGAGCAAGAATACACCACCATCTTATACAAGTGGACCTGCTGACACACCTAAAAAAGCGTACCCTCAATCTAGCAACCTAGTAGGTACAGTTGATGTTGAGTATAAATCTAAAGATGATGCAACTGATAAAGCTCGAATTTTGGAAACCGAGGTGAAGTCATTAACAAATCAGCTGAAAAGGAACTATTAAACAGAAAGAACTTTCTATTACTTGATAATACCCGAGGATCAAAAAATGCGTGGATACATAAGAATACTGGTGTATTTACAGAAGCACATGCTCTTCTTAATGAACAATTATATAATTGTATAAGGACGCAGAAAGAAAGAAAAGTCAATTACAATGCGCAAATACAGATTATAAAGACAGCTTTATCAAAGGCTCGACAAGAACTTTATCAGACAAGGAAATTTTTGAATCGGCTATCAACTTCAAGCAAAAGATCAGTAACAACCAAAGGTCAAACATCTACAAATAGAATCAAGATTACCCGGGAAAATTATTTGTGTCACGAAAAAGTCAAAATCATTGTTCTTGATGGCAGGCTTACTTTGAATGATTCAACTTTCTCAGTAACCGACAACGGCATAACTACAATGACAGAAACATCACAATTCAAAGTTGATCACTTCAAGTTTCCTCTGGACCTACAAAATCGATACTCTATATTAAGCGGTTCAAAGATGGTATGTTTACTAATTCATCGACTTTAACACTTTTTCTAACTATAAACTCTTGATATGCAGATCCTGATATTGGTTCATTGGACCAAAGCTCTTTTCAGTATTGAACATTCATTTTAGTTTGAGAGATGGGAGAACCCCCAGTTATCTTTTCTAGACTAAAAAAAAAAAGTTTATAAAAGTAAATAATCCATCAAAGTCATCCCTGTGGTTTTTTAATACAGATAATGTTCTCTCATGAATTTTAAAATCTAACGAAAAAACTAATATTTTTGATTTTCTGAAAAAGAAACTATGAATCTCCAAGTTTGTTTTTTATTTATCTGAATGCACAATGCAGGGTCAATGAATAAGCGCCACATTTTATTTTTTATTTTTTTATTTTCAGCCATTTTTACTCCATTGACATGAGTTTGGCACAAAAGACAGCGATTATCACAGGGGCGACGAGAGGCATTGGTCTCAGTATTGCCGAAATCTTTGCTAAACAAGGCGCGCGTACTATTCTTATAGGACGTGATTCTGAACGAGTTCAACTAGTGCAAAAGAAATTCCGTGAAATGTTTAGTGATCAACATGTAGGAATCGTCATGGATGTATCGAATAAAGATGACATTGATTCAGTCTTAAAGGTAGAAAAAATATACACATTTTTAGCTCCAATTAACTTATATTAAATAAGGAATTATTGAAAGGTCAACAAATTGATTATTTGATTAATGCAGCAGGCATATCCAGAGATGGACTGTTGATCAAAATGAAAAGTCAAGATTTGGAAGATACCATCAATACAAACTTACTAGGAACAATGAGAGTGAGTCAACATGTAGCCAAGTCAATGCTAAGAAAGCGAAAAGGGGGATGTATTATCAATATCTCAAGTGTGATTGGGGCCAGTGGTAATATCGGACAGTGTGCTTATAGCGCCTCCAAGGCTGGTCTTGTCGGCTTTACAAAGTCACTTGCCAAGGAATTGGGCCCTTCTCAAATAAGGGTAAATGCTATTGCGCCAGGATTTATTGACACGGACATGACACGGGATATAGCAGAAGAAACAAAGTTGAAACTAATCGAAAACATTCCATTAAGAAGATTTGGTGATGCTAATGACGTATCTTTAGCCGCTTTATTTATCGCCCAATCAAATTATATCAATGGACAAGTGCTAAGCATAGATGGTGGTTTGATACTTTAAAAGACCCTCGGTTTAACATTTTATCCTAAAGAATTTTTTTTTGTTTTTTCTTTTTCTCTTTCTTTATTTTATTTTTTTGTGGATTGTTACACCTGCATAAAATAAAAAAACCCTGTAAAATATATTCAAAGTGGCGTCTAACAATAACAATAGCGGTGAAAATTATAATCCCTTTAGGGATAATACACCAGAATGGACAGAGGTGACGCCTTTGAATGATGTTGTTCATTCTCCTTATAATCCATTTGTATCTCCAGAAGAGGGAAATTCCTTGGATACAACAACACAGCATTATTCTCCGTCTGACCTACCCGCAAACGACCTTATTGACCTTCAGCAAGGTCCTCCTCAGTCACCAGCACAAGTTGCTTCTTCTTCACGTCAACAACCTGACCATTTTCAACCTAATTACACTACTCATTTGAACAATGAAAGAAGAGGTAAGACAATAAATAGACAATAAAAAGGCTTAGAAACCTAATGATATAGTATAGCCGATAATATATTTGACGACCCAAAACTAGACGACTCAGAGGATAATTTGCCCAGCAGTAATAGTAATAATGAGCCCAGTGGTACCGAAACCACATCACCCTACGCACGTGCCAACTTACAGCTGGCAAAGAAGAAGACGAAAGAAAGGCGGTCTTGGCGCCAAGCCGTAAAAGACATGTACAATAATTTTGCTGGCCGTAGCCCGGTCGCTTCTGGGATACCTGGCGAGAATGGTGCTCGTATCATTCATGTCAACAACAAGCAATTAAACACCGAACAAAAATTCTTACATAATAGGGTAACAACTGGAAAGTACAGCGTTATTAGTTTTCTACCTAGATTCTTGTATGAAGAGTTTTCAAAATATGCGAATATTTTTTTCTTGTTCGTATCGTGTATACAGGTAATAAACAAATTTCAGAATGTTACGATTTTTTAACTGTTACCATAGCAAATCCCTGACATTTCTCCGACTTCAAGATGGACCACCCTTGTACCATTAGTCATCGTATTAGCTATCACTGCTGTGAAAGAAGTTGTCGAAGATTGGGTATAATAATAACGATGAGAAAAGAGGATCATAATGGATTAATTCTTTATTTAAGGGTGTTCACAGGTCAGATGCGGAATTGAACTCTAAAAAATCGAAAGTATTGGAAGGAACTCAATTTGTCGAGAAGAAATGGAAGGATATAAAAGTGGGCGACGTTGTACGTATAGAAAGTGGAGAGAACTTCCCGGCAGATATTATTTTAATCAGTAGTAGTGAGCCTGAAGGGCTTTGTTACATTGAAACGAGTAATTTGGACGGTGAAGTGAATTTAAAAATTAAACAGGCTTTACCCCAAACGGCAGATATTTTGAATCCCGCAGATATGAGTAGACTACAAGGTGTCATCAAGTCGGAACAACCCAACAACCGATTGTATAACTATGATGGTGCTTTTTCTTTAACATCTTATGGAAGCAATCATCGTGACATTCCATTAGATCCTAATCAACTATTATTGAGGGGCGCACAACTTAGAAATACCTCTTGGATTTATGGAATTGTTGTATTTACAGGCCACGAAACGAAACTCATGTTAAATTCAAGTAAGAAACCCTCCAAGGTATCAAACGTGACACGAATTACAAATCGCAATATCATGTATCTTTTTTGGATATTGGTCGCAATGAGCATTGCGGGTGCAATTGGTGGGCTCTTATTTACAATGTATAAAGGCGAACAAGCTTCATACTTACCTATTCATACCTGGAGTCGTGGTCAAGAATTTGGATATGATATTTTGACATTCTTGATTTTATTCAATTCATTCATCCCAATCAGTTTAATGGTCACAATGGAAGTTGTCAAGTTTATCTTGTCGTATCTCATCGAATGTGACTTGGACATGTATTACGAACATACCGACACACCAGCTACTGCACGCAGCAGCAGTTTGATTGAAGAATTGGGCCAAGTTAAATTTGTGTTTTCGGATAAGACTGGTACTTTGACATGTAATGAAATGCAGTTCCGTCAAGTTTCTATTGGTGGATTATTCTATGCCGATCAAGTTGATCCGGATAAACAAGCACGCGAAGGGTCTGATGACCCGAATCTGCAGTATACTTTTGATCAATTACAGGAACATTTAAATACCCACACTACAGCCAACGTGATCAATGAATTTCTTACCCTATTGGCTGTATGCCACACCGTCATTCCTGAAAAGAAGCAAGACTCAGATGAAATCATTTATCAAGCCTCTTCTCCTGATGAAGGGGCTCTTGTTGCCGGTGCCTCCACTCTGGGTTACAAATTTCACACGCGTAGACCCAACTCAATCACTTGTACTATTCGCGGCAAAGAGGCAGAATATCAAATTTTGAATATTTGTGAATTCAACTCTACTCGTAAAAGAATGTCTGCCATCGTGCGTGGTCCTGATAAACGTATTAAGTTATACTGTAAGGGTGCTGATACTGTTATTTTGGAACGGCTCGCACCTGAAAATCCTTTTATTGAGCCTACTTTGATTCAACTGGAAGATTGTGCATCGGAAGGTCTTCGTACATTATGTATTGCTATGCGCGAAATCCCTGAAGAAGAATATGCTCGTTGGTCTCAAATTCAAGAAGCTGCTGCTACAACTTTAGTGAATCGCGCTGATGAATTAGATAAAGCCGCTGAACTTATTGAAAAAGATTTGTTCCTTTTAGGTGCTACTGCTATTGAGGATCGACTTCAAGATGGCGTACCCGATACAATTCATACATTACAAGAAGCTGGGATTAAGGTTTGGGTCTTAACTGGTGATAGGCAAGAAACAGCTATAAATATCGGTTACTCCTGTAAGCTTTTAAATGAAGATATGAGTTTGATCATCTGTAATGAAGACAACCACTGGGAGACAAAAAGCTTTTTAGAAAAAAAGCTGAGAGATGTGAATGAAGTTATGGAACGCGGTGAAGATATGGAGGTAAGTAAGAATAAAGTGATAGATACACAAACTTTTACTTATCCGCCTATTTTTTTTAATTGTAGCCTTTAGCTTTAATTATCGATGGTAAAGCACTAACGTTTGCTTTGGAAAAAGATATCGAAAAGCTATTTTTCGATTTATCGGTATTATGTAAAGCAGTTGTATGCTGTCGTGTTTCGCCACTTCAAAAGGCATTAGTCGTGAAATGTGTAAAAAAATTTGACAATTCGATTTTATTGGCTATTGGTGATGGTGCCAATGATGTTTCTATGATTCAAGCAGCACATGTTGGTGTTGGTATCAGTGGTGTAGAAGGTTTACAAGCAGCTCGTAGCGCTGATTTTGCCATATCGCAGTTTAGATTTTTGCGAAAGTTACTGCTGGTTCATGGTGCTTGGGCGTACCAACGTATGAGTAAAATGATCTTTTATTATTTCTACAAGAATATTGCTCTTTATTTAACTCAGTTTTGGGTAAGTCTATTCCTGATTACAACCTTGACTTATTTTTATTTACAATTTGTTATTCGTACTCCTAGTATGCTTTCTATAACGGATTTTCCGGATCTACGCTTTACGAATCTTGGACAATGTCATGCTTCAACGTCTTGTTCACATTTTTACCACCCCTTGTGATTGGTGTTTTCGATCAGATTGTATCTGCACGCATGTTGGATAAGTACCCTCAAATGTATATGCTTGGTCAAAGAAATGTCTTTTTCAACCAAAAGAAATTTTGGGGTTGGATTGCAAATGCTACATATCAGTCCATTGTAGGTTTCAATCTTTATTATGATAGGGTTACACAGGCTAACACTCCGCAATCACCATAGGTTTTATTTTTTTTGGGTGTTGCTGCATTCAAATCAGAAGGTGTATTCAAGGATGGACTATTAGGCGGCCAATGGTGGGTAGGTGCTGCGGTATTTACGGGTGTTTTAGCGACCATCTTATGGAAAGGTGCATTAATTATCGAGTAAGTGTATAAATTCGGTCAAAGACCGTTGCTCCCCGCAATCCGTGCGATTTGATTGGCTAAAATATTAACTCTCCTTCCATGTAGTTTTTGGACCAAATATACAGTGATTGCAATGATTGCATCAATGGCCGTTTGGTTTTTATATATGATTATTGTGGCTTACATTGGACCTGCTATATCAGTTAACGTATTACCTGAATACTATGGGATGGTCCCAATGTTGTGGGGAAATGCCAATTTTTGGCTATTTTTAATCATTGTGCCTTTTATTTGTAATTTACGAGATTTTGTTTGGAAATAGTAAGTTTTAAGCCGGGATTGTAAATTTATCTGTACATCTAATCTTTTATCTAGTGGGCAACGTGTGTTCTGGCCTATGCCATATCACCATGTGCAAGAAATTCAATACTATCGATTGCCTGATTATAGACCCCGTATGGACAGGTTTAGACAAGCGGTGAACAAAGTTCGTCGAATTCAAAGATTAAAACGTAGTCGTGGCTACGCTTTCTCTCAAAACGAATCGGATCAGACAAAGATCATTCGCGCTTATGATACAACTGTCCAAAAACCAACAGGTTAATTTTTGTGGGGGTTTAAAGTAAACAAATAAAGTCTCCACAATGAGTTTGTGTACCGTAAAATTCCGGCCTAAATTTATCCCATGCTAAACTTTTTTCAATTGTTTGTTGTCCCAATTTGGAAATGAGGTGATATAATTTTTTTTTTTTTTTTTTCATTTTAATATAAATTAAGCTTGTTTACTTTCTCGTTTCCTCCCAACTTTATACAAAATATAATAACAATCCCCCACTCTTCTTTTAATAATGCAACACATTGATTCTGAAAAATTATATGCTGACGGTCAATATCGTTTTGAATATGTCTCCAAGTTCATGGATTTCGGTAAGTGATTAAATGGGTAAGAGTAAGCAAAAGATATTAAGACACCTTATAGGTGCTGATGATATCAAGGCAATCGGTTCCGTAGCTGATGCTATCCGTCCTTTGGCTCCTGTTGTTGTGGATGCTGTATATGCTAAGCTCTTCCAATTCGATGTCACCAAGAAGCATTTCGTCCCCAAGAATGACGGATTTGAAGGTCAAGCTCCTACTTCTCTTGAAGATTTGACTTTAGACCATCCTCAAATCAAATTCCGTAAGGATTTCCTTGGTAAATATTTGAACAAGATCCTCTCTGGCCCCTATGATGATCGTTTCCTTCGTTATCTCGACTGGGTAGCCAAGATCCATACTGACACTCCTGAAAAGAAATCCAAGATCAACGTTGATTATATTCATATCAATGCTCTCATGGGTTTCGTCGAATCCGTTCTTGTTGATGCCGTTGTAGGTTTAGGTTTGGAAAAGAAGGAGGAAAGTGCTGCATTATGTGCTTTTAACAAGTTGATGTGGATCCAAAACGATTATTTCGCCAAGTATTATTGTAATCCTTCTACTATTCATGATGCAAACATCAGTGCAAAAAACAACGAATCTTGTCTTGCACGCTTAGCATCCCCTGCATCTATTCTCCCTCTTGCTATTGGTATTCTTGCTGGTGCATTCGGTACTTACTACAAGTTACGTCGCGAGTAATCGTAGCTTTATCTGTCTATACTATTTATTCTCTCTTTTTTTAACATAATAAAATCATTAATCATTGATTTGTCATAATGTAACATAACCAGCCCAATATTTTCCGAGTCTTAAACACAGCAACTTTCGGTCAGTTTTATATAAAATATCATTTACCCAAACAACTGGGCATTTTTACCGAGGATTTATCTTTATTGTACCTGGAATGGAATAATCCAGACTGGTAACACAATGTCAGAAACCACGTCATTGTTATTTGATCATCCCATTTTATTTTTTGGTAGCGATACTACTTTTCACGTTCTTAATCACATTGAGCTCACACTTATAATTGTCAACGATAATTGTTAAGTGGGATTCGTAATTTTGTCTATATTTCAAGTTAATGTTGGTCTTAATTTTCCAGATTCGGCAGCTCTTGAGTTTACTCGGAACAGTACATGTGACAGCCTCATTTACTTTACAAAATCAGTTTTTTGTGAGATGGATATGCACAGCCTCTAGTATGACACATACAAACAAGATGATTATTAAGCAAAACATACAGGGATATGTAAGGTTTTTCCGCGCCACACTTATTTAAACTTTTTATCTGAAAAATGTCTTCGGTCCGACAGTACTTTAAAAGTGATACATGTTTCCAATAGCATGTAGCCACAAATGCCGGGTCCAGGCAGGGTTTTTGTTATGATTTGTCAGAAAGACACGTCTTCGGCTGACTTTACAAAATAAGAAAATAAAAAAAAAAAGAAATCGCGTCAACATAGGACGTTCAATTTCGCTTGTCGCGTTTCAATAACGCCGCTAGGAGGGGAAAAAATGAGACGTGATATGAGGAACGCGAAATTTTTTATTTTAAACGTTTTTTTTTCCTATTCTTTTCATATCAATTAAAAAAAATGTATGTTTTAAAGAGAGGTAAAGTGTTTTTGAATACGTGATATTATTGATTGTATATATTAAACTGTCATTTTTAGACGGAACCCAAGAAAAGGTTTTCTTTGATAAAATTAGTTCTCGTATCAATATCTTGTGTAAAGGCCTCGATGAAAATTACGTAGACCCTCCCAAGATTTCTCAAAAGGTAACAGTTAGACCTGATGTAGAGGAAATGTACTAATATAAACTATGTAAAAAAAAAAAAAAAAAAAAGGTTGTTTCTGGAATGTATCCTGGTATTACTACTGCTCAATTAGATGAATTAGCTGCCGAGATTGCTGTTGACATGACCAGCATTCATCCCGATTATGCTGTATTAGCTGCACGTATCACTATCTCTAATCTCCAAAAAGAGACCCACGATAAATTCTCCCAAGTTGTCCAAGATTTATACAATAATGTTCATCCCAAAACTGGTGCTTCCAACCCTTTGGTGTCCAAAGACTTTTTGGATCTCGTTTTGAAGAATGCTGAAGCTATTGATAATGCCATTGATTACCAACGTGATTTTGACTTCAATTACTTTGGTTTTAAGACAATGGAGCAAAACTTTTTATTGAAGGTTAACGACAAGATTATTGAACGTCCCCAACATATGATGATGCGTGTAGCACTCGCTATTCATGGTGATGACTTGGAAGCAGCTTTCAAATCTTACGATTATACTTCTCGCAAACTCTTCACTCATGCTGCTACTACTCTCTTAAATGCCGGTACTGTATGTGGTCAACTCTCCAGTTTCTTTGAGGTTCAAATGAAGGAAGATAGTATCGAAGGTATCTACGATACCGTTTCTACTTGTGCACGTATTTCCAAGGCTTCAGGTTCTGTCGGTATGAGTTTCCAAAAGATTCGTGCCTCTGGCTCTTACATTGCTGGTACCAATGGTACTTCAAACGGTATTATTCCTATGCTCCGTGTCTTCAATGATGCTGCTCGTTTTATTACTCCTGGTGCCAGAAAGGTCAAGGGTACATATGCTGTATATCTTGAGCCTTGGCATGCTGATATCTTTGAGTTCATTGATCTCTCCAAGCACTCTGGCGAGGAGAATCTTCGTGCTCGTCATCTTAACCTTGGTCTTTGGATCCCTGACATCTTCATGAAGCGTAAGCACACAGATAATACTTATTCATTTATAACTTATGTTAACAATTTACTCTCAAATAGGTGTTGAGGATAATGGTGACTGGTCTTTGATGTGTCCTAACGAGTGTCCTGGACTCGATCTTGCTTTTGGAAAGGATTTCGATAAGCTGTACCTCAACTATGAAAAGCTTGGTAAGTCTAGAAAGGTCGTATCTGCCCAAAAGCTCTGGTTTGCTATTTTGGATGCTCAAATGGAGAGTGGTATGCCTTACATGTGTTACAAGGATTCCATCAACGAAAAGAACAATCAAAAGAACTTGGGTGTCATTTCTGGATCTAATATGAATGCTGACATCATGCAATATTCCGATGTCGATGAAGTCGGATCTTGTAACATTGCCTCCGTTGCGCTTCCCAAGTGTGTCGATGCTGAAACCCGTACTTTCAACTTTGATAGCCTTCATGATGTTGTTAAGGTTGCAATTAAGAACTTGGATAAGATGATTGATGTCAACAATTATATCATGGATGAGATGAAGAATAGTGCTACTAAACATAGACCTCTCGGCTTAGGTGTCCAAGGTTTAGCTGATGTCTTTTTGATGATGCATTATCCTTTTGACTCCCCCGAGGCTCGTCAGTTAAATAAGGATATCTTTGAATCTATTTACTTTGCTGCTCTTGAAGCATCTAATGAGTTGGCCCAAAAGTCTGGTCCTTATGCTTCATATGAAGGATCTCCTATCAGTCAAGGTATTTTACAACACGATATGTGGAATGTTCAAGGCTCTGCTCGACTTGATTGGGACACTCTTCGTGCCAACATTAAGAGTCATGGTGTCCGTAACTCTGTCCTTGTCGCACCTATGCCTACTGCCACCACCAGTCAATTCCTTGGTAACAATGATGGATTTGAGCCTTATCAAACCATGATCTTCACTTACCGTTCTCATACTGGTGAATGTCAAGCAGTTAACCCTCATTTGCTTAAGAACTTGATTGAACGTGGTATGTGGACTCCTAAGATCAAAGAAATGTTGATTGAATCAAATGGCAGTGTACAAAAGCTTCCTTTAATTTCTGATGACCTCAAGAAACTTTATAAGACTGTCTGGGATATTTCTCAACGTGTCATTATCGATATGGCAGCTGACCGTGCTGCTTTTGTTGATCAATCTCAATCCCTCAATCTTTTCTCTGCTGAACCCAACTATAGCCGTCTTTCTTCCATGCACTTCTACTGTTGGAACAAGGGATTAAAGACTGGTATGCAATTCCTTAAGACTAGTCCTGTCGAAGCTATGAGATTAACTATGGGTGAAGAGCCTAAGGATGATATTGAAGAAGAGATTGAAAAGACTGCCGAAGATTTAGCTGCCATTGCTTGTTCTCTCGAAAACCCCGAAGCTTGTGTTAGCTGCAGTGGATAAACAAAATCTCTATCCAAAAATATTATTGTATCATAAATTCATCCCCTCCCTTTCTTATATTCTCTATTTTTTTTTCTTATTCATTTGCATTAAAAACTGGCAACAAAAAATATAATTTATTTGGTTCACGGATTGTTTAAGCAAAAAAGGTATAATTCATAATGTATCAGTGAAAAACGGGGGAAAAAAGGCATTGATGCTTTAATGGAGGGCAGGGCATCCCTTGGCTTCTTCGCATTCGGTTACAACATTGCCGTGCTCATCAATTTTCAAAGAATGACCAGTAGCTTTTTCGTGGAGCTTGCTAGCCTCTTCTGCCAACTTCTTACGCTCAGCGTCAGAATGAGCCTATGTAATACCATCAACATTAGTAAGAATTCACACTATATCACTCCGTACATGCAACTTACCTCGTGGTTCTTTTCTAAAATGTTGTGGATTTGACTGGGATCGCTGTTCATTTTTTGTTTATATAATGCAAGATTAAACGGTTGTAATTAATCTGTTCAAAGATCTGTTTTTACGTCCTTTTATATAAATTGACGTGTTTCACTAAAAGTGACCTAGACCGTGTGAGAAAATTTTATCTGACCATAATTTACCGCAGGTTACACTTAACTTTTGCATTAATGAATTTCGGATCTATCAATCATTTGTTTTGTTTACAGTGTGACTGATGAATTATGTCACTTTAAAAATAGCCTAAAATGACATTATTAAGTGATATACTCACAACCATTTAAGTGTAATTGTATAATTGAAGCTAATGAGAATCAGTAACCGAACTAGCAATAGGTACCACCTTTTTTTTTTTTTGAAAAAATAAATAAATCAACATGATGTATGTAGTTTAAGCCACTTATTTTAATTTAGCGCCATAAACAAATACACAATAACACCACTTTAAGTCTTATAACTTGACTGTCTAGAAGAAACTTTTTCACAATTTTAGCTGCATAGTTATACAGAAGAGTATTTTTGAAACACTACTACTCAAACCCTTGCAAATGATGTGCAATAGAGTTTTTTATTATGAACTGTATTTGAATTTATAAACATTTTTATGTTCACTTCCGTTGTAATTGTTTAAGAGGCTTGTAAAGTAAAGGTTCTGGTTTTCTGCAACCAAACATACCATATGCATAGAGCTTTGAAATCTTTTTCGGGATAAGACGATCAAATTAAAAATATATAATATTTTTTCAATAGCTACACTATAGTTCGAAGCAATTTGTGGTATTAATACGATGCAGCCGAATTTTACAAAGCCTACACCACTGTTCTAGCGATACTATCTAGGCAGTTACATAAACATTATTGATCGACGGGGAAGAGCTTTCCGATCACATGTTGGCTTTTCATGGGAGTAAAGTCTGCCTAATTATTCATTTTCCAGTAAATTCTCAACATGAATTTAGGTCCTTCATCCTTGACTGCTATAGATTTTTTATCAATGATGATACGTTTTTTTTTCTTTTTTGAGTACCAAGTATGGTCACTGTTTCCCGCTATTTTCATAAGTTGGGATAGTCATACCAAAAAAAAAAAAAAAAAAAAAAAAAATCTGGTCGGGGGACTTCATTAGATGGAAAGTATATTCTTCTTCTGAACAGCATAAAGGCTTATTATCAATAATCAATTGCACTACATTTTTATCGTTCTATTTATTGCTTTGTTCACACTAGCTTGTCCCCAATTTGAGAGTAAGTAAGTTAAAAAAGTTAACGTGTATATTAGGAACGAAGCATAGAGCAGAAGACTGGCCATGAAAACTCTCGTATTCTATGCTCTCATAGAAACGAGTATTCGTCTCGATAAGGAGCATCAGCACCTGTAAATAGGTACCTCAGCATGTCCACCGGATCCAGCACCTGAATCTAAAGCCATCAGGTTGATAAAAACATCACTGAAGACGGTGAAATTATTCAAGAAGTTTTATTCTAACAACCAAACCTCCAAGCTGTCTTCTTCGATGTGTAGGTCAACAGATGTTTGAAAATTCATCAAGTAACTAGAGTTGCTTCATGTGTAGATGATAAAACAATCGTGATACAAGATTTGTCTGTAAAGATCATACACAGGGGCGCTGGTGAACACCATCAACCGACTATATCCGCAAAATGCTGAGAAGGTTACCTGAAACTTTGTCGAAAGATTTGTGAAAATGATTAGTGAATTAAATCAGCCATAAAATGTCATAGTTCGTATGCCGAAAGCAATATTTTGAGATAAGAATGCATTCGTGACACAACAATTATTCTTTTCGAATTGATGGAATTTATCAGATCCGAATCATGATCAAATGCAAAATGTGTAACCTTGAATAAAATGGCCATGTAAAATTTTTATACTTCTTTACACTGAAAGGGACCTTGACCGTGAGAATTGGTTTGTTCTTTTTTTTTAAAAAAAAAAATGCATTAAATTTATGGTACATGGGGTTTGTGTAGTTTATAAGGTATTGTCTGATGGAGATGCGTTTACAATAAGCATGTCTTCCTCTTCCTCTTGTGTACTGACTTGAAAAGAATCTTCCATAGGTGTATCAGCGACTAATTTCTGTTGTTCTTGCTGCTGCTGCAACCGTTGTTGTCTATTCGATTCTTTTACTTTCTGTTTATGACCTTGGTTAATTTTAGTCAGGTTATCAGAAGAGATACCTAATGGTTCACTCATATCTACGCTCTGAATATGCGTCAGCTTGTCATCCATTTTCAAGAACACTTCACCGCCACTTTTAACAATCACTGGTGGTCGATAGAATTTCTTTCGGTACTCGTCTAGTTGTGACAGACTTATATCTGATCCACCAGTTACCAAAACTACAACATCACATTCTTGTCCTAGAGATGGTAAAATATCACGGATAAGTTGGGTATAACATAATGATAAAACTGCTCCGGATGCTGCTTCTACAATCATTTTTGTGTCCTCTGCTCATTGCATATTTAATATTTCCATTCATAACCTCATTTACAGCATAGTTTTATTTTACCTGCAAACAGTCTTACTGCATCAGCAGCCATAGCATCACTGACAGCAAATGGTACTACAGGATGCACCAAACTCAGTTCTAATGATTTTGAGCTGACTGTACTCGCCGCTAGTCCTGAAGCGATGGTAGATATTTTAGGTAAAGTGACCAATTTGCCTGCAACAACTGATGCCTGGAATGCATTGCTTCCATGTGTCTCTACTGCAATAACAGGCACATTTTTCCATCCAATATTTTGTAAGCCCGTGATCACACCATTCAATAACCCACCTCCACCAACTGGACATATAATAGCTGCAGGAGGATTGCCTTGAAGTTGCTCTTTTAATTCACGAATAATGCTGGCATGTCCCTCCCATATATCTGAGTGATCTGCAGAGGGTACGTATACGCTGCATAAATAGCTTAAATGAAACAGATAGACTTCTCTGTAATTTGATTTATATTACCTATTTCTTTTCACTAGCTTCCGTGCGTGTTCGTCTGCTGCAGGCCAATCCTCGCCATATAAAATTAAATGAGTTCCTTCCAATCTCACTGCATCGCAAATCGAAGCTGCTGTGTCTTTGGGCATGACAGTAATAGCGCTCACATTCAATTGTCTAGCGCAATAAGCCACTGCTAGTACAGTGTTGATACCAGACCCACAAACGAGATGGATATCCGTTCCTCTCGACTGTACTGCCTTATAACAAAAATTACCAATACCTCTATATTTTCCTTAGTAAAAATGAGAAACATAAACACGGATATACTTTACCTCATTTTGACGGAGCCTGACGGCTGTACATTTTCTATTTTAAAGTAAATGTTGCTAATGAAGTCGGATTAGGTCCTTTCTTTTTGTATTGGCACCTAAATTGACTTTACCAGTCAAGTTTGATACTAAGTTTTGGCGAATGAATCAACGGCGTTTGAACGTGCAATGCTTGAGAAGAACGTTGTTGCTCGTCATCTGAGTATTCTTCCATTTGACTTTTGTCGTGCTAAAAAAAAAAGGAAAAAGAAAAGAAACGAACTTGTTAATGGACTGTCTGATTTTCCGCACGTGTTTTTTTCTCGACGCGCATTACTTTTCAAACCAAAACATTTTACGCGGCGCGAAAGCTTTCCTTTTCTTGATTTATTTATAAAATGCTATTTCAACAGCTATTACAAGAGTCAGGTTGTCAACTTGAATCTTCTTCGACGATTGTATTTGGTACACCAGCAAATTACTATTTAACAATGTGTTATTAATACATTTTGAAAGAGGTCGAGCCTGTCCTGTTTCGCAGATCGCTTACAAATAAATTGCGTAGTCAAGCAAATGGAGTAGACGAATTCAGCCAAGACCTGCAAAGCTATACAGAGGATCCAGAAGTCTTTAGAAAATGTTTATTACCTTCTTCAGTTGCTGACAACGTACCAAAAACGAGTCGGTATGACCTCTCTTAGTATTCATAAACGCTTATATATTAACTTTTTCTTTTATAGAACCTCCAGTTCAGAGAGTTTATTTAAAATCCTTTTGGCTATTGATTCAATTCAACCTGATCTCATTAATTACTTGTTAGAACGACTTCCTGAATTTTATGTTGAATTAGAAAACGAGTAATTATCCCTTCGAAATATTACATGCCCTCCGATTAACACATTGTTGTCAAATAGCAACTCTAGTTCTTGCACTGCAAGATTAATTTTACACCAGCTACGTTGGCTGGATTACATCGCCCAGCCTGAAGTCCTGACAGAAAAATTGATCGAGGTGAGTCAATAAAAAAACTTTCGTTACTGGAATTTTTTTTGTTAAACTGTAGTAAAAAGATCATCCAAATCACACCATCCGTGATACAGCATGAAATTATCACTTCTTTGCCTGATATGGTGAATGATTCTGAACACAAGGTATCTGTGATAATGCCTCTTGAAGATTTATCTAAGGCTAATAGATAATCCAGCCTATCGTAGTTTATCTGAAGGAATTAATGCACGAGAATTCTGATTTGACAGTTTCCATATTGGACGCACTATCTAACTTGACACTTCATTCAGAGAATTTGGAAGATGTAAGAGAGACCGTGTTAGATCGATTAGAGTCTGCCAAGCTTGCTGATTTGGCTGTAATAGTCAAATTTATGCTCCAAACTGTTACACCAAGCACTATCGATGTTGTTGTATACGGCATTAGACAAAAATTAGATTTTAGATCCTTGGGCAAAGTACAGAATAATACGGGGACACAACAAAACAAGAAGGAGGCACCGGAAGCCTTAATTGTCGAGTCGATTAAATTGGGGTTGCAGTTTCACAAATTTGTATGTGATTCTTGGTTGAGATCGATTGTAGCACTAGAAACACAGGTTTGTTCGATTTTTTTTATAAAAAAACAACGTAACTAACCTAATTTTAAATGAAAAGCGCGAGCACAAAGTAATAGATATGCTTGTATTGATTATTTTGTATTCCATGACATCCATGAAGAAAAAGGTCGAGGCTATTATCAAGAAAAAGATTATTCAAGGGAGCATCACAGCCGCATTGATCCAAGAAACAATTATGTGTCATTCCGACGGATTGTTAGGGTAATATTTACAAAGTGAAAACAAAAAAATGTTAGGGATTGAAAGTGGTGTTAAAATGCCAAAATATGCTTCTTCTAGATACTGGAGTACATTATTGTCCTTGTCTGAAAGCTTATTGCGATCGTGTCAGCAAGTGAGTGCTATCTCACCGTGTGCCAGTACCTTATATATAAGCTCGTTCAAATCCTCCGACGTATATTACAGACAGGTAAATTAATTGATAATTCTAATAATTGACAGTGGGTATTAAGGTGAAAATAGGAAATAATTGGGGCACTTGTGACACATATTGGCAGTGGTGTAGAGGCCGAAATGAATGTGGCATTGAACGTATTATTGAAACTAGTAAAATTCAATGTTTCGAGCGTAGCTGTATACAGTGTGTTTGTGAAGGGTATTTTGGATTACTTGGATAATCTGAATTTGTACCAGATTCGTACCCTCTTTGACATCTTTAGTTTGCTCGCATTAACGGTAACAAGAGACCAACTAATTGCATACGTGACCTCGCTAACCCCTTTTTCGTAGACTGGCAATGCTGATTCCGATGGTTCAGGTAACTTGTGGTCAGAAATTCAAATTGTTATCAGAAAGCAATTGTCAAATCCCAGAGAAAAATACAAAAAAATTGGTATTATTGCATGTCTGTCATCTGTCAAAGTATTAGGATCACGAGAGCTGTGTAACGATCAAGCAGCCGCAGGATCTAGTAACTTTTCTGGAAGATCCTCTCAAGCAAACAATGCTTCCAGACACCCTATGATAAGAACTGCAACCAGTTTGTTAGAATTGGCACTGAATTTTTCCCAAGAAAATCCCGTAAGTTTTCTCTTCCCTTCCGTTTTTTTCCATATTATTTATCATACTAATTATACTTTAGGATTGTATCGCCTTGATCTATGATGAACTAGCTCATTTGATCAATGAAGATGATATCGATGAAAGACTTCAAATATGGATTAAGGATAATATGACGTCTGACTTTACTGAATATTATGTCGCAGCCGAGTCAGATGCGGATACATACATGGAAAATATAAAAAATAATACGTACTTGAAATTGGAACCTGAAAGAAAAATGAATATAGACGAGGATGATTGTGAAATTGTCGTCAAGATATTTGAGCTGATTTACAACCCCGATATAAAAGCCAAGAAACAATTAATGGTTCCCATGTCCTCCATTTTTAATCTGATGCAAAGCTGCGAAAAGAGGTTGAATAATGGAAGCTTACAGGATGTTGATGCTCTGTTTGGATGTGGTATCATCTTGTTTAATACTGAGGACTTGGATGATATATCGTCTGAGGAAGTAGAATACGCTTGCGATATGTTATTCTATACAATCAATTGGTAAGTCGGAAATCTAATGTATTATATCATGTATAATAATCAACCATGATATAGGTTCCGAGAAATTATAAACGCATTCATGTTTTCTCGAGAAGACAAATTTAGAGAAAGATTAATAAGCAGATTTCGCAGTATCCTTGAATTAGAGGAGTTACTTCAAAGGCTGTTGAAACAATCGCCCAGGTATGCGCCTGTGGAATTCCACGCGACTGCACCTGCTTTAAATATTAGTCACAAGTCCTCCTCTCAGATTATCAGTAGCCTGGGTACTCACGAATCCCAGGAAACGGCTACCAGCGAACCATCCTTGGGACAAAAAGCTTTCAAGAAAGATCATAAATCAAGCACAATGAAATTTAAGTCGGTTGATGAATTAAGACCTTATATGAGAGCTTTTCATGTAAGTTGTCATGGATTGTGAATAATTGAACCGTTGCTTATATTATACATACATACACATGTAGCTGCACCTTTTAGAACTTCTCAAATATAACCAAGAATTAGAAGATGAGACAATACAACTAACATGTACCGAAATCAATTACATTTTAAATGACCTTGATGTCAAACTAGATATAAAAATTATGCCACCTCCACCTGTTTTCTTTGGCAAAAAGAAATCTGATGATAAGCATCCCTCCTGTAATTCGACATTGTTGGCTCGAACAGACGCACAAGGTCTGATGAAAAAGGTAAAAAAACAAAAAACAAAAAAGCCATCGCTTGTATATACAGTTTTATTTAACTATTTTTTAGGCTATATTGTATTTACCACCTATTCTTCAAACCCTTGAAGATATATATAGCGAACTACAAGCCAAGGTAGGCTTTTTGTTTCAAAAGGAATCCTAGGAACTCAACTTTGTTTTAAAATGCAGGACATTGAAGCCGGTCGCATCGAGGGTCACGAAGATATTGCGATGAGTATCTCTCTTGTATTTAACATTTTATTCAAATTGATTTCATGGACCGATATTCAAAATTCCGACAATGCCGACATCTTACAGGTAAATGTTTATAACGAATGTTTAGGCCTTGTTAATAATTATCGTATTTTAGAGCATTGTTCGTGTTATCGCCTTAAGAACCGAAAGTACACAAACATCATTCGAAACAGAACTCAAAAATGCGTTCCGATACCTATCTCAATATACAGAAAGTATTCCTGAAGCTAAAACGGCCCTTTTATTATTCAATATATTACAACGGCTCATGGCGATATCTGAGCCCTCTGCGGTATTAAAAAAAAATGCTCTCAATGTAGTCGATCAGATTATTACAACCCGTTGGTTTGACTGGCGCGACATCAGGGTATGACAGGGAGTTAGGATCTATATGAGGAGGTTTTTTTTTATTATTATTACTGACTCGTACTATAGAAAGAAATACCCTACTTAATTGAACAGCGAATAGAATTAAGCGAAGATAGACTGGATTTTCTTCATCAGCTTGTCAATGATATTATACCTGAATTTGAAGAAGCCGGTGCTTTAGAAGGATTTCCATTGCTAAGAGAGGAGACTGTTGTACAGCATTACCAGGTATAGCTTTTGATAAATTAATTGTATTTTTTTTTCTGACAATTGTTATTTGTAGGCTATTATTAATCAAACAGTGAAAGCATTCGATTTGCTTAAAAATACAGACGAAGATGTCGATATCGTCTTGGTTTCCAACGCTCGTATTGTTAGAATTTTTGAGCGAATTACGACCTATGTCAAGACCAAGGAGGATCGTGTATTGATTGGTATCCTGTTAAAAACAGGCCGCTTATTCATTGATCAATTTACAAAGTATTCAATTCCATTCTTCACTGGCGTTTTCAAAACACACAGTAATGATGTTGTAGGAATCTTTAAAGATTTCCAAGCCAGCACTCGTATGTTACAGGTAACAGAGAATATTTAAAAGGAGAAAGAAGAAGAGATCTTTTATAACTTATTTGAACTGTCCAACCATGTAGATCATTTGTTCTCATGTCAAAGTACTGAAAGAAGTTGCACTATCCGCGTATGTGCCGCCCTTGAAAAAAGCATTAGAAGTCGTTATTTATCAAGTTAAAATGCTATTGACTGAAAACCATATATCTCAAAGCGCGTTTTTTATGGGTAAATGAAAAAAAAATGGATGGAAAAGAGCAATTAACACAGAGCTAACATACATTACTATCACAGGTGCATTAAAACATCGAGACATTCGTGGTGCAGAAATCTCATCTCAGGTAGAATCATCCATGGGCTTATAAGAGTTATAGGGACTAACAAGTAGCTCATATATACAGATTCCTCGTGAAGCAGACGAAGAAGACGAGGTAACATCAGATAAATCCGATCAAGATGTCGATGACAACGAGGATGGATATCCCATCGGCGAAGAAGAAATTTCTCGTGGTACAAATAAACAAAAAAAACCCAAAAAGAGCGTCGCGAGAAAAAATACGTCCAATGTTGTTAGTAGAAAGAGAAAGTCAACATTATCTACCTCAACTACAGCTCAGCAAGCTCGCACATCTAGTATTGTTCCTTCTTCTTCAGAGGATGAACAGGATGACAGAGATGATGCAGAAGAAGATGAAGACGACGAAGAAGAAGCTGTTGTCGTGAACAGAAATAAAAATAAGCGTAATAACAAGCGAAGAATTCAAGAAATAGAGGAAGAAGCAGATAAAGTAGAGGATGATGAAGAAGAAGAAGAAGAAGTAGAAGAGGAAGTAGAAGAGGAAGAGGAAGAGGAAGAGGAAGTGGAAGAGGTTGAAGAACCTGAAGTTATCCTAGTTAATAAATTCAAAACCAAACGCAAAGCTCGTGCTACACAAAAAGAGAAAGATGTCGTGGATGATGTTGAATCAAGTAATCAAGAAGAAAGCAATCATGAAGATGATAAAGAAAATGAGGCAGAAGAAGATGACGATATGCCTCCATACATCCCTCCATCCCCGCCTATAAAGGCACCAACTGCCAAAAAGAGACGATTAGGTCTCGGTCCTCTCATTAAATCAACAAAGAAGAAAATCTTTAATTTGACTGGTCCCTCTGATCAAGATAGTGATTAAGTTATATAAATTGAATAAACATTAACCGATATTGCTTAAAAAAAAATACCTTAACGTTGGCGGTTAAAGCGTGTTTATGCATGCTGGCGATAATTTTATTTTCTTCAATAGTTGATTAACAGATATAGTTCTAGTTTTTTTGTTTTAATTTACTACCTTCTTTGTGGTCCCTTTCTAAGCAAAGTGTATGTTATACGTATGGCTACTATTATACTTGTGTTTATACAGCCAAAGGTATGACTTTTTCAGTAATTATCCCATCACTAGAAAAAATAATGGTGCTGAAAACAACAAAGTTTATTACACTAAAAATATAATCTAATCGCATTGTCAGTCGGCATGCTTTTTTAAGAATAGTTGAAGGCTACTCTTATATACTCTATTTATAAATATTGATATCGTCTTTTCTCGATTTTTATTCTCTACCGCAGCCATCAAAGTAGTGGTCTTGATCCTGTGACTTGCACTGCAGGAGTTAAAAAAAAAAAGGAATGAAACACACGATAAAAAAACAGTTTTTACCTTTTACACCAATTTAAAATGAATACAAGACTAATTTCAGACTTAAACAAAATCAATCCAAAGTTTGAGGGTTACAAACTTAGTCCTTTCAACAAGGGATTACACCGTACCGACTTAATACAAGAAAATATTCAAGTACATAAGGACGCCAATGACCATCGCATGGGGTTCCGCGATCTTCAAGCACGTATTCGACACTCTCATTTAATTTACGGCTTCCCACTAGACCACACACGAGGCTCTGCATTTTGTATAGACCAAGACTTCAACTTATTCATGATTGTTTATAATAAGGTATGTAAAAGCTGTCGTTGATAGCTTGCATGATACTTAATTATTTTAATTTAGATCACAAAGCAAACCAAATTTCACTCTATTACTGAATTGATAAAGCCATTACCAGTGCCTGCATTCACTGAACCAAGTGACATTGTACCTATCGAACCCCAATTACCTTCAGTTATTGCTCTCAGTACTGAACTTGTTTTGGCATCCAATGGTGTTGGTGATATTGAATTGATTGGATTGGAAGAAAAGGATGGCGCGATGTTGGGTACTTCATTAGCATCAGTATGCTATCTTGGCACAGGAAAAGAGGGGATTACGCCAGTTCCTTGTGTTTTATTAACAGCACGTCAGGTTAAGGATAAAATTATTATGGTCGTGTATAGCCATACTGCAACCAAAAAGACCGAATTCAATATCGCCACATTGGAGATGAATATTCCTACTCCAGAAACAGAAAGATTATCGGATGGCTCATTTGTACTTATGTTGAAGACGCTACATATACAACAAGGTGCAGAAGTACCTGTTTATTGTGCAATCACACCATCCGGAAAACGCTGTATACTAGGAAGTGAAACGAAATATGTTAAGGAAGGCTATGAAGAAGTGGCTGATGAGAATAAAATGCAAGTAGACGATCCTTACAAATGGAACCAGGATGGATCTGATATAACCATTGTTTTTGAGCTGCCTTCCGAGACACCTAAATCGAGCATCAATTGTAAATTTCTTGTGGATCACCTCAGTTTATTAGTGAAATCTGGGGATGAATTATTAGTATCCTACCCCTATCGTAAATTATGGAGTACGATCCGCCCCGATGAATGTTTGTGGACTTTTGAATCTGGCTTGTTGACTTTGTTTATTACAAAAATGGATGAAAATACACGTTGGCCACAATTATTTGACCATGACGATGGTGTTTTAGAGAATTTATCGCAGGATGCCTTATCGGAGATCAAGTCAAAATTGGAGAGGCTGACTGCGTCAGAAGGTGCCATGACTTCTACTTCACAACCAGCTCAACATCCAGCTTCTACAGATATGGATGAGGAGATCGACGAATCAGGCCAGCCTATTATATTTACTGTATATGATACAGAGGGCACAATCGTGGATGAATTTCATTCGGGCACTTACAATTGGATTTGCAAATCATACGATAAAACAAAACGTTTGCCATCTATCTGTCTTCAAATGGATGTTGACGGCTTGGTTTTTTCATTCACTGAAACCGTTGATCACAGGATAGAAATCAAACATGAAGCCACTTTCGACGCATTTGCGTTTGTACAAGCTTCCAAACGTGATGGTAGATTTACACTTCATGATCCAAACTTTAACTTCACTTCTATTATTGAAAGCAGTCGTAACGCTTATATCTATTTTCATCATGATGATAAGAGAAAAATTGAAGTACAAACACTAATTGATTTAACTCAAGGAAACGATGTGGATGTTATTGGCGCTCAGCTACTGCTGGATGATACACTCATGATACTTACTGAGACTCAAGTTATTGTTATTGAATTGATAGAATAAAATATTTCTTGTTTAAATCATATGGATAATAAGCGTCCAATTTTTATTATTATCATTGATTTTAAATGTTTAAAGGTATTGAGAAGAAAAAAAGCTAAAAGTTCTTTAGGATTACTATATTTGGAATAAATATTTCCTTCTCCCCTGTTCCTGAATAAGGTCACTCATCAGCATGAGAGGTATGATGCATGCCGCTGTTTTTTAAGATGGGAGAAGCTATTGCGCATCAGATTTGATTTCACTTACTATGACGGTTTTATCTTGCCACGAATTCATCTTCAAATAGATTTCTATATGAAGTAAGGCTGTAACAGATTAACTTGTTGCATATCCACCCATTCATGGGGATGCGATTTTTGGACGAAATCGTTTCATTGGATCTAAGCGGCAGCTATAACTGATCTCTCAAACCAGTTTTTCCCAATCTTTGATACATTTGTAACAGTGAAAGAATGTATAATTAACAAGGAAAAAAAAACCGGTAAAAAACTTAACTGCAAATTAAGCGGAGATACCCACAATTAACGCAGTAAAAAGTAGTAGTGGATGTTACTAGAATCATCATGCGCATGAATGGTCTCCCACTATTTATAAAAAAAATAGACAGTAATAATAATGATGTCTTCAGACCACATCCTTTAACGCGTTTGTTGTCAGAGCTTTGGTCCGAAAAAAGACGCATAAACAGACAATATAAACAGGTGGAAGTGACATCATTGTTCACTACATTGATTGGTAGGAAAAAGTAAAAGATATCACTATGGCGTTAATGCTTATATCAAAAATATATCTTATCAAAGCCACATCTTGAAATTGGCGCAAAAAAATAGATGTTGATCATCAAAAGTAAACAAATTCACCAAGGAAAGATCTTGTTCACAAGTGTCCAAATGAATGCTACTTAATTTTCTATTGATCCATATAAAATATTAAGAGATACATTCAAGTTTAGTGAAGGATGGATACATTTTATGACCTGCAGTATGCATCCCAGACGATGCTTGATTTAAGCAATATGCATGATTTTCCCATACAAAAAAAATATTTTTGTGACGTAGCCAATTTTTTTTTTACTTGTAATTTATTGACGCCTTCCCTTTTTTTTTTTTTTTTTTTTTTTTTTTCTCTCTTCTTCTTCTTCACACAGTTTTATTGTTTTTTGTGTATAAAAACAAGTATGTCTACTCCTACTAAAAACTTGAAAGGTATAGTCTTTTTTTTTTCTTTTTACGTTCCCATGCAAAAACCAAACGCGGTTGTTTAAGTCTTTATTTTATGTAGTAGACATTGGTCGTAACGACATTGCCGATCATTCAAGCACAGATCAACGATCTGTTGTTACAACTAATGCCGACATCAAACACAACTCAGCTGTAAATACCCCGCAGTGTCAACATGACTTAAATGTGTCTATTGATCTCGACTCAACTGCGACAACAACTGCGCACGGAGGCAGTTTAAATATTACCAGTACCACTAGCATCAGTTTTTCTGACATTTTACACCAAGAATCTGCCACTTTACCACCACATGGCAACCGTTATTCAGAAATACCCGGCCAAACTCAAATTACTGATGAAGTCATTAATACCCCAAATGTACCACACGTTCCATGCGAGTCTGAAGCTTTCAATCAACCACAGGTTCCAATTTTTCAAGTCAACCCCGAGCCCGAATCAACCATCCAACCTGAACCTGCAGGATCAGCTCAACCAAGCCGTATTCAACCTTTAGATTCGCCTCCTCAAGTAATTAAAGTGGAACCTGAATCACCGATTCAAAACGAACATCGAACACGCATGGAACCAGTAACATGCAGTCAAACATTTTATTCGCCTGTACATGAAACCAATACTGGGCTTCGATCCCCTATCAAGGATGATTATACCAAATTTGGATACCCCACTTTGGATCATAATGTTCGTTCTTCAACTACCGGAAAAGAACACACACTCTATAATCCACTGGGAAATCCAGAACATAGCCAAAAGGAGCTTCCATCACATAATCAACTGGGACATATACCTCTTGAGCTCCCATCATTTTCTCAATTGGCTTCATCCACCTTTATGTCTGCACAAGTAGAGCTTCCACCGCTTGGTCTTCTTCCTCGCTCACCCCTCATTAAACCTAAATCTGGACTATTCACTCATCCTCAACCTGATTTGGTTTCTCGCTCTCAGGCCGCTTTGATTCCTAACTTTGGGATTCCATTCACTTCTCAATTAGAATTCAATGCATCTTCTCACAATGAACTACCTGTTCGAGAGGCATCAGAACTTGTGGCATATACTAAACCTTCTCGAATTCATGGACCTCAAGCTCTTGGCCAGGTTAATCTTAAGCCAGCTCATCGCGGTTCTCCACAACCGGTATCACACAGTGGTCATGAACCACCTACTGAGCCAGGTCCAGCCGCTCATTCTGAGCCTAGACCATCCGCTCATCATACTACTGATGTAGAAGTTGACTCCATGCCCGGTTTATTTTCATCTGGGAATCTAAACGTCTTTGGCACTGCTGCTCCAACTCCAAGCAGAAATCCTTTTGAGTTTCCCGCACCTGCCAGGTCGAGAAAAAAGAAGGTTCCATCTGGCCGTGCTGCATCTCTTACGGGCATGGCTTCTAGTATCCAAGGAAACAATCCTCTTACTGAGCCTGTTAAACAGATCGCTGAAGCGCCTCTCGATCTGACTGATGGGGTATCTGCCAAATTGCCTTCCAAAAAGTATGTTGATATTGGTGCCGATAAGATCAATGTCGAGTCTCCTGCTGATGATATTGATGCTAAGTCTGCTGCTGAAAAGGTTACCGGTCATCCTACTGCCAAAAGCCTTGCCATCAAACAGGTCACTGGAATTCCTGCTGAAAAACCTATGTACAACCCGGGCCAATCACCTGCTGTAGCACCCACTGTAGCGCCCACTGTAGCGCCCACTGTAGCACCCACTGAAGTACCCACTGAAGTACCCACTGAAGCACCTATTGCCGAAGTATCAACTGACGTATCCACCGAGGTACCTGTGGAAGTGACTGTGAGAAAGAAGGACCCGAGGGGTAGAAAACCCAAGCCAAAAACCAATCCTGAAGGCATAACAAAGCCTTCCAAATCAGCTCCAAAAAAGAAGGCAATCAAGGCCACTGAATCTGGTGAGTCGTCCAATACTCCCACGATCAAGAAGTCAAAACGTCAAGCGGATAAGCAAGCGTTCCTTAAGGCCGCCGCAGAAGAGGAAGAGAGACGGGCAGCTGCTATGTCCATTCGACTGGTAGAAGAACGCATTGCCATGGAAGTGGAGCATGCTAGACAGCTTGAACTTGCTCAAAAAGTCCAAGCCGAGGCCATTGAGCAAGCGGGCCATGTTGAAGAAACCAGGCTCCGTCAACCAGACGAACCATCCCCACAAGTTGAATTGCTTCAACAGGACGAGCCTTTCCAACAGGCGGAATCTACACAACAAATTCCACGTGATGTTGGTATCACTAGCCAACCAGAAATCATTCATATTACGGACACTGAGGTCGAAGTCTTGCCAAAGAAGCCAGTAAAGAAGAAACTAGTAAAGAAGTCAAAGAAAAATCCTACCAAGGCCCGTACCATTGGCCAAGAACCACTCTCGGAGCCTGTTACTATGGAAGAAACTGTGTTGGAACCCACCCAAACAGGCAGCCATTCCAAAAAGCAAGCTTTCGGCAAAGACGTTTCTGTTGGTCATTCTCGACGTGATGCTAACGATGAGTATGTACCCCATAAGGATGGTCAGCCCACCTTTAAGACTTTGACTAGTGGCAGGAAGAAAAGAGCCGCTGCAACCCCTGTTTCATATAAGGATTATGATTTGGATGATATTGAGGAGGAGACACCAAGGAAGAAACGTGAGAAGAAATTGAATCCGAAGGCTAAAGAAGGATTGTCAAGCTCTTCAAAACCGGCAAAGACTATTGTTGCAAGACCCAAACGATCTTCTGGTAAAACCAAAGAAGTAGAGGAAAACGGTCCGATGAATGCAATTTACATTGACACGGACGATGAAGTTAAAGAGACGGAGATTGCGCAAATCGAAACTTCCAAGCCTATCCAAACTCAAAAATCATCCGATGTTGAAGATCATAAGCTTATGCGATTGTTGCAAAGCAAGGATAGCAAACTGGTCCAAGCAAACTTTAGGGTAAGTTTAATTTATATCCAAAGAAGAAGAAAAAGTTCGAATTGTAACAAACATTTTTAATTGTAGCAATTGATCCCGGAATGGCTGGCTGCTTTTTCAGAAAAGGATAAGCAAGAGCTTGCCTTGCTCCTTCCCGAGGCTGATCAAGTCATTAAAAACAAGAACGTTACGATTAGGTCTGACTTTGGACAAGTGTCTACCAATCATTGCTATGAAGCTGCAGAAAAGTGGCAGGATATTTTATTCTTGGGTGGTTTCGATCCTGAAAATAAGTCTGCAGCTGTCAATGTTGAGGATGACAGCTTCAAAGACGATAATTATGAACAGCATTGGGGCGATCGTATCGCAAAATTTAATAAGGAAAAAAGAAAGCGTGAAGAAGCCGAAGTTGGCCACTCAAAGGTAAAGAAAGCAAAAGGAAAGGGCAAGGCCTCAAATACTCGTCGTGGTCGCCCACCTAAGTAAACCCACCCACCCACCTACTCACGTTAACTCTTTCGAGTTACTGATAAAAATAAAAAAATCATTATTACTTCAAATGTTTCGGTTTATGGTTGGACGGGGGTAATAGAGTGTCTAATTGTTAAAGTGCTATTGAAAAGTTAAGTTAAATAGTAATACCTTCTAGAGTCAAGCATTCCTTCGGCTTATTAATGAAAATTTGCCTACAACTTTTGTTTTCGTTTTTTGGCCTTTTCATAGTATAAGAATCTGATTTAGTCAGAGATAACGGATGGTTCTGCATGCGATAGAGATAGGGGTGTAAGTGGTGATACATATTGTTATGGGAATCACCAACAATATACAGAGTCTATGCCATGTTGGCTTAGCCTAAATTAGAGTGCTCCATAGGAAACTTATTCTGGAAGTAGACATTTGTTCGTTTTTTTTTTTTTTTTTTTTTTTTTTTTGGTTTTCAAAAGTCTCGATTTCGTGGCCGAACACACGCTACTTGTTGAATAACAACAATCTCTAGCAGACGCAATACTTAGATTGTGAAAAAGCTGGTTAAAACAATGGGAAAAACAATAAAGCATTATTGACTTGAAGAAAAGCAATTTAGATCCACTATAACGAGAATAATCTTTAAACCAGTTAGGAATTAGCTCGCTGTTTACGAGGCTACATAAGGCCAGCCGTAGGGAACTAAAAGATTAAAAATCTTTAACAAACACTTAAATTCTCGTATAACACACAGGCAATTTCATTTGTAAGGACGAATTGTACATCAGCGATTTCGAAAGAATTTAAAACACCAATGTCAATTCAATATTGAATAAGGAACACCACTTTGTCTGATGGATGGTGTACAACGTTCTTTTTTTTTTGGCTTTGCCGGCGTTTGTAAATCAGGTTTTTTGACAGCTAATTGTGACGGTTGAAAAAAAAAGTTTTTTTTTTCGGCCTATTTTTTCATATAAACGTGAGTGAAGACTTCAATAAAACGTTTTTGTTGTTTACTTCATACTTTCTCACAAATGGTAAGTTCCTTTCAAAGGTTAGAAAATATAAGAAGCTGTTGCTAATATAGTATGCTTTTGAACAGTCTGCTCCCGTTAACCCCAAGGCTTTCCCTCTCGCCGATGCCGCTTTGACCAGCACTATCCTTGATCTCGTTCAACAAGCCTCTCACTACAAGCAATTGAAGAAGGGTGCTAACGAAGCTACCAAGACCTTAAACAGAGGTATCTCTGAATTCATTGTCATGGCTGGTAAGTCTTATTATTTTTGAGTTTGGGAATTGGAAATTGGGAAAAAATTTAGATCAAGATCTAACATTTTTTTTTAAAAAAAATTATAGCTGATACCGAGCCTCTTGAAATTCTCCTTCACTTGCCTCTTCTCTGTGAAGATAAGAACGTTCCTTACGTTTTCGTTCCTTCCAAGACTGCTCTTGGTCGTGCTTGTGGTGTTTCTCGTTCCGTCATCTCCGCTTCTATCACCACCAACGAAGCCTCTGATCTTAAGCCTCAAATTCTTAGCATCAAGACTCAAATTGAAAAGCTCCTCATCTAAATTAAATAATACATAATATTTCCCCATCCAATATAATCAAGTAACATTTTTCTTGGTGATCTTAGACGGGTGCTGAAGACCAACAACAACAAAAAAAACTAATACTTTTTTTTATTTTTATTTTTCTCAATTTTCTTATTATTATTTTCTTATGATGCACTCCAATCTGTGAAAGAAAAGTTTTATTTTGGTGTTTTTTGTACATCCTGTAAATAGCATTTAAAATAAACAAATCCTTTTTTTCTTATAAAAGATGTCTATAAATAATTTCATACATTGGGGTCTGTCCGTCTGTCTATATATGCTTGTTCTTACTTGCTCCAGTCTGTATGGATAATCCCTGATCAACTTTTCGGGTATACATGTACAGAGCAGACTTACTTGTTTGTAGATCCCTGCAGTTACTCTACCTTTTGAACTATCTCCTGTCTTTGAAGGGTCAACAAAGTTAAGGGGACTATTGTGTGTGTATATAAAAGGTTATTTATTTTTTATTTTTTCCTCATCTTAGTTTCTATATCTCTCTCTTTTTATACATAAATATACAATATATATTTATCATTTATACTATATCTATAATATGAAGTCCACCGTTGCCATGACATTATTAGCCACCGTTGCCATGCAACAATTGGTTTTAGCCCAAGGTATATCTGGCATGTCATTGTTCTTTTAGAGAGTATTAACAATAGGAATCGATTTAGATGCAGTCAATGTTGCTACCGTACCTGCTGTACCTACTTTACCAGCTCTTGTTACCGACATTTACTGGTGGAAGACTCTTTTGACTGGTGATGAGATCTCCAATTATTTAACTGCACCCGCTACAGAGGCCGCTACTGCTACTGCTAATGCTGCCGCAGCCGGTGCCACTACTACTACTACTGCTGCTGTTGTTGCTGCTGCTACAACAAGCGAAAATGCTTCTGGATCTTCTGCTGTTGCTAGTGGTAGTGCATCCGTATCAGGTTCATCTGCCGCTGTATCCGATGCTTCTTCAGCTGTTTCCGATATTTCATCATCATCCGCAGTGGTAGGAGGTAAAATATTGGCTGGGGTTCCTCCTATTTTGAACATCCCCTCCTCCTCTCTTTTTTTCTTATTCTTCTTTTGTAACTAACTCCTGTCTTTTTCTAGCCTCTGCTACTCCTTCAGTTGTAGCTTGGTCAAGCTCTTCTTCCTCTTCTTATGCAGCAGCATCTACCGTTGTTCCAGGAAAGTCAACCACTGTTGTTTTACCTAGACCCAGCGGATCCGTCACTCAACCTTCCACAAGTGCTGGTGCAGCCAACAGTGGTGCCATGATTGCTGCTGATGTTGGCAAGGTCTTATTCTCGGTAACAATTGCGGCTGTATTAGGAAACTTTTTTTAAATTAAGCAACACAAAAAAAAAACCCCCCCATACAAAAAAGTTCATTCTACTTGTTCTTTACCCTCCAATAACATTAATATATAATAAAAAAAAAGTAAATAAAGAGAGACTCTTGTGTTACCCAAAACAAATCCGTCTAAAAATAAAAAAGGAGAGAAAATCAAAATCAAAAAAAAAAATAGCTATTTAAAACCCCCTTTCATTGATACCTTTTCTTCTTTCTTTTTCATCTTTTTTTTTTATCAAACTAAATCCTCCATATGAAATTCATTGCTATTGCTACTGGTATTGTTGCTGCTTTGACAAGTGTTGCTGCACAATTGACCTCTCCCATGCAAAACTATAATGTCAGTAGCCCCGTATCAAACGAACCCTACGTGATGGGACAAATTTTGCCTTGTACCATTCAATTATTTGAAAATGTGATGTCAGGTAACAGAAAGGGAAACAATGAATATATCAACCAAGTCTCAACCTAGTCTTTTCTTTTTTCATACATAGATATCCAGCTCTCTATTAATCTCGAATCATCTGCCATCAATAGTAATGCTAGTTTTGTGGTTGCCGCAACTGTTGACGTCTCAAAGACCACAGCCAGCGCAAAACGTAATGGCAATGTAACCTTCTATGAACACTCAGTAAATTACAAGATCCCTACTACCCTTATTCCGGGATCATACAAGGTTGTCTTCTTAGATTCTCGTACAAATACTCACCTTGATGTTCCCATCAATGTATTACCTGTTGCTTCAACTTCCGTCGTCAGCAGTCCAGTTATCACAGGTGGTGCTTCTGCTACACCTGCTTCACCTGGATCCATCTTTAAGGAGAGTAACGGTAATGGTGTTGCTGCCATGTCTCCTGGTTTGGCTACCAAGGCCATTGTATCTCTTGCTTGCGTTGCTGCTTTTGCTGTAATGCTTTAAGTAAGGGGGCCCATCATCTTGCACGTGCAGTTGCAATTCTTTGTTCAACATGGAAAAAAATAATTTCGGGAATGAAAAAAATAAAAAACAAGATACACACACGAACACACACAAACATACACACACACACATACACATAGTATAGGCTTACTCCTACTTTTCTCCTATCTATTTCTCTTTTATATATTTATACAATTTTTTTTTTTTTTTATTTTTTTACTCGAGTATTAATAGCTATTAAAAATAATAAAACGTCTCTTTTGTAACTTTTAAATATATCTGTAAGAGTTGTGTAACTAGGTACTAGGTACTTATACCTAGACCAAGCACATAATAATAAAACTCAGTTTATAACCTATCTTATTCCGCTACCTCTTACATTGGTGGAGTAGCTTAAATAGCGTTTATTGTCTTAAAAACAACCTTGATAATAATCAAATAAAATCAGCTTACTGTTAATTCTTGTCGATCATGTCTTATTCTAATGGAGGGGATCAACCTCATAATCCATGGAGCCTCGATTATAATCAGATCGTAGCTACCGAAAGAAGTAACGACGCCGAGATTCAACACATTCAGTATCAAGCACAACAATTAAAGATGCAATTTGATCATGAAATGGATGCATTACGTTTATCCAGTGTCGAACAATTACGTCAGTCTAACATGAACCATCAGACACAAATTGACAGTATGCGAAAGGAAGTGGAAGAAAGAGAAAGTCGACTGGAAACCACCCATCTCCAACAATTTGAAAATCTTAAAATATTTTATGATAGGCAACTTGCTCAACAAAAAGAGTTTTATGAGCAACTGACCACAAAAATTGATGAAAGAACCGAAAAATTGGAAGATAGAGTTTCGAAATTGCAACATTCATTGGAAATAGCTCACCAACAGCAAAATCGAAATGAGGCAACCATCGTACTTTTGGAGACTCAACTTAAAGAAATGACTACTCGTAGTGAAGATCTGTATGAACGTGCAGAAGGTCTGAATCGGGAAGTTGATAACCTTCAGCTCACTTGTGATACATTGAGAGCTGAAAATCGAAAGCTTAATGAACAAATCAAGCTTGGATTTCCTATTACTGAAGACGCAATTGTAACCAGAACGGATATTGAAAGGGCTACACAAGCATCAACACCATTCTCGAAGGAAAAAATTGTAGGGGAATATCACCGAGGTAACGAATCTTCACACCTGGAACAACATTCTATCAGTACGCATGGTTCACGCATGGAGGAGGATGTTAAATCAGAGAGATTCGAATCTGTCAACAACAGTTGGGATAACCAATCCGTAGGTTCAGCTACACCATCGGTGGTATCACAAGCAAGACATCTGGCAACAATGGCATCAGCCAATCGTGTCAACACAGGTCGGGCATCAGTGGTTAGAAACACGCAATCGCGTAACAAACACCCGACACCAGCTTTTTACGGCACGAATAAGCCTACTTCACAAGAATGGCTATCACAATTTCGTAAAGTAATTTTATATCATCAATATAACAATGAGGAATGCTTAGCTGAGTTTATGATGGCTATGCAGGGTCACGCAAACTCGTGGTGGGAAGCACAACCGGACACAGTCACCAAAAACTTTGAAGCGTTGATAATCGCATTTGAAAAGTTTTATGGTGGATCTAAGGCTTCGATGGCTCGATCCATTGCTACCCTCAAAACCTTAGCACAGAACAAGGAATCCATGGCTACTTTTGGCCCACGTATCATGAATTTGATTTCGACTGTCGCACAGGGCAATGAAGAATTGAAACTTAGTTTCTTTTACTCCGCGGTAGATTCCAAGGTCGCTGATACGGTAATGTCCACTAGACCATCTTCTTTGGTGGAGGCCGTGAATGTAGCTATTGAATTGGAACAAGGCCTTTTGTACAAGAATGGATCATCAGCTCATAGAACAGCTCCAACTACTAAGGTCGACTGGGCTCCAATGACTTCAGAAAACGGGGTAGATATGATGGATGTCGACGTAAATGCGCAATATCGTCATCGCTCGTCCAATCACAAGGACAAGAACTCTTCAGGTTTGAAATGTCATGTGTGCGATAAATCTAATCACGTAATGAAAGATTGTTTCGTACTTCGGGATGCCAAGGCTATGGCTAAGGAGAAGCAAGATAATAAGAAGGACAAGAGTCACCATTCCAAGAAAAAATCGAAAGAGCCTACTAAATCATCACATGCTCAACAAGCCGTTCCCATAGCGAGTAAGGATATTAGTCCAATTACGGATGAGAGTGATGAACTAGACATAGATATTACTGATAATTATTTTTATTTTTTACATCAAAATAATCAAGAAAGTTTGGACCCACTTCGAAATGACAACCTCATCCCAAATATCGCAGGAGGTATGTCCGATGTAACCAATTTTGTTTTGGAAGCCACAACATCAACAAGTCCATCTGGTGATAAAATGAAAACAAATGTTCTGATTGATACAGGTGCTAATATCAGTACTATCACGCAAAAAGAAGCCGAACGACTATCATTGCAGTTCAGTGAAGCAGCACCCTTGAGAATTATTTACGGTAATGGATCAAGTGGATTATCGAAACAAGCCGTGTGGATGCCATGTTCAATTCAAGGTATGGACTTAGGTGGATTCTTTTTACGTGTTGTAAATACGCAGAACTTGACAACTATCTTGGGTATGGACTGGTTATTACAGATGGGATTACTTTTGGACCCGCTGTATAAACAACTAATCCCACGATCAAGTGTATCGGTCAACACACAAACTACTGGTAACGAATTTGAGGGAATACCAGGTGAAATTACGAACATTTTACTTCTATATCCTGACCTTTACAATGAAACCAATATCCAAAGTATCACGAATGCACCAATTGTTCATCACATTGACACAGGCGATAGTAACCCAATTGTATCTCGAAGTAGACGTTATTCGCCAAAAGAAAACGAAGCAATTGAAGCAGATGTCAAGAAGATGCTAGAGATGAACGTTATTAGAAAAAGTAACTCACCATGGAGTTCCAACCCGGTAGTAGTGCCAAAACCTGATGGAAGTACTCGTTTTTGTACGAATTTCAGACCGTTGAATGCTATTACCAAGAAGGATAAGTACCCGTTACCACGAATGGAAGAGCTTCTGGACCGGTTAGGAGGGGCTACGTGTTTTACTAGTATCGACCTTAAATCGGCTTATTGGCAACTATCGATTGCTGAAAAGGATAAATGCAAGACAGCGTTTCGAACAAGCAGTGGACTATACGAGTATAACTGTTTGGCGTTTGGTTTGACAAATAGTCCTGCTACGTTTGCTCGCTTTTTGAATACATTATTACAAAGCGTAACAGAATTCACTATTATTTATCTAGATGATATTTTAATCTTTTCGACCTCACGAGAAGAAAACATCCGTCAAGTTCAAGAAGTTTTAAGAATTTTAGCTCACTGGAACTTGAAGATAAACCTCAAGAAATGTCAATTTTTGGTGCCAGAACTGAAATTCCTTGGATTCATAGTATCTGCAACTGGTGTTCGAAGTAATCCTGTCAAAACACTACCCATACAGAATTGGCCTCAACCATCCAATGTAAAGGAATTACAGCAGTTTTTAGGTATTTGTACCTTTTACCACAAATTCATTGACAATTTGGCAGAAATGGCCGCCCCACTATACCAACTATTGAAGAAAAATGTTCCGTGGGATTTTACTGACAAGCGTAATAAAGTATTTCAACAGCTGAAAGATCGACTGATCAAACTACCGGAGTTAGCTTATCCACAAGTCAACTTGCCGTACGATTTGCATTGCGATGGGAGTAATTTTGCTGTGGGGGCGTGCTTAGTCCAACAAGGTCGTCCGATTGCTTTTGCAAGTTCCACTTTGAATGCTGCTCAGCAAAACTACACCACAACGGAAAAGGAATGCTATGCTGTTGTCTGGTCTTTGAAATATTTTCATTGTTATGTCCATGGAGCCACGCTGAACATTTACACTGATCATGCTGCACTGAAGTCGATTCTAGCCACCAAAGATCCTAAAGGTCGTATCGCTCGTTGGATTGTTGACATTTGGTGTTATGAATTCAACCTGTTTCATAGAAAAGGTAGTGAACATCTCGATGCCGACGCATTATCCCGAATCCGGGTGACGAATGAGGAAGGCGGATATGTGGGATCGGTAAATCAACAAAACGAATCTCCGGCCGATCAACTTCAAGCACAACAACACGAAGACCCAAAAATTAAGGCAATATTGGATCAAGATACACCTATTGAATTACCATTTGTAATCAACGGTGGAGTGTTATGCCACGCCAAGAAGAACAAGCCGAAAGTGCTGGTCATCCCTAGAACAATGGTCCCAAAATTCCTAGAGGCAATACATTGTAACCCCTCAAGTGGACATATGGGTAGGGACAAGACGCTTGCCAAAGCTCAAGCTAATGGTTGGTGGTGGAACATGCGAAGCGATGTTTTGGAGTTTATTAAGAATTGTCAGAAGTGCAAGATGTTCAAAACACCCACACACAAGTACAAGAAGATGACGAGCATTGAAGTAGGTTACCCTATGGAGAAATGGGCTGCAGATATTGCGATTCTGCCAGAATCAACATCAGGAAAGAGATACCTGTTAGTACTCATGGACTATTTTACAAAATGGACAGTAACTGCAGCATTGGAATCGTTTGATACCAAATCGGTCGCCGATGTCTTAATTTTCTCGGTCATCCTTGTATTTGGAAAACCTGGCCAATGGATAACAGATAATGGTAAAAACTTTATATCTGAAGCTATGAAAACAGTGTGTCAGCGTATGGGTATCAAGAAGGTCGATACAAGTGTAGAACATCCGCAATCCGATGGATTAATTGAAAGAATGAATCGTACCATCAAAGCATCTCTATCACTATATTGCGAAGCAAATCCACAAGCATGGGATTTATATTTACCTTTTGTCACGTTTAGTATTAATACTTCAGTACAGAAATCAACCGGATATACTCCTTTTCAAGCTATGTTTGGTCGTCAAGCGGTACTGCCAGCATTAGAAGATTTTCCAAGATTATCATCAAAGGGTTATCAGGCTGAAGAATGGATCGCATACTTAAATCACTATATTCCTATCATTCATGAGGATATCAAAATTAATATTCAAAAAAGCCAAGAAAATCAGCAGAAATATTACAACCGAAACAGAAAAGAAAAAGGGAAATTTGTTGTTGGGGACGAAGTTATCAAAATCAAGATGAAAGATAATTGGAAATTTAGTGAACCTAAATTTTCCGGCCCGTGGAGGATAGTAAAGGAAACCAACAAAAATGGTGATGCCTTTTTATTAGAACTGATTGATAACTCAAAAGCCAAAAGAAGAATTATCAAGACAACAACTGCAAACATTAAAGACATCTATAAAGTTTGAATTAGATATTATATAGAGCGTTTATTAGTATAGTTTAGAAAGTCCTTTTATAAGGGGGACAATGTAAGAGTTGTGTAACTAGGTACTAGGTACTTATACCTAGACCAAGCACATAATAATAAAACTCAGTTTATAACCTATCTTATTCCGCTACCTCTTACAATATCGTTACATTTATTTATTTTGTACCACTCGAGACAGTAATAAATCCAATCTAATTATAAAAAGTTCGGGTTCATATGTCACACAGGTGCCTCTTTTCTTTTTTTTTTGACAGCTTTAGTCTAAAAATAATTGACCAATTCAAGAAAAAAAAATCTATAACCTCTAGTTTAGTACAGATTTTCATTTCGCATGTTATTTTGTTCCCTCCCAAAAAAAAAAAAAAAAAAAAAAAAAAAAAGCATTGTACATCACAGATCTGTTCCTGTTTTTTTTATTCATGCAAACAAATCCTGATATTTGATTGGTTATAAAAGATGTTCTGCGTTTTATTTATACCCCACCATGCAAAGTTATAATCGAAACCATGTGCTTAATCTTTTGTTTATACAGATAGAGTATTTTGCAAATATGTGATTTGATACTACTTTTTGTTTGTATCTAATGAAATTACAATTGTAGCAGGAAGAAAAATCCCAAAGATCCTATTTCATTTACTACACCAGATTAGCTTATATTCGAGTATTTTGGGAATCGCTGCAAGGTAACAAAAAGACAAAAAAAAAAAAAAAAAAAAAGTCTGTATCCCTTCTGCATGTGGGGTGATATTTTGTTTTTCATTTACATGTATTCCAATGTCAAACAACTTACAAGCATATCTAAAAGTGCCTTGATGATGTCTGCTAAGGTGAGGAAAGTTGGAATGCCATTTATTCTTAGCTTGTTTAACAGAAAAAAACAACTTGACGATGGTATATCAATAACTGACCTATAAGATTGAAATGCTTTTTAAAATAGCCAATAACATTCGCCTTAAATTATAAAATATTCTCTTATATGACGCTTATGCTTCATCATGCAACCAAGGGTTTTCTTTGTAGTAGCTACCGCCAAATATATACGATATAAACCTGAAGTGCTTAAAAAGCAGAATAAAGGACAGTAATATGGCGCGAGCAATAGAATTCAAAAGCTTTAAACAATGCTCGTCGTAAATTGTGAACAAAAAAAAGGCAAGTGTCCTCTAAATTTAACTATTTGATAAACTAATGTCAGGAAATTTTGATAAATCTACCACACTGTAGTCAAGATATAATACTGATAAGAATTCCAACCACAACTGCACAAAGAAAAATAAGGAATACAATAGAGCCTTATTAAAAAGAACAACTTTTTATTATCTATCCAAAGCAGTAAAATGTTGCATTTTTCGAATAAACATGTGATATATTATGTTGGAAAACATTCTACGTATTGATAAAAAAAAGTTGTTTATTAACTTTTTCATAGTATTAATATGTATATAATTTAGTTAGTGCGGTATTCATACCATAACCAACTTTTTCACCCCCTAGCTAAACATTTTGTAGTCCAAATTTGGACGTCATATGACGCGTAAAGAAATCCAGGCATAGTAAATACATCTTTCTTATGAGTTGGAAAACACCATACGCTATTTATAAATAATGGTAAGCATACTGTCTTGCAATTGCTAGGATATAATTTTTGACTTGTCTATAAGGACACTGTTGTGTTCGAAGCTATGTGCTTATATGGCTCTCTCATCTATTATTATTTTATCTATTTTTTGAGATCGATCGAACATGTATCAATATTTATAGCTATTTTTTAAGTTTTAACTTTTCGAAACGAGGCTAGGCTCCCATTGGGTTTATATTGTATTGGCAAAATATTATGATGCGTCTGATACCCGTGACATTGTGTTTGTATTAACTTGTTGAGTTTTATTAACTATTCAGCACACTAATACGAACTCGTATATGACATTAAGTTTCAGAAATTCTTTATAAGTACTGCTTGTAACACTGGCGCCTGGGAATGAAGCAACAATATCGTAATTTTCACAAAAAACACTGTGTAACAATATAGTCACTTTGCGGGGTTGTATTCTAAGCCAAGAAAGTAAAGTCGCATTTGCCTCTGCATCAATAATTCTCATGAATAGCAAATGTAAACTTTCCATTTGCTCTTATCTTTCTATCGTCACCAGATAGTTCTTGGATACGTAAGAGTGGCGTCACTCAAATAGTATGCATTTATGATAGTGTAACCCGCTTCCATCCGCACTTCTCCCACAGTTGATTTAATACATCATGGTTTACAGAAAAAGTTTCTGATTTTATAAGTTTGGCAATAAAATAACTCGACTGAAGAAGTTGCTACTGCATCAATTCCGAGTTTTCTTTTTTCACATATAACCCCCTTTCTTTCTATAGAATAAGTTTGGCATTGTCTATCACTCTTTGCTGATGGCGATAAAAATTACTAAAACCAGTAAATTTCATAGAACGGTGAGATAAAAAACCAATGATAAATAAATGGTTGTTTTTCGCAATATTTACTCAGAAGATTTGTTTTGAGTGTCTGCTAAATGATTTGATTTAAGTCAATTTTTATAGTAATTTGACAAACGCCATGTATAATATGAAGTAGCATTGTCATCTTTTTTTAGGTTGTATTACCAAGAATCTTTTAACAATATGCATCGTATAGAGCAGTGTGACTTTAATGTTTGATCACACAAAGGTAAGAAACCCCATAAAAAGTAAAAGGTTTTCCCCATAAAAAAAAAATAGAGCATTAGTCATTCTAAATTCAAATAATTTCAGACCTCAAACTGCATTTTTTTCTTTGCGGGATCATAACCATGTTCATAGGGTGGCCCGTGTTAAAAAACTAGACCTCTCTAACTAATAAGGTAACGTCTACACATTCGTCTAACAAAAGTGTTTATAGCTACTCATATGACTTGTCCTTATTTTTTTAGACGCATATGTAGACTTTACCGTTTTCTATCCAAAGTCCTTGTCTACAAAAAAATGGTATTTTTAAAGCCACGAGATGACCGTGTTTTTTTTTCTTTCGCGCTTTAACTATTATTGGTTATTTTACTGTGAAAGTATTGATAAATATCTACTAAATTCAGCATTACAAATATGACAGTCTAGGGTGATCTGAATATTATATATCGATTAGTAACTGTAAATAGCTATTCCAGAAGACATTTCTACCATAAATGAAGCCTCAAGAGTTAAGGGTGATTAAATAATTAAATTATAACATCCTAAAATAAGATAGATCTTGTATATCATTCCATTAATGAAGCTGCTTCACACTTTGCTTTTTTCAATTTTATATGTATGAAATTATCTTAATGAAAGAAAGTAGTAAGCATCGTGAAAAGACTAGTTAACAATGATTTATTGTCTTTTTTAAAAACAGCACTAACATATGACCTGTTTTTCTTATAAATAAAAAAGACGTATTCCTATTTTTGCTTTACATGAAGCATTTTTTCCCTTTGATACTCAAAACAAAGTGATCTGTAATGAACTAAAAGTATACCAGCTTATAACTGACATATCATGTTTGTTTGTTTACTAATTGTTCGTGTTACTAAACATCATCTTCGTTTTTAAAAATATGTTATATGGAGAATATAAAACTAATAAAAGCACATATAAACAGAGAGAGAGAAGTAATAAAAGGGTGTAAATATCTATACAAAGGTGTAATCACTGCATGATAGCCACCTAGACACCAGAAGATTAATAGCTTTGTTATTTTTTAAAAAAATAATGCCATCTGCTCGTATTGTCTATAAATATTTTTCTATAAATATTATTGTGGGTTTTATTGTAAGCATAATCCACGATGCCAAAATTCTATTCGAAGTTAAGTTTTTCAGGCAGAATTGACAAATAAATTGTACAATCATTAAAGGATGGATTGCCACTAGATAAAATATTTGTATCAGCATTGAGTAGAAAACACTCACAACTAAAAAACCAAGTATCATTGATGAATTGCCATTTGGAAAAGTAGTCCTCAATAGCCCATCAATCATAACTTGCTTTCTTGTAGGACAAAGTCCCCTTTCAAGATTGCAGGAAATATAGTCCTACCTTTCGCTGTTTTATCAACATTTACCATTTTTCAAAATCGGTCTAGATGAGCCCAGTACGAATATAAATTTTAGTTCATCAAATAAAAAATAAGTAATTCGTTGTTTAATTGATATTTTATCTGTATGTGGGGTCTTTGTTACACACGGATCAAATATTGATTGGGTTTTAAACTTGATGTCATGGTGCAATGCCGCGTAAAAGCGGATGTGGATGACGTTCCTTTTAATACAAATCGAGTCATGAGTATATATGACAGTTCGTATTGATGTCTTCACTAGTGACGCATTTTCTAATTACCGACGGCTCTCATGATACAACTTTTAGCGTGAGTATAAGATTTGCATATCTTCCCTTGCTGCGTGAGAAGCTGAATAAATTTTCCAGTAATTTATTTTTAAAGTTTAAGATTGATAAGTGTGTTTGTGTTCGTGAGTACTTTTTTTTTTTTTTCAATGAAACGTAAACCCGAATCTTTGTTCAATTAATGAGAAGAATTGTTATTAAGCTTTCTCCGTTATTCCCATAGCTAAAGATTAAAGATGTGGGGTTGGAGGATATAAAATATAAAGCTGTTCTTTCTTTTTCTTTTTCTTTGCACATAAAAAATAATGAAAGAAAAATACCAAAAAGACCTCCCTGATGTCGACACATTTGTTGACGTAAAAGCTGCAAGTGTATCTATCCGGTCCGAAGATGAATCTGTTCCCCCATTTCAAAAAACAAAGGCTGAAAAAAGACTGGTGAAAAAGATTAACATGGCGTTGCTTCCTTTTATTGGGGCCATCGTGTTCATCCAATTTGTTGACAAGTCTACACTTGGTATCTCTGCTGTTTTAGGTATTATTGAAGACACCCACTTAACGGGTAGTCAATACAACTGGTTAGGATCTTTCTTCTATCTGGGTTTTATCGCATTTCAGCTTCCAAATAACTATTTTTTACAAAAGTTTCCCATTTCCAAATATCTCGGAACCTTACTGATTTTATGGGGTATTGTTATGGCATGTACATCAATGTGTACCAACTTTGCTCAATTAGCTGCTTGTCGTGTACTACTCGGTTTGTTTGAAGCTGGTACATATCCATCTTTATTAATCATTGTAAATACTGTCTATCGTCGATCTGAACAGTCCGCTGCCTATGGTTTTCTGTGGTTCAGTAATGGTGCGGGTACAATGTTGGGTGCCAGTTGTGCTTATGGAATCTCCTATATGAATAACGCTAGGGGTATTGAGACTTGGCGGTGGCCTTATATAATCTGGGGGTGTCTGACAATTATATTTGGTATTCTCTCGTTTTTCTTCTTACCGGACTCGCCCAATTCTTTCATGTTTAGACTGACAGAAGAGGAAGAGAAAATAGTGGAGGAAAGAACGCGAGACAATGCCGTAGTTCGAGTATATGAATTTAAGCGTCACCATATTATCGAAGCACTCAAAGAGCCTCGCCTTTATTTACTTTGTTTTTCTACACTTTGTAACAATCTTCATAATGGTGGTCTTGTCGTGTTTAGTACTATCTTGGTCAAAACTTTTGGTTTCAGTGTAAAATTGATGGTTGAAAATCTCATTAATCATGAAGATACTGACTTGCAACTTTAGGATCAAGAATCTATTCTTCTTCAAATTCCTATGGGGTTTTCCGCTGCTTTTTTCGCCGTGTTGGCTGTATTTGTAGCTCGTAAGACAAAGCAGTTATTCTTAGGGGTTGTTGTATCTAGTACTGTTTCATTGGTCGGCGTTATTTTATTAGCCGTTCTTCCACCCAGCGGAATTAAACTATTGGGGTATTTTCTCGCTTGGGCTATGAATGGTACCTCCGTCATGCTACTTACTATCACTGGTTCTAATGTAACAGGATATACCAAAAAAATATTCTACAATGGTATGAATATGATTTTTTACACCTTGGGAAATTTCATTGGTCCGCTTGTTATGCTTGCAGAGGAAGCCCCTGTTTACAAAACAGGTATGATCATTTACTGTATTGGCAATGGCGCCATCATTGTCATGATTTTCGTAAATCGACAAATCATGGCTAGAAAAAACAAAATCCGACTTAATAATCCTTCTGGTGTTATCTTCGATGTAAAAGACGACTTGACTGATCGCGAGAACCATAACTTTATTTATAAACTGTAAATCATCATTGTAAATTTTAATAAAAACTCTAGTATACTTCTTAATTTTTTATCTATTCTTGTAGTCAAGTATTATTATGGAAGCAGGTTTTTATATACTAATGGCCATTTGAAAAAAATGGCCTTTTAAAGTTATGCTTTCAAAATATTTAGCAGGATTTGTCATTTGCACCCCCCCCCCCAGTTTTCTTATCCCCCAAGAATTATTTCAGTGTATTACAATCTTGCTACGTCTATCTTAGCATGATATGTTTTACTTGGGACACTCAAAGTGCATGTAGTTGCAACAGAAGATCAGGTGTTTTAGCTTTCTTTGAGACTTGGATACATGAATGCACCAACAAAAACAAAGAAATAATTATAAATAAATATTATTAAATAACTTATACTTCGTATGACAATTCAATCGTTACTCTTTTATACTTGGGCTCGTTTGACCTTAATTTTGGGCAGAAATATTAGGATAAAGACCAAACGGACTTTAAAAGTAAGCTATGAAACACGCAGACATGATTGACAAATGTTTATTGTAATGATTTGCATTTGGTCGGCAATAAGTCAAATTGACTTCTTGGTGTTAGTTAGAATGTCCCATCCTAGACCTCACCACTAAACGCTCCCCTACTGTCCATTTAAGAAAAAATTGGCTGACTTTAAGAAGAATTGGCTCCCCCTAAGAGTCCCGCTTAGTTTTCAGTTCACTGGCTTTGTGATGCAATACCATATAGTGGTATCAATCGATTCAAAATTAAAATAAAATTATGCTTTAGTAATGCACGATAATCATTAAATAAGTTATAACTCAAGTTATTCGTACAAAACTAAATCTGGGTTTATTTTTATACATTTTCAAGTTAATTCTCTTCAGAAGAATATTAGCATAAAAGGGGAGCGCATCAAAATTCATTAAAATAAAAGATGTAGCACACATTCTTTTTTCGGTCATAAAGTTATAATAGATGCATATGAGTAAATCTTGTCTCCAAATTCAAATGGAAATGTATAAACATATAGGCGATAATTAATCGAATAAACATTTTTAAAAAGGAGATACATATCACAAAAATTCATAAAAACGAAAAATTAGATCAAAAAGTATGCTCTTATGAATAGACCCTCGTTTTCACGAAACCCCCAATTCTGTGAAGGATTAATACACAGTGGATACAGATTAAAAATGTAAAAGAGGTTTTGTTAAGGTCAATTTGATTTTAACTGTGTTACTTCAAAAGAACAAGATTTGTAAACGCAAAGGGACATAGCCTTTCGAAAAGGTGACATTTTTTTTTTTTTTTTTTGGTCATGGTTTCATGGTATTCAAAGTGACAAAATTTAACGTTCTCACAGCATCGACAAAGAAAACCTGTGTCTGGTCACAAAAACCCAAATGCAACCAAAAAGGAAATTAGAATACGAGGAAAACCAACCGATTTTCCTTTTGTACACACAAACAAAAGTTTTGTTTGGTAAGATTTTAATACCTGTGTGAGTATTTTTGTTTTTCTCCACTTTTTTTTTGACGTTGGTAGGAGTGAAACCTGGATAAGATGACAATACAGTACTAGCTTTGGTAAAGCAGATCATTGCTGAACGTCGCCTGGGTGATTAGATTTATCATCAAATTTTAAAAGTACAAATTTACTGTCTTAAATCCTCAGCCAAATGTTTTACTTCACAATTAGATGGAGTAAAAAAAATTGGTAATGCGTATTCTCAAAGGTTTTTTTGTTGAAGCCTCGGGATAATGACCAAAAGAGTCGTTTGTTAGGGAAAGCTTATTACATTTCGATTCATTTCGTGAGAAGCACGTCCAGAAAGCCAATTAAAATGATTTTCCTATTTGAGCGAGTATTTCATGTGTGCAGTAACTTGATGTTTATTATATTTAGTTTCAAAATCATATCAAAACCCATATTAGTGCTTTTCTCACTGGTGTTTTTTCGAAAATTGTATAAATAGCCCAACTTTCTAAGTTCTTTAAAACACTAAATTATCTTTTCAATAACAATGAGCAAGACAGACTTGACAAATCGAAAGCAAGCCGACACATTTGTAGATGAAAAATCTGCTAGTATCTCCAGCAAAAAATATGCCCCAGTTGAAGATGACACTGCCTCACACACCATCCCTTTTCAAAAGTCTGAAGCAGAAAAGAAGTTGGTGCGAAAGATTAACATGACACTTTTGCCATTTGTTGGTGCTATTGTATTCATTCAATTTGTTGACAAATCAACGCTAACTATTGCTGCTGTACTTGGTATTATTCAGGATACACGCTTAACAGGTACACAATATAGTTGGCTGGGTTCATTCTTTTATATCGGTTACATTGCCTTTCAACTTCCCAACAACTATTTGATCCAGAAGTTTCCCATATCAAAATACTTGGGAGTGTTATTAGTTCTATGGGGTATTGTAATGGGGTGTACAGCTCTTTGCACCAATTTTGCACAGCTGGCTGCATGTCGTGTATTACTAGGTTTATTTGAAGCTGCCACGTATCCTTGCTTGTTGATCATTTTAAATACAGTTTACCGTCGATCGGAACAATCTGCAGCCTTTGGATTTCTTTGGCTTAGTAACGGTACAGGTACTATGGTTGGTGCTGCTTTTGCTTACGCCATTTCGTTCATGAATAACGCTCTCGGTATCCACGCATGGAAGTGGCCTTATATCATTTGGGGTGCCTTAACTGTTCTCTTTGGTATTATCAGTTTCTTTTTCCTTCCTGATACATCCGATTCTTTCATGTTTAGATTGACAGAGGAAGAAAAAAAAATAGTTCAAGAAAGAACCCAAGACAATGCTGTAGTTCGTGTTTACGAAATTAAGAGACATCATATTATAGAAGCACTGAAGGAACCACGTCTCTGGCTCATTTGTACGTGTACTCTTTTAAATAATCTTAGCACTGGCGGTCTTGTTGTATTTAGTACAATCATTGTTCAAAGTTTTGGTTTTGGTGTAAGTTTCAGAGATAAAAAAAAAAGAGGGAAAACGAGATCAAAATTCTAAAAACACATTATTTGCTAGTATAAGGACGCGATTCTTCTTCAGATTCCAAACGGATTTTCTTCGGCTTTTTTCTCCTTATTGGCTGTATATGTTGCACGTAAAACTAACCAATTATATCTTGGTGTTGTGGTTTCTTCTGTGGTATCCTTGGTTGGTGTTATTCTTTTGGCGGTTCTTCCTTCCGGTGGAGTGAAGCTTGTGGGATTTCTCTTGGCTTGGGCTATGAATGGTACAGCCGTGATGTTGTTGACCATCGCTGCTTCTAATGTCACAGGATATACTAAGAAGCTGTTCTATAATGGAATGAACATGATATTTTTCACCATAGGTAATTTCACTGGCCCGCTGCTCATGCTGGATTCCGAAAAACCTACCTACAAGACGGGTATGATTATTTTTTGTATTTCTAATGCAGTTATTATTGTCGCACTTTTCATCAACCGACAAATCATGGCAAAGCAGAATAAGACACGACTTGCTAATCCTTCCGGTCGCGTGTTTGATGCTAAAGATGATTTGACTGATCGCGAAAATAGCGACTTCATTTACAAATTATAATCTGTCACATCACCCATCATATATTCCCTAACCCCCAATTTTACTTCATATTCCAACTCGTAATAAATATCCTTCTATCAAATATATAAAAAAAAGAGACTTTGATTGATCTGATCGTTTTTGAAATTTGATCTATGTTTTAATGTGCGTACAAAATCTTTTAGAGGTAAATTGTCTGTGTGCGTGTGTGAGTGTGAGTGTGTGTATGTGTGAGTGTGAGTGTGTTGAACTAAAAGGTAGCTTAGTCCTTGGTGGGGTAAACCCATTGATCAACAGGAATAGGTGTTTCGAGTTGTTCCCAAGCCTTCCATTCTTCCATCTTTGCAACTAATTTGAGTTCCTCTTGAGCTTGCATAATGACTTCTTCGATTTCACCGACCTCGATCTTTGCTTCGATCTCTCTAATGTTCTCGGTGGATTCGACAATGCTCAAACGTTGTTGAGTCAAAGCTTCGGTAGCTTGTCTGTATACAGCAGTGGCAGGGATACGAGCCAAAGCTTCAAGTGTGCTGTTGTATGTTTTAATCAAGTGAGGACGAGGGTTTTGGTGAACGGGAATACCAGCAAGGCCGGTTGAAACCTAAGTTTAAATTTCTTAATGCACATTTTGCAAACTAAATAAATCGTAATGTACCTTAGTAACAGCTTGGAATAAGGGGCGATTGAAAAGCATTGTTTTGGTAATAATGTAAGTGAATGAAAGAAGTATCCGTGAAAAAAAAAATATAATAAATTCAGGCCCTGCAAGAGAAAAAAAACATGACGTCACTCACCTAATTTTTATAAAATAAAAAAAAACTAACTTCTCCATATGTGGGACTGATCATGTATCATTTTTTTAGGCACTTTAAATTGATGAGATTTTACATGATTTCTATCTTTATTTTTGGAGATTGTAATTTGAATGTGTGATCCATATGTCAAAAGTATTATTTTATGTCCATTTTTATAAAAAAAATTTACCTGACGAATTGGGAATGTATTTATTTTTATCATTTCGGTTATTAACATCTCTTATTTGTAGATCTATACCGACTTGAGAGGGTCTTATAGTCTCCAACTTGGAAACTATGAAAAAGGTATCCAGTATATGATTTTTAAGCGCTTAAAAGTTTAAAGTACTTCCTTTGTGTCACATAAAATTATCAGGATACTGGTTACATTCTTACTTTATTTGGAATGAAGCCTGGTATTTTTTCCGATGCCGATGTCTATACTTACATGATTTTTGATTCGTATGCCTAAAGTTTCATTTCTTTAATCTTTTCACAATTGGTATGATGTGGCAAATTAAATACCAGTAGCATATTCAGAAAAGATTAGATGCATATCTATTTTATCAATAAGCAATTATCTCATCCTGACATAAACAAGTACTAGTCTAAAGGTCAGTTGATATCAAATCCTCTTCTTTTCTTTTACAAAATGCTAAGAAATGGGAAATAATCATATGAGCGCATCTTTTCATGCAAGGAAGGTTGCGTTCTAATTCTCTCGAGACATGGTTCAATGCTACATTTGTGGATGGTCTCTGCGTTAAAATAAAAAAGTGGATGGCCCTTAGTCTTTGGAATATCAAAGACTACACGGTTTCAAAAGTACGTTTTCTTGAAAAAGGGTTCATGATATTTTGAAAAACACGTGAGCTTTTAAAACACGTAATTTTTTTGAAAAGCTCTGGTCAAACATAATCATAATGATGCTTTGACCTTAACTCAAAATCGCTCAAGCACTCACGAAGATATTGGCAACTATGTTGCCAAATTGTAGAACGACGAGGTATTCCCAATGAAAATCATCCACGCAAAATATCATTTCTTACTGAATTATTTATTTTAATACAAGGGGGGAAAAAGAAATAACGCCCAAACACTTAACTTCCAAACTAGCAATGGTGTTGGTATTAAAAATGAAAGTGTTGTTATAAAGAATTATTTGGACCCATGTCACAAAAAAAAAGGTAGGACTAGAATATACGGTATTATTATAATCTGTTATTTAACATAAAAAAAAACGTAACTGATTATTAAAGAATAACCTATATAACGTATAGCTTAACATTATAGTATAATTACACCGCCTAGTTCAGATGAAGCCTTACTAACACACTGATCCGTATTTATTAGCTTGTGCATATGTGGATGGTCAAGTCTATTGTTTTTGGGGAGACTTTGTCTCCGGTAATAAAATTGATCCAACCAGCTTTGATATCAAAGATATTTTCTTTATCGAATGCAACTCGGTTGGGTGTATTATCAGAATTGGGGGTGTAGTAACTTTCACCAAAGTTATACATCTTACCTGTAGTTACTTGCGATGATAGTAGTGAATTGTGTATTTGGGTAGTAATCTGCAGGCGCGTAATTATGTCGCCAAAGATAGAACAATTTTATGCAGAAAAATCCCCTACCATGTCAACTTTATTGAATTTCTTATTTTATTTTCAGCGTATACATTAAATATTCCAGGTGATAAATGGACATGACAAGATTTTTACATCCGTACGTCTTTAAATAAACCTGGATTTAGTCATTTAAGTAAGTATCCTAAACTATGATTCTTATTTAGACAAATTTTTAACAATTCATAAATAAAATGGCAGTGCTTGTTAATTTAACACTGTTTGTTCTATTTGGAAGAGGGTTGAGCAGAGGTCTAAATCCATCCATGCTTACCCTTAATGTTGCCGACACTTACACTCATGTTTATAGAGTCGATAGTGTATACGACGAATCGTATTAACCTATTAAAAAGTTCTTTTCATTGGCCGACATTTTCGTCCACGCTTTAGACATTAACTTTTGACTTGAAAAAAGTTTTGACTCAAAAAATATTACCATTGGTTTTCTTCTTCACTTATACATCTCTTATCTATCTTACACAATTTCCTTTTTTAGCTTTATAAAAATGCCTCGCGCCAATTCTGATATCGTTGTAGGTAGTCATGCATCTACTAAAATGAACTATTTACGTAAATAACAGTCTTTGCCCTGCTATCCCTTTAGTTGAAACCAACGTCCCGGGAACACAGTTTGATGATAATGTCTCAAGAATAAAAAAAGATGGTGGCGTTAATCACTGCAATGTGACCTTTAGTACTCTCCCTGACGTTTCCATTGCTCTTCGGGTAACTTGTTTCTGTTATAGGGGCCGCTCAGCGTAAAAGATGCTAGATTCAACAGCCTAAATTCTCACAGACGAGTACCTTGACCTTTTAAACAACTCTATTCAATCAGCTTCATTAATTTAAAGCGAGAATGAAAGCAATAATAAAAGAGAGCCTGTATATACCACCCCTCTTTTTCCAAATATAGTAATTACCACCCCTGTTCGGTCGCACCGGACAGTAGATGTCCGGTGGAAGTGGATCACTTAATACGCATTTATTAGGCTCAATTGTGGATCACTTTATACGCATTTATTAGGCTCAATTGTGGATTACTTTATACGCATTTATTAGGCTCATTGTTGGATCACTTAATACTAATTTTTTAGGCTCATGTATAGTGTATTTTTGGATCACTTAATACTTAGTTTTTAGGCTCATGTACAGTGTATTTTTGGATCACTTAATACCTATGTTTTAGGCTCGTGTACAGTGTATTTTTGGATCACTTAATACCTATGTTTTAGGCTCACTATATTTTCATACATATGAATCTTCCAAACATAGTTTGGTGATGAGATATTGGTAAATGGGAGAGACATCTTCAATATATTGTACATAGGCAAAATCTGGTCTTCATACACCATCAGACGTATCCCATAAAACCTTAAGGTTTTCAAGAAGGTCCTTACTCTCCAACATAGCCCACTCAGCTCTCTTCTTGGCTTTTACCACCTCATAACTGATTTGTTTCCTTATTTGCTTCTTAAGTTTTTTTTCGTCGACTCTCAAAACGGAATTTCTATCGGCCTTCTTTTGCTGCTGGCGGATACAGTATGCAAGCCTTCCACCTTGGTCAGGACGCCCATGCTTGACACCAACGATTACAACATGGTGTTTGACCTTCAAGTGCTTGATCAGGGATGATCTCGAGTTGAACGTCTTATGGCACTTACCACATGTCAACTTGTCTTTAATTAATGTGTCATCAACATCTTCGACATCAACTTCCTCAAGTGATACTTCATTCTTTGACTGGTTCAATTTTATGAAGAGTATCTCGATTAAAAGATTTCTTGGGGCTACTTCTACTCTTTTAGGAACAATAAGACTCTCGCCTTCAGCAATACTTTCTTGATTGTTTATTTATATAATCGTTGTAAATTGTAAAATGGAAAAAGCAAAATGGTACCTAAATCCCCCCCGCCCCTCCTCAAACAATTATTCGGACCTGGTTCATAGGCCTAAAAAATAGGTATTAAGTGATCCAAAAATACACTGTACATGAGCCTAAAAACTAAGTATTAAGTGATCCAAAAATACACTATACATGAGCCTAAAAAATTAGTATTAAGTGATCCAACAATGAGCCTAAAAAATGCGTATAAAGTGATCCACAAATGAGCCTAATAAATGCGTATAAAGTGATCCACAATTGAGCCTAATAAATGCGTATTAAGTGATCCACTTCCACCGGACATTTACTGTCCGGCGTGACCGAACAGGGGTGGTAATTACTATATTTGGAAAAAGAGGGGTGGTATATACATTTTCTCATAATAAAACGGTAGGTCTAAACTGGGAAGAATGCAGCTTTAATATTGATCAACGCCTTGCTCACCCTGACATAAGTTATCAGTACATTAACCTTTCTTTCTTAGTCTTTCTGGGGCGGGAGAAACTCGGGTCCAGTTCTTTCTTCACTTTTTGCCTTGGTCAAAATTGTTTATAAGCCATTGGCGACTTGGACATTTATCTCAATGATTTTTATAGTCACTGATTTAAATAAGACGATCTTCTTTATTATAAGCATTGTTGTACTACCAATAAAGCATATTGACAGTACTGCAGTGATAAAGGGTACTTCTGCAATTGACAGTTACGATAAAGCATGTACAGCTCAAATTGTGCCTAGGTGAAATGCATAAATATGTGACTCGATTTTCATCAAAGACTTGGGGACCATTGTAACGAAAACATTTTTTCTTCTTCTTACAATATACCAATGAGCTATGTTATACCTTCTGGCTTGAATGCCCAGAAGTTTCAAATCAACACTTATGCACGACTTTATGCAAACACAAATAGTACACGATGGTTAAGGACGAGAGCAATACCGAAGACTGGTCAGAGATTACAGATGCCCTTTTTTGATGCAGAACGATTTGCTCGCTTGCTTGAAAAAGAGGGCTTTTCTTCTGTGCAAGCCAAAACGGTGATTAATGCTCTTGACGATGTGGTTGATGAAAGGTACGACAGCTGTCTTTTTTATTTGCTTTAGACTCAAAGATTGTTAGTACCATCAATGTCACCAATGACTTGGTGAGTAAAGCGGATCAAGAACAGGTAGACTTTAAAGATAGAAGGCTCGGAAAGGTACTTACATGTTATAGACCATCACGCGTTACAAAGAAGACTTTAGCAAACTTAAAAGCGAAATCCAAATCATGGAACGAAGGGACGTGGAAGAAGTCAAGTCAGCCAATGAACGTTTAAAGGTTGAAATTGAAAAGTTGAAGAAAACGCTACGTGAAGAATTAGTGCGTAGTCAAGCAGGAGTTCGACTAGATTTAAACTTGGATAAAGGCCGTATTCGAGATGAGACGATTGAGCAGCATAATCGTTTACAACAAACGGATGATAAGATTGAAAATGAAATCCAGGCACTTAAAAGACAAATGGAAGGCATTAAGTTGCAGATTTTGCAGTATATGATTGGAACTATTACTGGTGCAGGAACTCTGATTTTAGGTAATACCATTTAACATTTTAACTTCACGGATAATTGATTATTTTTCACAGGTTACATTCATTTTTTTAGTTAGATACATTTCTCTCACGCGTCACATATGTAATAAACTTCATAGATGTAAAAAAGACCCAAACAACCGTGGGAAAATTATTCGCCCCTGTTCAATTGAGCATGTTGGAACTCTTTATTATAATATTAATATCATTTCATACACAAGATGAATTCTCGGTAGGAGGTCTTTGACATATTTACAGTAATAAGGGTGAAAAGATCAAATGGGAAACCACATGTGATGACAAACGAAAAATAAATCCAAATTCCGTTATAATTCCCATATTTTATTTTATTTTATTTTTTTCTCTTTTCTTTCCACTTCAATATTTTTCCTTTCTCGTCCAATATGCTTAGAACTCTCATTAGCCCCTCCATTACTAGACCTTTGACTTCTAACAAGGTTGTTGCCAGAACTTTCTCTACTGCTTTTATTCAAAGACGTAAGTTTACTTTATTATAAACACCACATTCTCCTAAAAACGCGAGAATATTATAGAGGCTGTTGCAGGTACCACCGATGATAAATCTTATACCCATATCCTGACTGAGACCAAGGGAAAGGTTGGCTTAATCACTTTGAACCGTCCCAAGGCATTAAACGCCTTGTGTAGTGATTTATTCACCGAGTTGAATCAAGCTCTCAAATCCTATGACAATAATGATAACATTGGTGCTGTTGTCATTACTGGATCCAAGAAGGCTTTTGCCGGTAAGGAACCCCCCCCCTAGGTCTGTCGCATAAATACTTATCCTCCTAATATAGCCGGTGCCGATATTAAGGAAATGAAGGACAATACCTTTATTGATACTTACAAAAACAACTTTTTGGGTCATTGGGCCGAGATGATTGATATCAAAAAGCCTATCATTGCCGCTGTCAATGGTTATGCTGTAAGTTGGTCTTGTTTTTCGCGTTTTTCTGGGTTTTAACTGTTTTTTTAAAAAAAAAAATAGCTTGGTGGTGGTTGTGAGTTGGCTATGATGTGTGATATTATTTACGCTGGTGAAAAGGCAGTCTTTGGTCAACCTGAAATTAAGTTGGGTGTTATTCCCGGTGCTGGTGGTACTCAGCGTCTTGTAAAGGCCGTTGGTAAGTCCAAGGCCATGGAAATGGTCTTGACTGGTAATGTCAACTTAAATGCTACTGAGGCTCTTAACTTGGGTCTTGTCAGCAAGGTTGTTCCTATCGACGATCTTGTAGATGAGGCTGTAAAGACTGCCGGTGTTATTGCCTCTATGAGTCAACCATCCGTTCAAATGGCCAAAGAAGCTATCAATAAGTGTAAGTTCTTTTCAAAAGAGAGTGTTAGAGATAGTAAATAACATTTTATTCAATAGCCTTTGAGGTCCCCCTTAATGCTGGTCTCCGTTGGGAACGTATCTTCTTCCAAACCCTCTTTGGAACTGTAAGTGACAATAAAAAAATCACTGAAAGAACTAGGTATTCACATTTTTAATTATGATTAGGCTGACCAAAAGGAAGGTATGAACGCTTTTGCTGAAAAGAGAGCTGCCACTTTTACCAACAAATAAATATATATGTCCTCTTTCAATCATGTAATATATATTTCAATAAACCATGTTTTAAACATTCCAATAACTCACACACGCAATTGGAAAATTATTCAATTGAACGAAAAACTATAAATTTTTGTTTAACACTTTGTCATAGTGGTGTCAAGTTCATTTGTGTACAAGAAATTTTTAGGAGCGAGAGCAACTTTGATGGCAGAATAAACACTAACAATTATGCCGTCTGCTTTACGTTGCTCTACTGACAAGAGAATGAAACTATAGGCTTCAAATTAGGTAGACGTTTCATTTTATTAGTAGAAGAAAATAAGAAAGAAGCCAAAATAAAATATTTTTCAAGCAATGAAGTCGAACAATCCCACTGTTTATCAAGTCGAAAATGTTCTTGCGGAAAACCCAAGCAGCTCACTGGAAATCGAGGGTTACCGTTGTTTTCTCGAACGTCTCGGCCAGAATTACGCTTTCCTCGACAATTTTTATGGGTATACAACAACGTCCTCTCAAAACCCACAATTCATGCTCCGGAAGTTGCGTTTAGCTGCGTGTTTTAACAAACAAAGTGCTGACATGCAACTTATAAATTCTTTGAAGCAAAAGTTTGGTCAGGATGCGATCTTTGTCTTGGGAAACTGGTCTGCCCCAAACGCACTTTATCATGAACCAATTTGAGGCACCGGGTTGAGACGACTTCTTGTACGAAATTATCTTAGTCTACTACTCACCAACGAATTTAACACGAGCCGATCCTGTCCGCCCTGACATAATTTGAGCCTAAAGAAATTCAAACAAATCGGCAATCATAGGCCTTACCAACGAAGCAACTATCATTTAACCTTTTGTCATGGTCTTTTAAGGTAAATATATTTCCTTGAAACGTTTAAACTTTTTGATGTAGATGTACCAATCAAACTTGTATGGCCAAGATGCAAACCCATGGATTCCAGCATAAGCTTTAAAACAGAGAGTTAGCCGCCTGTTTGAACATGATTTTATTAATTCTAAATTTAAGAAACACTAGTCAAATCCCAGAACGATTTGCACGTCATGTCCACTCAAAAAACGTCCTCAAATGAGTGAATAAATATCCATGCCAGTTATCGCTGGTGTTACCCGTAATACACTTTTTGGTAAGGCTTCTTATTATTGCTTGCTAGATAAATAACTGTACTTGTTTCTATATTTTATTTCTGCCTCTATTTCTCTACCTCTCAACCCTTTCCATGTAAGTACATTGCATTGTTTAACTTTGTAATTTTTTTATACCCATTTTTATTTCCATCCTTGAATGATATTTTATTTTATTTTGAACGATTTTTCATTTCATTTTTGAACGATTTTTTCGTAACAGTGAACAAATAACTCTGATTTAAGTGTAACGGTATGCAAAACAAGATTTTGTTTATTTTAGCTGAAGACTAAAAGCGAATTTTGTATGACTTTGGAGTTATCGGCAACGAAAAAAAAAAACTGGAGATCAATGATCAAACACAATAAAATGCACATGTACATGTACACCTAGAAGAGGAAAACGGGGCACTATATTATGTGTAACAGGTGTTCGTACAGTTAGTTCTTAATTACACGAAAGGAGAAATGACGATCGGTTTTAGTTATGTATGATTTATGATGAGCTGAGTATTACATATGTTTATTGTATAGTTGAGGGGAATAATGATTTCAAATGAAGTTATGTTTCTAAACGTTTTTAAAACAAAAAATTAATTGGTAACTGATGCTTTCTTATTGTCCATTAGAGCAAATGTGTCTGTTTTGGAGCTATTCAAGAAGGCAAATGTTGCTTGCATATCAAAATAGCTATCTATATCAAATAGCTCAACCTTGACGTCATTGGTTACTTCTTCATTTTTTGGTGTCTTTAGTATTGGTGATGGCGATGATGATGATGATCCATGATTTTTGGTGCTGGAACTTGCACTTGCTGTAAGGACCGGTGTTTTGTTTTCCTTACTTAATTCTCGAGTCAGCTTTTCAAAAGTGTCGGATAACTCAATGGCAGAAGGCTTAGTATAATGTTTTTCATTTAAAGTTGGCGTAGTGGGAGCGCTTTTTCTTTTAGTGTCTTTTTTGGTGGTGCTATCTTCGGTACCATTTAATGATTTCTTTGACTTTTTCTTTTTTAAAAAGAATGATGTAAATGATCTTCTCTGTTTTATTTCTGGTCTGACTACAATTGATGCACTGTCAATAGTGCTGTCATTTGTTTGTTGTTGTTGTTGTTGTTTTTGTTGTTGTAATTGCTTTAGATCTTTCTCCGGTTGCTGTGTTACAGCAGACTTTATATTATATTGGTTCTGTAACCGCATGGCTGGAGTAGTTTTATCGGCAGGCACATCACTAATCGGGGATTCGGATAATAATAAACTAGTTGCAGGTAATACCTTCTGCTGAGATGTGTAGTACCTATTTTCTTTTAGTGCCACTTCGTTCCCGATCACTGTGCCATCTTGAAGATAATCATCTTCATCGCATTGCTGATCATCATCATTTTGTTCGGTCTTTGTTTCAGTATGAATAACTTCATCGAGAGCCGACTCTTCATCGTTTTCTGGTACTGTTGTATCGATTAAGTTATAGAATCGTCTGTTGTTAGATTCTGATACTATGGAAGGTGGATCCCAGAATGTGACGTTCCATTGCCTTTGCATATGTCTGGCTTCTTCAAAAATGTTAAACCAATTGATTGGAATGACCGCACGCAAATGCTTTGTCCAAAGATGAATAGGCGGATTTCCCGCATAATCGAAGGCAAGGTAGGCGTCAAAATTTTCGGGCAAGTATCTAAAAAGGAATTAATGTGATTTCAGTATTACAAAGAAATTTGGGCGCGAAAAAAAAAAAAAGTCTTACCTGGCTTCGGACCATCTTAAGTCTTCTAATAAATCTGTACCTACAAGGAGCAAACGTGTAAGCAACAAGAATTGTAAAAATATTTATGTGCTTACGAAGAATAGAGAAGCAACACATTTCATCGTCCCAGCCTAGCTACGTACATTAGTATTCTATCTCAAAATATAACAAATAATTACATACCTTGAAATAAGGCAATGGCAATTAATTTTATTTTTATGATATACAGTTCACCCTGCTGTAAGTCATTGAATGAGACAAGTTCTAGAGATTCCTCATGAATGGAGGAGGTCTTCGTACTTTCGGGTGTAGCTTTTGGAGCATGGGAATTAGGCCAGCTAGGTATAAATTGAGAGGACTTTCTGTTTTTATCAGACATGTTAAAAAAGGAATAAAAAAATGAAGGGAAAGAAAAAGGCAAAAAGTACCACCAACTTGCTTTATACCTGCCCAATATAAAGGGGCAGATTCGCCTTTGTACGACGACATGGGGCGTTAACAAAAATGGATTTTTATCCCTAAAAATAACCTCGATTGGCGAATAAAGGCGCATATTTATTGTGTATAAAAGAATGATAAGTATTAATGGAAAAAGTGGTACCATTGCTTTGATTTTAGTGTATATATATGACTATATGTTTTATGTACAGGAAATAAAAACAAGAGGAGGATCCTTCTCGTTAGGTCTCTTCATTAGCCTTTAGTACCATGTTTTTCAAGAAGCGTTGTAAAACGTGTCTCATACGTTGTGGTGTGATTTTCGGGGAATATCTTCGTATTCTATATTCCAGACATCGCGTAACTATATCCCTTGGTATAAAAGACCCTTTGGTGTTATTAAAAGAATTGCCAGTATCATTTGGATGGCCACTATTACTGTCATTGTATGATTGCTCTCCGTCCGCATTTTGTCCAGGTAGTATGACAGACGTAGCAGGTCTACTATAATAAAATGAAGGTGACATCCATTTTGCAAACGAGTTCTTTTGTGTAGAGGCAGAGTACCAAGAAGGCGACATGGAGGTGCTCGGTAAGATGCTATTAGCAAATGAAGGATGATATAAAGGTAGATTGTTTGGATTTTTTTCGAGGTTTCGTTCGATTTCATCCTCATCCATAGTCTCGTCATTTTTAGGCGAAGAAGCTAGGTGTCGTGGTGAGGAAGGGGAAGAACTATTATCGGGAGCCGTTGTTACTAAATGTCTATAACTTCCACGTAAAGCAAATTCTGGCGGTATTATGTCCATAGTCACAGTTCCTATCAAATGAAGGTGGCGAATGGCTTGTAACACATCGGAAACTATAATATTACTATTTTTGTGAGACAATGTGCTAGGATGAAACTCTTTGATTGATGTTTACCATAAAGATATTCCAAAAATTCTCGGTTTTTAAACACTCTTTTTTCGCTTATTCGGTTCATAATTTTGTGCCAGAGATTCGTCCTGTTGCTCCAATAAGGCCAACCATATTGCATCAATACAATCATATTTCCAGCTTTCTCGTCCCAGCGAAGAGCTGAGTCTATCGAAGCCATACCTCCTCTTAGTTCAGATTCGTTATCAAGACTCACAATCAAATGCTTTATACAGCGAACAACCAAACCTTCTTGTGTGACTCTCATCAAACCGAATTCTCTTCCATTGAAAATGTTGGCAACTGTGCAACAGTCTATTTCGTCATTATTAAAATCTTTTTCATTTAAACCATTTGGTATTGGAAACACAGAAAGTATAATAGCTATTTCAAGAGTAGATTGCTAAAACAAACATAAAAGGCGTTAGCAGTTTTTATTAATGCTCAAAATTAGCATTTTTAAGATCTTACCTGGAGACTACCCACGAGCAGATATATAACCCCGATGTTATACAGAACGCGGAAAGCGAACATAAATGGTATGTCCATTTCGGAGCTTGCCCGGTTATTGTCTGTTTTTTCCTGTCTTCGTTGTACTTCTATGCGGTCGCAAATGCTTTGAGATAGTTCGAGTGCTTTTGCTAGATTGCCTGCAATAGATGGCTAGCGCATGTAATTTTATATTAATAAAAAAATAAAAAATAAATGGCACACAGTGGTTTGGTATCACTTACAGATGATAATGCCAAATCGCTTCTCACCAATAAGATCGCATTGTTCATGTCAAATGGTAATTTATATCCCTCAATGACACGACATAGTTCTATTTAAAAAAAATTATACTTCGTAATCTTATTTTTTTTTTTTCCTTCTTTTTATTGTTACCTTTTTCCCATCCACCTAAATGATCTATGAGTGTCTTTTGTGACAATTGTCCATTAGCCCAGTTCCATAAATCAACACAGTGTCGAAGACAATCACCAGCCTTACTTAATATATGTAATGCATTATCGACACCTTTAACACAATAAGAATCTAAGCCCTTAGCACGATCATCATTGTCTTCGTCCGTTACCGAGCTGCATGAACTGCTACCAATTTTCTTTAAGTTATCATTTCGTCTTAATAGATGCAAATCATCTGAGAAATCTAGTGTATTTTTTTCAGAGCCATTATCATAAGGGCGCTTGCTACCGGGTTTATTGACTATGCCATTATTCGGTTGAAACGAACAAACAGGTATCAGGCAAGATTTTTCTTCCGCAGAGCTTGAAGCTTCGTCCGTACCACAAACATATCTGTAATAATCATATCCAAATTGTGCAAACTGGGAGATCGCTGCCATATATTCGCACATTAATGTTGAAATGATTGAGAGATCCTCTGTACTTATTTGCGCAAGGGCATCCTCGTTTTCGATCTCATCATCAATCCTAACACTATTTCTATGCTCCTTTAAATACTGAAATCGGATAACATGTGAAACTGAATCCAATTGCTCCAGTCCATTATAACTAAAACATTTTTTAATACGTATATGACATTTACGGTGTTATGTAGCACTCACCCACAAGCCGATAGCATGGCGCATGTAAATTTGGCTGAATCATCCCACCTATGTTTCTTTATGTAAAATCTCTGTCCCAACAAAAGGAACTGTTCAAAGAGATTATAAGGCAAAGTGATGTAATGTTTGCTTTCGGTAGATTTAATGGAGGGGACTTTGTCTTTTCTAACAAGTAGCAGACGCTGTTTACAAAGACGTGGGAACAACTCGGTCACTAAATCATTGTTAGAAACGTATACCCACTCGCGTAAATATAAATTACCCAGTAGACTGACACACTTTTGTCTTTCATCGCCTTCTAAATTTTGAGCGCATAGTATCAATAGGTTAATGGCTCCAATCTTTGAAGATTAGTTCATATTAGTTACATTCAAGATCATGCTTTAATGGAAGGTAATATTTACCAGATATTTATACGCGTGCCGAGGATATGCTTGAATGTAATCAAACAAGACATTGAAAGCTCTCATAGATTCCTTTTCCTCCAAGTATTCTAGGTCCTAAGTTAGCTATAGAACTGAAGTAATATATCAACCGATTGTACCTCTTGCAAAATCAATGATATTTGATTGTAGAAGACATGGTAACGAGGCAAAAAATCCTATATAAACTTTCAATGGGCTGCGACATTTCAAATATCGAAGGCGAATCCTTACGACTGGCATCGGTATCCTTTGCAGGATCAATGTTTTCTCCAACTTGAATCATATAGGATTGAAAGACCGGATTCTGTAAGCTGTTTGAATGACTGGTATTGTCGTCAGTAACATAATTTTAAAAGTGAATGTACATTACAGTAATACAAAGCTTTGTATAGCTTTCTCGAAATTGCCAGAGTGTATAGCTGTACGGAGTGTTGAGAACTAATAAGTCGTTAGCTCATGTCATGGGAGAAAGACAAACAGAAGAGATTTACTTCATTTTCAAAAAGCTGGTTACCAGCCTCAAAGCGCTCTGCCGATGGTTCAGATTCTTGCGACATTGCAGCTTGATTTATAAGAATTTCGCTCAGTGTGTTACTATCCCTTTGTTTCAAATAATCCTTAACCTTCAATGTTAAAAAGAAATAACGAAACAAAACAAACGAAAAGGATTTTGGGCTTAATGCTGTAACTTACTCCGACCTTGCTTTTGGCCACAATTTTGCGGATTTTTTTTTTAAAATAAAGGAATCACCGTGAACAGCTTGCACTGAACAGTCAATTTCTGGATTTGTGCACACATTGGAGATACTTTACCAAATATTGAAGGACCAGGACTTGATTGAAAAGAATTGAAATTATAATAAAATCATGCATAAGAAAATCACGGTAAAAAGCCTCAAAAACCGACAAAACCTGCCGGGATTCTCAGACATTAACGTTTATGAAAAGCAAAGCCACGTTTGCACATTTAAATTGACATAACTGTTTTGCATAAATGATAGTAGCTACTGTTATATTGCCTCTACCCTACCATAACAGATAGCAATATTTTTCAGAAAATGAAACGGAAGAAGGAACAACATCAAAATATAAAAAATTTACAGTAGATTTATGAGTTTTATCTAGGCATTAGGATAATGTGATAGTTGGTAGAGTATCTTCAATCGTGTAAGTTCAATATTTATCCACTTTGGTCTACATTTTTGGTAATTCAATAAAGTTTTATGTACAGGCTACATAAAACAAATAAATCAAAGAGCAGACTTATAATACGTGACAGATCGTATTAGCAATGAGAGCTATAACCGGATCAAGCTTTTGAAGTTACTATACAATCTTGAACGGATTGCAAAGGGTTTAAACATCGCTATCTTGAATAGAGATACCCTAACGGGCCGTATTTATAATATATTACTTAAACAAAGTCAGAATGCCATCCGGTTTCTTTGTTTGTAGACAATGCATAGACGCTAATTTACAGCAGCATACATCATTAAATTCTTTTGATCATATGCATTGCAACTTCAAAATCCATGACATTTTCTATATTTACCGCAAGTTTTTTCTTCTTCTCAGACGCGTATGTAAGCAATCATATCATCAAACGGTGTACCAAAAGGGATTAGATGGACAATAATTTCCCTAAACATTCGCCAAGTAGTCTCATTCCAAGCGTTAAAATGGCTTTTTGGTGGTAGGTAGCTTTGATCGCCCCAAATTAGGATACTGTCGCTCTGATTGTTATGCCACACTGATGTACAGCAAATGATGCTTTATCTGCGTATTTATTATTGTAAAATAGTTAAGCCAAATAAATATAAGTGTCATCTGGGCCACGCTCTAAATACTCCCTATGAATTAAATTGTTATTGCACATTCATCAAACATCTGTTATATATGATTACTTTTCAATTAGACTCTCGATACGTAATTTCACATCCTGCGCCTTTGAAAAGAGAAAGGTTTGAAAACCAGAATTTTGAGTTTGCATTTTTCCACTTACTGTAACAGGGAACTTTACTAGACGAGTTACTTCGCTTAATAGTAATCCGTGCGTTGCTGTTGTTTTTGATTTCATGATTCTAACTATGACGGCGTCAACTTGTTGGTCTCTTGCAAATAATACAGTTGTATTCATAGTTGAGTTTTTCTCAATCACTTCATTGAGTGTTGCTGTGGTCATTTTTAGGTGGGTTTTATCAGTAAAAAAGTCATGATTAAATACAAATTGATCTGTCGGCTCGATGTCATCCCCCTCAGGATATTTTTTCAGAAGCTTGTATTCTCTACAGGATAAAGATACGAGAGTTCGTCGTAGCTCCAATTCATCTACAAAAATACATCAGGCTATTATCGGAATTTTTTTTCTTTGGATTTACCTAATTGCGTATATATAAGGATATCTGTGAAAGAAAAATAATTTTTGCTCTTGTCATTAAATAATAAAATAACTATTGTTTGCAGCAGAGTCAAGGTGATGTGTTTTGTACCCTATATTATAAAACCTTTAGGCATAAATAGAACTAATACTTTTAAACTAATTTACCAGTGGATAATTCGCATTGACTTTGCATACACTTAAAGAATTTTGCCACGTTAAAATTCTTTTTTCGAATTTTTCCATGTAAAATTCGGTATACATGCTTTGCAATTGATGAAACATAGGCGGCAAATTCACTGTCATTGGGACATAAGAAGGCCAAAACCCATTAGTGAGTAAGTTAACATTGAGATTTAGAGGTAAAATTGAACCAGTATATTTGGACTAAACAATATGGTTAATAAATTTACGACATTCGAGCTTTTCTTAGACTCACGTTAAATTCATCCATCAGCGAATCGGATTTTTCTATATCTTTAACCATGCCCTCTAGTTTTCCTGTATAGCCTGCACCACACTCCTTCTTCATTTTCGTGAGCATTATCTTTTCTGAATTTTTATTTGTAACATTGAGCAGTAAGCGCTTTGCAAGATCCCTTTTATATAGTACTTCGAACTCGTCTTTTCCTTGCAGGTTGCGAAATATGAACATGGCTTTATCTAACAACTCTTCATCGAACTTTTCACCTCTAAGCACTTGATCAATATACTTTGCCAGCAATTTGACAGCATTATTTGCTCTGAGATTTATAAAGTATTCAGTTCCATCTTTTAATCCATCCACGAATTGTTCATCTCCTTCAAAACTATGATCAACAATTTCATCTGTCTGAGATTCAAATGCTGATAATCGTAGCATTTTATCTTGCACAGGTATTTTTTCGCATAAAATTGACGATCCTTTTGCCTATGCACCATATTATTAGATTAGATTACTGTACGATGTTTGACTTGTTTATTATTTACCTTAACATACGATGTAAAGTATTTGGCGCATATTTCAAGTTTACCGACTTTTTGTAATAGTCTGTACAAAAGTGAAAACTTATCGTAATCGCTCTCTTGGAACCCATTCAGGCCCTGGAAATAGTTGAAACCTATTTGTCATAAATTTGTGTCATTTATATGTTAAACACATTTTCAGGTCCTACACATACATTTGTTCAAGATATGCTCAACCCTTTTTGTCAATAACTCTGTCTCGACAATCGCCTGAAGATGGGATTTTGTTGATTTATCAAAGTAGCTTTTAACTCGAAGGATTGATTCCTGATGAACTCTTGTGGAAATGTGTTCCAAATACTCAAATATATTGATATTTTCAACTAATTTGTCACCTTCATCATCATAGAAACTTCTAGTTGCTGTGAGTAATTGTTGTTCAAAGGATGTATGATATAGGTTTAGATCCATTAACATGCGAATATTTAATTGTAAGAATTGTTCGTCTACTTTTTCACCAGTTCGTTCCAATTTGATCAAATCCAATATTATGCCCAAGACTTTTTTCCACACACCATCGTGTTTCATGTAATTCTCCCGAAATAAGGCCATTGCCATATTCCAGATAGATACTGTTGAAGAGGAAGCGACGTAGGTTCGGTCTAAATAAAGAAATAAACATCTGATTTGGGACTACGCACATAAAATGTAAGCATCAATGAAATCAGTCAACTGAGATAATTACCATTTGGTCACAGTAGCTCTTCCATAGCATATGAACTGTATGAAGATATTCAGCGCCTTGCTCAGAATTGCTATAGAATAATTGTTTAAATTGATTGGTACAGTTCCCAGCCTTGTGGTTTGCTTACTAACTTTGCAAGAATCTTGAACTGAAATTCTGTGTATTTGCGGCATTTTTCATATAACAGCTCGTATAATCCTTGTGCCTTGTCATATTGGCAGAGGTTTTCGCATAGCTAAAAAAAAGTGTAAGAATATTAATTGCATTAACTTGTTTAAATAGTGCTTACTTGGTACAACACTTCTAAGCTTTCCGGGCTAGGTTGATTCTGCTGAATAGCATGTATAGCGATTTCTAATCTATCCCAAGCATTTTTTTCGTAATAAAGTGGCAAATCAGGTCTTTCAACTAGTAAACATCAATTAACGTTCCCCTGCTTCGCAGAATGTTGCATTGTACCTTTCAAATCATATACAACCAATTTTTTATCAGATAAAATGGGGTGTTTTTCATTGTGTCGAAAGGAATTTGATAAGAACGTGCTGAAAGGCAACTGTTGTTCTTTATCTGGGAAAACATCTAGATCTGAAATGGAATCAAGACGAGGCCTTTTGATTGCTTCACGTTCAGTCATCAAGCACTATTGTAGGAGTATATCGAACGCTTGAAAAGAAAAAGATGTATTATTGGCGTATTAGACTGAGTATATAATACGTAGTGTAAAAGCCTTTAGAATTGGGACTACTAATAACCTCAGATAAAAACAGAAATTAACTATTGATATAGCGCTAGTACGGATTTAGATTTAAAAAGGGACAATTATTATTGTATAACAATTGTGATAGTGAGCACCAGGATTTTAGTTGTTAATTTAGTTTTATCATTCTAAGAATATTTCTGAAGTGATCTTAGACGATAAAATATATGGATAAGACAAATAAATGTAAATCGATAATAATACGGTGAGAGATAAGAAGAGAATATAGTTCTTAGTTCTTAGATGTAAAAGAGTAAAGAGTTTACGACGGGTTTATGTAAGAAAATGTAGTGATCATATAATTTACAATGGACAACAAACAGAAAAAAAAAAGCGGAGGGAATACTACTTAGTATCAATTACAAGGTAAATCCCAATTTTAGGTAAAGACAATACTAAAGAATATTTATTTAAAAGAAAAAAAGAAGTTTCTGCCGAATTGGCTAAAGGTTCCCCTGACGTATTGGACATCAATACAACAGAAATCCAATTAAGACTGGAAAATTGATGTCTTTGTGCAGGGTTTTGGGGAAGCAACAGGAATCCGTTGATCTCATAAAGGACATGGATGCTTTGATCAGCAAGTACTCAAACTATCGTTTAGATGACAGTCTCGCTCCAAAAATTGTCGAAATCCAGGTGATGAAATAGTTCAGCCAAAATCGAAAGATATAGGATTATTGAAGAGCGGTCGTCCTAAAGGCACCAAAAGAAACAAGCTTGGTGTGGAGCACGAATATGATGAAATATCTAACGAGTAAAAACATGCAAAAAAAAACTCAAGCAAGAACAAAAAGAAGTAGAAAACAACAAAAGCTAAAAAAATAAACCAAGTCTTCATAAACCATCAACAACCGCCATTAATAAGCTCATATTAAAGTAATTGTGTACCCTTAATAATTAATATTTCACGGTATCAATATCCGTATTTTTTTAGATACAAACCATCCGAAGCGGTAACAGCAATTTATTCAAGATGCTAGATAGTCGGTATGCCAATGATGTTCTTGGATTTGTTAATCCCATTCCCGATGGTAATTGTGAATTTCGTGCTGTCAGTGTTACTGTTTTTGAACACGAAGAAGCCTGGATCCAGGTCAAAGAAATGCTGTTAGCAACTTTTTCAAAGTATGCTAACTCCATTTATGACAGCTACGGCCTAAATGAATCATACATAACAACAAAACCTTTGTCAACAAAAGCGCCATGTCTTGACAATTTGTATCTTTGGTTTGACTGCTATGGCTACCCGCAAATAGTTGCTGATACGTTTAAACGACCAGTAGTATTGCATGCAACAACGCCAAAAACAGACAAATATGATAATCTGTAGAGGAATGATGACGGAAACGTCATTTATACCAAGGATGCAATAACTTTTGTACCACTTCTTGGTTTAGATTTGGAGAAAATGAATGAACCCATTATTCTTTTTTTTTTATCAACAATCATTTCTATATGATTGAGCTTATTGTTGACTCTAAAACCAAGAAAGCCATTATCCCAAAAAAATGGCCTACCGTCCATTTTCCTCGTCAAAAAATGTTCAATGCGCACCGTGACATCTGTGTCAACGACGTATCTTAAAATTATCAAAATAGCTAAATCTTTTTTTTTTTTTATCTTTTACTCATTACTTATCCTCATCAGATTTATCCTTAAAATTATGAAAAAATAAAAATAAAAACTTAGACAAATAAACATGAGATTTAACAAAAGCACAGTAGGAACAGTGTTGGCGTTACACTACCTTTTTTCCTTTTCTTTGGGCTTCCCCCCCCCAAACTCCCTCCATTTTTTTTTTACTGCCTTTTCCCCCTTTTCTTATAAAAGGGCCCCAAAAATCAAATAAACATTTCTTAATTTAGTCTTTACTTCACTTTAAACTGTCTTTAAGTTCCATCTTAATTCATACTTTTGGTTATTGAATATGATAAGATATAACTTCCAACATAAATCATCAAATTAAAGATTCAGTAAGCGCTAACAAAAGTAGATTTAAATTAAGCTTCTGGGTACTTTAATTTTTTTAGTTTTTGACGGCTTTTTATCATTCTGTATCATCTTCGTCCACTAGGTAGCTTATCCCATTTTCGGGCCGGTACCACTTTTCATACAGAGGTGGAATCGATGGAACAATCCAGCAAGAAGATTTAGGTCAACCATACCTAAAAGGTTAAAGCGAGTGAAGAAGGATGCTGCATGAGAGCATCGGTGTTCAAATTGTATTTTTATATGTTTAGTTTCACAGAGTATTAATAAAGATTATCTTTTTCTCGCATGAATAAAAATAATATTGGCCACGCCGTACAGCTGCGCCGCAACGACTCAAATGCCAGACATTAAGACAATTGACGTAGAAGATAAAAGATGATGTTTGTTAAGTATAATTGATGTCGTACTTATAAATCATATCACCTCCGCTCACCTATAAAATAGAATCCATAATTAAATTAAATAAAGTCATCTTTTATCTACTCTACTTTTATTTTATATACTAAAATATTATAACGACTATCACGACATTGAGAAATATATATCTGAGTGTTTTGTACTCCGACACATTTCGACAACGCACTAAAAAATATATATATGAGGCTACCAGGGGTCGAACCTGGAATCTCCTGATTCGTAGTCAGACGCCTTATCCATTGGGCCATAGCCCCGCATATGAATTTTTGAGTTTGTAAATGTATTATAGGGTTAATATTTAAAAATAAGTGACGTCATCTAAAACACGTGATTGTCACGCTTCTCGAATATGATTGGCTATTGACTGGATAGGAAATAGACAACTATATCTTTAATTTTATAATATATTATAATAAAACAATCTTTACTTTACTTAAGAAACAACTGTGTGCCTTAGTGTTAGAACTACCTGAATGGATAGAATGGACTGAATAGAACTGAATTGAATTGAATTGAATAACTGAAAAGAAGAACCAGTTCATAACATCATCGTATGCAACTACATCTTATTTAATACTTTTGATTGATTGTCTTGTCTCGGAACGATCACATCAAGGGGAACATATTGATTTCACAAACAACACCGCAACCGTATTAATGTGTCGGTCTTTTTGTGGGGGTGTTCTAGCTGATAAAACGTAAAGTGATCACATCACAGTACCGCGTATTATGTATGTAGCCCAAAGACAGGATTCTGGACATATCCTGTGTCCGAAAATACTGAGAAATTAGAAAATAAAAAACTAGCGATCCTACTTAATAACCATAGTTCAAACTTTAACACGTTGCAGACATTAAAGAAAGATATAGAAAAAAAAAAAAAAAAAAAAAAAAAAAAAAGTTCATTTGCTACATTTTTCCTTGATTTACACAAAAATATTGCCAAAACGGAGCTTGAATTTATTACTAGTAAAAAAGTCTTGATGCTTATAAGCAGAATCCCTTTTTTTATAAATATCTTGGAGAGTCTATTTTATAGAAAGAGCCCCTGGAATTTATCTGTTACAGTGTTAAAGAACATGTCTGTATAGTATGCGATAATATCTGAACGAAAAAAAAAGTAAAAGAAAAGAAAAAGCGTGGATATTATAGTGGTGACACGAAAAAGGAGTAAGTGTTGGCGTGGGTGCGCATAGGTGGAACGAGCCAAAGTCACAGTCCGTGACTTTTTTTAGTCTGGAATTATCCAGAAACACAATCCGGGACTGCTCATGTTAAAACTCAGAGTGAGTTTGCATGATTGCTGCGCAACTAAAAATTACGTGAAAAAAGGTATAAATAAGACCCATTTTTCTGGACTTCGTCCTTTTTTTTTTCTCTTCACTCTATTGCACGCCTGAAGGGAGGAGTGCTAGCGTTACCAATCGTGCGTCTGCGAAGCGTTGTCGGCATTTTCATATGAAGGCAGTGTGATCAAGTTGGGGCAAGGCCAGTTTCAATTTGTGAGCATAGTGTACCAGACCTCGAGCCTGGAGGGCCGGTAATAGGGGGGAACAGGTCTGGGGTGGCTCCCTGGGCTCAACCTATTCTTTAATGAAAATGAAAAAAACTCTCAATTATACTTATATCTAATGAAAATGAAAAATCATGCCAAAATTATCCTTGACTTTCTATTGGCTTAAATTTTTATCGATTTTATTTATTGACACTCCTCAGTGTTTTGTGTTTTGCTTGCTGGTTTGCTGAGAAAGTCTAGTTGTAGATCTTTGTAAATTAGTTTCAACCATTATTACCAACACCAGCTCTCTTTCTTTTTTACTCACGATTAAACTCATGGTACTCAGTTTATCCATAAGTGTTTGGTAAACATGAACGTGAAGCAACCCTCTTTCAATTATAAAATGCCTTAATTAAAAGCTCCAAGAGAAAAGATGCCAAATAGGCCAGCTAAATTTGCACGGGCAGTATTATAGCCAGCTTTGACGTTCGTGAGACGATAGTTGTCGATTATGAAATGGATGGGCTCTCCCACTTGGAATCAACACCCTTTTGGATTTTTTAAATCCGACAGCGTTTACGTGTGGCCTTGTAAGTGTCAAGCTGTTACCACATTTCTTGTGATTCTTTATTGGCTTTGACATTAACATTCTTTTATATAGAAAAAAAAAAGAGAGGTTGCTTTCAGATTCCTCCATTTTTGAGTATAAGATTAACGATTCCGTCAACGAAAGTATTATTTGTCCGGCTTTTTAATGCAACTGAAATTGTCGAGTACACACGTTTTGTCTGGAACTAAAACAGGTATATATTATCCATGAACATGAACAAGCTTTGGTAAAAATCTTAAACTGTATCATTAGCAAGAATAAAAAATAGCAAACAATTTTGCAGGCGGGGAGAATGTCATAGCTCATTAAATGTGAAGGAAATAAATACATCTTTTATTAAGGTTTTTTTTTTGATACAGGGAAAGATGTTGGTGACACATGTCAGCTCATAAACTTTTTTTTTTTTTTTTTTTTTTTTTTTTTTTTTTTTTTTTTTTACAAGTGAGAATAGAGGGGAACAAATTACTCTTTTTCGTCAGCATCGTCTAGGAAACCTCTATGATTTTTTCTACCAGAGACAAACCAAAAGATTAACGAAAAGATCATGACGCCGCCAAGCATGATGGAAGACCAATTCATGGATTCGGGAGACACAGGTGATACAGAAGGAATACAAAGAACCACACTAAAGAATATGATCCAGACAACCGAAATAATATTGAGAGGAATACCAAATTTACCCAGATTAAAGGGTCCCTTGGGCATATCGTTTCTCACCCAAATAAGTCGACATAAAAATGGCATACCATACGACACATTGATTGCAATCACGGCTGTACTCATAATAGCATGCCAGTAAATAATAGATCCAAATGTCTACAAACAACAATCCCGTCATTATTCGTTAATACACAATCATTTTACAGAAAGCCTACTATAAAACTTACGGGTAAAATAACCAAGATACTGATAACAAGTTGGGCAATCAAAGCTCTTTGAGGAATATGTTCTTTTTCAGATAACTTTGAAAAGTACTTGGAGTAAGGAAGACATCCATCACGAGCCAAAGCAAAAGCAAAATGACCCGTGGCTAACATGGAGTTACAAAGGGATCCGAGTTGAGCAACTAACAAAATCACCAAGAAAAATGCTGTCAATTGAGGACTGTTGGTAGCACGGACAAAGAATGTGGAGAGAGGCATATCAGAAGTCATAAGCTCTTGTACATCTTGAATAGAAAATAACGTCACAAGAATAATCACAAATCCTTGAATAACAGCAAATGCAACGCAAATAATAATACCACGAGGAGCTGTCACATCTGCTCTTTTAGCACCCTACACACGATCTTGTTAATCATTCTTTCTTTTATAATGTATACGTTCAAAAATAATGCCTACCTCCACAATTTGGGCACCAGTTTCGTAACCGACCAAAGTCCAACCTGCTTGAAGCTAATTTTTTTTTAAAAAACAGAAATTTAAGTTAAAAACTCAATCGTAGGCATATTAAAAGAAGTGTTGTTTACCATGCCGATAAAGAACACTAATCCGAGATTTTCGTATCCTGTGTTATTAGTAAACTCAGTAAAGACCCATTTAGCAGTGTTGTGTGTAGGTGCCATAGCAGGTACAACACATAAGATGACAATAGTGCCAATAGCAACCCAGAAAACTATGTTTGAATACAGTATTAATTTTACAGCCCTCACTCAATGAATAAAAAACAATGTCGGCTCTTACCTAAAAACTTGTTCATATTACCACTGGATCTCATACCCAAGAAATTAAATGCTGTTGCTGCAATAAAAATTCCAATGTATAATCCGACATTAGCACCTGTGGATGAGATTTGACTGATATTTAGTGTATTTGCAGTGTATATAATGAAATCGGCAGCACTGTATGCCAGTGTAATATTGGCGGTAATCAAACCAGTAAGGTAAATATAGCCGTTAATATACGACATGACTTTATATTTAAATAATGTAAATGTTAGTGTTCTATTTACACACATAAAAAATCGGTAGAAATTTCACTTACAAGGACCCCATTTTTTATTACTCAGTAATAATGACCAACTGAAAACGCCACCCTCCAAAGGATAGACAGAGATGATTTCTGCCATACTAAGAGCGATACAACAAACAAAGGGAGCCACCACGACCCATCCCCAAAAGAGGGAACTAGGTCCACCAGCACTGATACTAGGACCGAAGCCCACTAACCAATTTGGAAGAACACCCATTGTAGTAAATGCAAATCCTGCTTGAACAAAAAGACTTGTTTCTCGCTTGAATTCCTGCTTGTAACCTAGATCTTGTAACTTTTGAGCATCATAATCTAAATTATTCGACTCCACATGTTGGATATCTAATTTTTCAGCTGTCTAAAAAAGAAGATTTGGGGTTAATTAAATAGAATGGGTATTTTACAAGTTTTGATTGACAGTTTCTGCTTACTTTAATTGTATTATCTTCAGACATTTAATGAACAGGGTTATTGCAAGGCTTAATGTCAATTGATGCAAATTAAAAAAAAAAAAAAAAGACAGAAAACCCAAAACTCAGATTTTCTTTTTTATTTATATCAAGTCATTTACCAAACATTTTCACCTCTTAAAAAAAAAGGCTAATTCTTTTTGTTTTTTCACATTGATAAGAATTATCTTTTTGCTTAAGTTGTGATATTTTTACCTTTTATGGATACAAATTGACTTAAAAAGGAGGATAGTGCGACAACAGATGACAAACATTATTTCTTAATCAGTCAAACGTGAGCTCCAGAAAAATATAAGTCTTTAAACAAATGCATGATATTTTATCAGATAAATACACGCTTACGTTAGTCACAGTCATCATCCCCTCCCTCTTATTGATGTGATCGATATTGTTAAAGAGAACTTTTCACCCTTCCCAATCTAAATTCAATTTACAGATGTCTTTGATATTTAAAGCAGACAGATCACAATGTTAACTATAATGACACGTTTGCACTTAAAAATACTCAAATTATGTACAGATTGAGACTCTTTTTTTTAAAGTTTACAGATTAAAAGATACTGCTAATCAAGACAAACAACCCGTAACTTTGATTCATGCAACACTGTTTTTTTTTCTATTGTAAGGTCAGCTTTGTCATTTCCGCCTTGGAGCGTTCGGGACAATGTGAAAATAAGTTTGCATGAATATTATTTATACACAGGCATGTTTTATTTAGAGACCATAGATATACGTCAAAAAGAATAATCAACATCAAACATCTTTCCATCGTCTGTCAGTTTATCTAAGATAACGTTGCATCTTTTTATCTAGCATCTCTGTAGTTACTGTGCAAATAAAGGATTTCACTTTTAATAGGTATAACCTGTCACAAACTCTATCTTACTATTCTACAAAAAAAAAAAAGAAACCAAATTAGACTGAAGGAGGAATGGTGTACGTGAGAGAAAATGTTTAGACGAAATTGGGGAGCACCTCTTACATCCACTGTATACACACATACACAAGCAAGAAAAAAGATGACTTTAGTAACATTTGAAGGGTCGGGTGAGAATAATACTAGTCTGTAGGAAATTAAAGTTTGTACATGAGAAAAAAAAAATTTGATATGTTGCAAATTTATTCAGTATTAGTTTAGCATCAAAAAAAAAAAAAAAAGATAACAAACGACATTATCTTGGTGGGGTCATACACATCTTAACTTTTTTTTTCTTTTTGAATATGTCAATAAAACAAGTCTCTTATCTTTAAAGGTGTCTATTTCTTTTTTTTTTTTTTTGTATGGAGAGTTTAAAAGACAGAAGAAATAATTGACATGAGCCTTGCGTAGAAACGGTAACCCAAACATGAGCAAGTGAATTTCTTAATTCATGCATTACCCCTTCCAAGAGATATAGGTCACTTTTCAAAAATGCTGTAAAATCTAAATAAAACTTTACTCTTATGCCTTGATGATATCAAATACAGTTTCTATATATTCATAAAACAAAGCACACACACACACACCCTTTTTTGGTGTATTAACAGATATATACTGAGCACATGATCTATATTCAAAACATTCAACTTCACATACATGACCCCCCAAAATGTGCTACGAATAAGTGTAACATAACGAATACTTTTCTTGTTATCACAATGGAGGCTGATAAAGATGTTGTTTGAATAGTCATTGAGAAAGATACGAAATTCCATTAAACTTGTATAGATATCAGTGTATCTTGTGGTGATACCAAGGTATGATGTCAAAATCAATCACGGTATTCTCTTGAAACGAATTTTTTTTTTTTTTTTTTTTTTTTTTTTGGTGTGTTACGTGTGATAACTACATATTGTTATCTTTTGGCACGAAAACACTAAAGTTATTGATACGGATCTCTAATAAATGAGTATTACTCTTCCAGTCTTTAAAAATAAAAAGAAAAATGATGAGCATTTGTTGTATGAATGCTCTCAAAGTTTGACAAGCACAATAAAGTCACATCTACCTTTCAAAGGCACTTACAACAACAACAAAATAATTTCGGTGATTGAAAATATAATTGGTTCTTCTATTTGTTTTGTATCTTGGGTGTCACTAATTGTAATCACAGGAAAAAAAAAAAAAAGAGGGCTATGCTACTCAAGGAAAACTATCTCCACGATCCTTTTCTGGCATTTGTAAAGTACATTGGCTAGCATTTGTAAGCTGGCGTAGCACAATTGCTTGTTTTTGATAAAATCCATCACTCGTCAATTTAGGAAAGCATTTTCTCTTGATGTAATAAAAGGGCCATGTGATACTTTTTTTCTCTTTTAGAATAAAAAACTGACTACCAACTACCCGCTTATCAAAATAAAATAAAAATTATAAGCGATAGCTCATTAGCATGGTATTCTTTGTACTTGGTGTTTCTTGAATGTTTTAATATAAATACCCACCGTCATTTCATTTTTTTTCCCTTCTTCAATTATATCTCTTTCTATTTTTATTTTAAACGCATTGTTCTTACAAACTTTTTATCTTTTTTTAAAAATTTCTGTAATATAGTAACAAAAAAGGGATCATGACAGAAACACATGTATGTAAAGACAATCAATGCTGCTTTTTTTTTTATATTTATTTGTGTAATGCAAATTACCCAAATAGATTTAAAATGCAGGGTGTAGCGAAAAAAAAAAAAAATGCATTAATAAAAGCTGACATAAATACAAACTCAATAGATTCCCCAAGCAACCCAAGAAAAAGTGGATATTCAGCATGTAGAATCCAATAATTTAGATGTGGATGAACAACGATTACAAGATTTGGGTTACAAACAAGAGTTTAAGCGAGAAATTAGTTTGTTTGTTCAAGCGGGTTTTGGATTTTCTACGATGGCTGTATTACCAAGTTGGATGGTCGGCTTTGGTTCCAGCATTAACGCTGGTGGGCCAAGCTCACTTTTCTGGGGTTGGCTCGTTGTTTCCCCCTTTGTCATGTGTATTGCTTTATCCATGGTAAGCAAACAAGAGGAAACATGCTTGTGTATTTCTAACTTATTTTAAAAAACAGGCAGAAGTCATCTCGGCCTTTCCTTTGGCAGGTGGTGTTTACAGTTGGTCTTATCTCTTGGCTAACAAAAAATGGGGTCCATGTAAGTTCACCTTTTAAAAAAAATTTTTCAGCTAGCACTGAACTTTTTTCTGTTGTAGTCATGGCATATATCAATGGTTATGCCTATCTTGTTGGGTTAACTGCTGTGGTAATTACCTTGGCTTGGACATCGGCCACATTTATCTTTCAAATTGCAAACACGTTGAATATTACACAAATTTCATCTCAAGGCGCCAATGTGGGTTTATATATTGGACTGATTATTGGAGCAACACTTTACAATTTATTGGGTCTGAAATATAGTGCCTATTTGAACAAGTTTATGGGTAAAAAAAAAAAAAAAAAAAAAAAAAAAAACTCAAAAATAGAGTCCTCAAGAAAACTAACAATGTAAAAAAAAAAAAAAAATTAGTGGGTTGGGTTCTTCTTGGTACACTTATTATTATCATTGCTATTCCTGCTATGGCACCAACTCATAACTCTGCTACTTGGGTTTTCACTGAATTTACAAATAATACGGGTTATTCCAATAAGGGTATTGTCTTTTTCGTTGGCATGGTAAGTAACAAAAAGTTGGTTTGAAATAAAAAAAAAAAGAGGACAACAAATATTCATACTGTATTCCAATGTAGTTACAAAGTGGATGGGCATTGGTTGGTTACGAAACAGGTGCGCAAATTGTGGAAGGAACAAAAAATGCAGCAGTTACAGCCCCCCGTGGTATTATTATTTGTGTAGTAGGCGCTATTGTTCAAGGTTTCGGTTTGATTCTTTCGACTTTGTTCTCAATTCAAGACGTCGATGAGCTTTTGGGCTCTGACATGCCTGTAGCCACTTTCTTTTTACGCGCCACCAAAAGCCCCGCTGTCACCGCTTTCTTCTTGGTGATTTTGCTCATCACTCAAATTGGCTCCTTGTGTAATTCTGTCTTGGCAACCGCTCATTTTGCTTGGTCCATGTCTCGTGATGGATGTCTTCCTTTCAGTGGATTTCTTTACAAGTTGCGTGGTGAGAACCATATTGCCGCCAACAGTTTGTTTGCACAAATGGTAGTCTGCATCGTTATTATCTTGCCCGTAAGTTATTTTTATACACGATATAAGAAACCTTATTGTGTGTGTGAGTTCCCAACTAATATCTTTTTTTACGTAGTCATTTGCATCAGCAGTGTATTGGCAGGCTATTATGAGTGCAGCAGTGATTTCAATTAATGTTTCATATGCACTTCCATTATTGTGTCGAGTGATCTGGTCTCGTCATACGATGCCCAAGGGACCCTTCAGTCTTGGTAAATTCGGTATTCCACTCAACATCATTAGTATCATTTGGGCCAGTTTCTTTGGCGTGATCCTTTGTATTCCATCTGTTTCACCTGTAGCACCCGAAACCATGAATTGGGCTTCCCTCATGATTGGCGCAGTCATGATCTTTTCTGTGTTCTTTTGGTTTATTTCTGGTCGTCGTAAGTTTGCTGGTCATATCCAAACGACGGATAATGAAGTGACAAAAGAATAATACCCCCCCCCCCTCCCCTCCCCTTGTATATTAAAATATGTTAATTAATAATAATAATAATAATAAAAAAGACTAGTTGCTAGGTAGAATCCCGTATTTTAAAGAATGCTTGGAAAAGATGTGAGAATAATAGGTTCTATTGATTGGAACAGAAAACCAATTTCATATAATATCGGTTCAAACCCAGAAGTAAACTTGTAGGAGGCAGAATACGGATGGCTTACAGTAAAATTTCATTAGTATAAGGCATCTTTTAAAAGAAGAGATTCGTTCCAAGGGAAAGTAAAACTAGACGGCGTAAAATAAGCTTATGAACATGCAACTTGATATTTTCAATACCCTCACCACTTTCATGTTTATACATAATAAACAGCTTATGCCATCGTTTAAGATGATTATAAAACATGGTTTTTTCCTTTACTTCAGAATAGCTTACGGAAACTAGTGCCCATTTTTCTATTTATAACAAGAACATGATTGTCATTTTACGTAGTTATCTCTATAGGGAAGTTTAAAAAAGAGGTCAAATCGGACTTTGTGTGTCTCCGATAGAGTATCTATTTTTTCCTTCTTTTCTTTTCTTTTATTACCTTTATTCTACCTACAAAAAAAAACAACAATTATGAATAACCATAGATACGAACAAGTAAATACTTATTATGAGCAGTTTATTAGGTTTTTTGGGGGTTTTTTTTTTTTTAAATATATATATTTCCCATTAGGTTCCAGTAAATAATGATACACAGGTCAGCATGCCTCAACGATCTGATTTGGAAGACACTTTTGATCTCGAGGAAGAAGAGTTGGAACCCCAAACTGAAACCCACGGGTTGCTAGGTAGGAATACCGTAGGCCATCAAAGCATACCGATTCCCCATTCGAACGACGGTGTATTTTCCAACATGGCAGCCAAGCCCGAATCCGACTCGTTCAAACCCGAAGAAGTACCACCCGTAAGTTCTCTGTGTAACCCTCTCTATTCATCACTGACTCTCTCTTAAAAAGACATACGAAGAAGCGTCAGCGGATGCAACACCGCCGTATTGGCAAACTACGATTATTGCACCGTCCGGTATGGGTGATTCCATTCTAGTGGAAGGATTGCCGGTGGGAAATATCTTTAGCTTCTTTTGGAATATGATGGGTAAATAGATTAAAAAAAGCGTTATTTTCTCCTTACTAATAGGAAGGAAATGTAGTGAGTGCAAGTTTCCAGTTGGTGGGGTTCATGTTGACGTATTTATTACATACAACACATGCAGCCAAGGTAATGATTACAGGTTAATGTAAAAAGCGGATGACTCATAATATCATAGGATGGCGCGAGGGCTGGATTAGGAATTTCTTTAATACAGTATGGATTCTACGTGCGTAGCAGTAAGTCATCATATATCTCTTTTTTTTTTTTCCTAATTGAAGCTCACAAACGTAAATTAAATAGGAGGTACGTTAGATGAAGACTTTGACTATGATGGAGAAGGACATGAGACAGGACAAGATGCAACACAAGCAGAAATTGTTGCGTACTTGATGATGTTTGTTGGTTGGTTTATTATTTTAAGAGCTTTTTCAGATTATAATAAGGCCCGAAAAATGGAACGCATTATTACCGCAGAACCCGATGCCGATGCTATGATTTAACTGGCTCCCTTTTTTTTCCCTATTGTACATACTTCTTGTAATATCCCCCCCACACACTCTCTCTTCTGCTCACTTTAACATATCCCCTTTCTCTATAAAAATAAACAATTTTGGGAGGAGAAGCCAAAGCGTTATATTATACAAATGTTATAAAAAAAAAAAAATTGAAATGGTAGGGATGGGTGTCTGTGTGTGTGTATGTGTGTGTATGTGTGTATGTGTAAATGTAATCAATCCATTTACTTTCTAGCACTGTTTCTAGCTTCCTTCTCGAGGTTTTCCTTGAAAGCCTTCATGAAATCGCTAACGGGTTTAGCACCTATTTATTGATATATGCTTTTTTTTTTAGTCATCAGTTCAATATTGAACGCACTCTTTTAAATACCTTTATCAGTGATAGTAGAGACATGGTGGTGGGTCTTTTGTGCCATTTTGTTGAATAAAGGACTGGCTAAAAGACGCTCAGTAACAAAGCTGGAGAACCAGAAATTGGCAATTTTTTGGAACATTGTTTATAATGGAGTGAGGAAAAGAACAACTTTTTTTTCTACAGAAAAAAAAAAAAGGTATTTTTAAAAACAAAGTGCCAGGGGATAATAAAGTCACACTATTGAAATGCCGCTTAAACCAAAATCTCACACACATATATGAATATTCCAGAAAGTTTTTGATAGAAATCATTTACCCGAAACTATTTCTTTTTTTTTTCTCACACAAAGAATATATACCAAAATAATTAGATATTTTATTGCGATTTTTTTTTTGTTTGATGAAGAGTTTTTTTTTTTATGTTTTTTTTTGTTTTTTTTTTTTGGGTTTTTTGTAGAGTTATTTTCGTGTATGCATTTCTTTTTGTTTGGTTGCTGAAAAAATAAATAAATACAGAAACTAGGTTTGTCGGGTTAAAAAAAAAAAAAAATGAGATTTAGGAGGGAGAGGAAATAATGAAAAAGAAATCAATTTGTGGGAGAGAGCGGGGATCTTCTAAACTTATTTACAATTGCGGGAAAAAAAGAGAGAGAAAGAGTTGTGTGAGTGTGTGGGAGAGAATGAGAAAAATATGTATAATAATAATTGATTATGGTCTTGAAGATTGACCCCTTGGTGCCATATTATTACTACGACGTCCATTGCCTCTAGCATTATAACCTCCTCGTGTCGGTTGACCCTGTTGATATTGTTGTCCTCCTCCTCCTCCTTGTTGATATTGACCTTGTTGGTATTGACCATTATTACTATATTGTTGTTGTTGTTGTTGTTGTTGTTGTTGTTGTTGTTGCTGTTGTTGTAGTTGTTGTTGTTGCTGTTGTTGCTGTTGTTGTTGGTGGTATTGTTGTTGGTTATTATGATTATTATGATTATTACTGCTATTATTATAATTTTGTTGGTTAGGGAAAACTTCACGTTGCTGTTGTTGTTGACGTGTAGCAATAGCAAGTTGACGGTTGGGTTGTTGAACTTGTGCATCTTCAAGTGCATTGGGTGCTACGTAAAGGTTCTTATCAATGACAGGTGGGATAGGTTGAATCTCTGTGCCTAATTCACGCTCAATCTTGTACAGGTTAAAACGATCCTCATACGTGATTAAATTAATGGCTAAACCCAAATGACCAAAACGACCAGAACGACCGATACGATGCAAATATGTCTCAGCGTTCTTGGGGAAATCAAAGTTAATAACCACATTGACCGCTTGAATATCGATACCACGGGTTAATAAATCAGAGCAAACCAAGTTACGACAAACACCGTTTCGGAAATCATGGAATACGCGGTTACGATGACTCTGGAGCATCTTTGCATGCGAATAAAAGCAAGAGTACCCCAATTCTGTAATCTTTTTGGCTAATAATTCTACTCGGTTGGTCGAGTTACAAAAGATAATGGACTGGTTGATTTGAAGCTGTAATGTTTTGAGTAGCATTAGTACCACACACACACACACACATATATATAAAAAGTATAACTTACCTTTGAGAAGAGCGTGTTCAAGCAGTGAACCTTTTGCTTTTCTTCGACATAGGCATAGTATTGAGTCACACCACGTAATGTTAATTCGTCCATCAAATTGATTTCATATGGCTTAACGAGATATTTCTCTTTAAAGGTCTTTACGATCATGGGGAAAGTAGCACTGAATAACATGATTTGTCTGTCTTTAGGGAAATAACTAATGAGTTGATCGATGATTGGGGTGAATTCTGGAGATAACAATTTATCGGCTTCATCCATGACAAAAGTTGATGCTTCACTAAAATCAGCTACGTTCTTTGAAGCTAAATCTAGGATACGACCAGGTGTTCCTACAACAACATGAACGGGTTCACTTAAACGCATGATATCGTCCTTTAAAGTGGTACCACCTGTTGTAACCATGACTTGAATATTTAAATGTTTTCCCAAGTTCTTACACACTTGAGCTGTCTGAAGTGCCAATTCACGTGTGGGGACAAGTAAAAGCGCTTGAATTTTGGCTTTCTTGTTGTTGATCTTTTCCAAGGTGGGAATCACAAAAGCGGCGGTTTTACCTGTACCGTTTTTAGCTCTGGCAAGAATATCTCGACCGGTCAAGGCAATAGGAATGGCTTCTTCTTGAATGGGCGAAGGACGTTCAAAACCAGCTTCAAAAATGCCCATCAATAACTCTCGCTTTAAAAAATAATCTTCGAATTCATTGCCTTTAGTGGCAGTGACATCCTACAACATTTGGGACTTAGTCTTTCTTTTTTTGCTGACTCCCTTCTTTTTTCACCTCCTTACCTCGGTTTGCGGCCTTGTGTCCTTTTCGGGAAGTGAGAGACTCTTCTTCCAATTATCATTTTCATGGCTTTTTTTTTTTTTTTTTTTTTTTTATATATATATCGAGATGAGTTTTTCTTTATTCTCTTTCTGCGTCCTATAGTACCTTTACCTTAATTGTTGTTGCGAAGCCATACTGAAAATAAATAAAAAATCTTTAAGTCGGGTGTATCCAAATGGGGGTGATAGGGTTTTTATAAATGTAGAATAGAAGAGAAGAAAAAAAAAGAAAAAGAAAAAAAACGTATTCAACTAAAAAAAAAAAAAAAAAAAAATGATGACGACATTGGTGTTTTCTCAAGAGATTTTATATACCAGCGGTTTTTTTTTTCGAAGTGGAGGACTGCTTTTGCTTTGCTGTCTGATAAGACAATGCAAAACACATGTTTTATAAGAATGAAATCATCTAAAATAGGTACATATTTACATGGTTCAATGAAAATAGTAATTTTACCGATACAAATTGGCTTTTATTACAATAAAATATAAGTAAAAAGAAGACAAACAGAAAAACAATGAATCAATGACTATCTTTGTGTTGTAAAATTAGAATTAGCAGAGTGAAAGATCGCTTAAACTATCGATAGATTTCGGGTGAATGTTTGAGAAAGTGGGGTCGAAAGAAACTATTCAATTTAAAGGTTAGTAAAAAAAAAAAGCCGTAAAGATTTCAGTAGTATTGATGTTTACCTTCAAATACAGTGAACAGAGACATATCCCGCTTTAATAAATACACGTGTTTGCATGCGATATTGTTAAAGCGGAAGTCAGGGCAGCTGCAAGAGATCATTTGAAGATCGTCCATCACAACGTTATAACTTACATCTGAAGTTGAGAAAGAAGAAACACCATATACACTTCTACCATCAAAATCAGTAGTTGCAGTTTCAATCATTTGTTCCAGAGCATCAGCACCGATGGCCTCTGCTTGCATCTATCTAGCACGATGTCTTCTTTCTTCAGGACCCATTCCTCCAACTTTCAATAAGATACGACTGTTGTTGTTACCGTACTCAGGCAGAACATCCTTCACCAAAATAAACACCAGTCGATCAACCCTTCTATTTCCTTTTCTACCAAGATATGTTGTCTTCAACTGATTATGCCAACTCTCCACATAGTTGTTCGTCTCCATGTTTGTCTCCATGTTCGTCTCCATGTTGGTGTACATGGCCGGTTGGTATGCGGCGGACCATCGCATAAACGCATCGTTTTCCAGGTACCGGCTTTTAAAATACTGCAAAAAGGGCATGATATACAGAGTTTTCGGTGATAAACGCTGTCGATTTTCGCGTGAAAGACAGGTCTATCACGTTCCCACATCATTGTCTTTAGACCAGCAATGATCTTGTTCTGGATGGTGTTGTTGTGGTGGGGTATAACCAGGCTTGACCAATTGCCGGATTTTCCCTGTCCATGCTCTTGCTACATGGAACAAGCACCATTGTACACTTGCAGAAGGGTATACTTCTTGAATCGCACCCAATTCGACCTTACTGACATGTTTGACAATAGACTAATTTACACCATGTTTGAAAACAGGTTCTCTAAAAGTTTTGGTACACGTTCTAACATTAGGATTTTGCCAAAGCATTTGGGATGGGAGGACTTTTTGAGATTTTATACGAGTAATAAGAGAAGAAATATGTAAATTTTTTAAAAAGTTGGGTTTGTTTAAAGTCTGTCAATCTTTCCGGAGGGTAACCCAATGACGTGCATAAGTGTAATATTTTTTTTAACCTTTGTGAACAACTTTCGCTTTGTCACATATCACACAACTCACCCGCCAATGGTATTTCATAAAGCGAAGACGGAGACTGAAATAACTAGCATATCAGCATCACTTAGCATATCATCAGACTATATGTTTGAGCTAGGAAAATATTCGCTTAGAACTGGCTGATCAATGTTTATTGGAATGTGAATTGCCAAAGAGCTTTTTTAGTGTTATAAGGTGAGATAAACTATCGTACAAAAATGGATCCAAAGACTGGATACAGAATACAGAAGGTAAAGTCGCCTCCCACTCCATATTGTTTCTGTTATTGCTTTTATACCATAATGAGCTTTCCTCTGAGTTTCTTACAGCCTGAAAAAAACTTCAGTCGAGGTCTTCAAAGTAAATCAATGAAGAGATAATTAACACTATAGCACCATATCAATGGATCTGGTCAAGTCCGGTATAACTGAGTTCTACGACCTGCTAACTTTTTTTTTATGGGACGCCTCAAATTGTAAAACCCGTACAATGTCTTTTCACAAAGATGGATTGCCAGCCATTCTACGAGTATGCGCGTTTTGGGCGACTGTGTTTATTGGCGGTTGTATAGTGGCTACAGCGCTAAACCTGAAAAAAGCAGATAATATCATTACTGGGCATATCTTGAGGCGTCATGCTCAGCTAGAGTTTTTTTCTTTTGTTTATTTGTCCAATGGAGTGAGGTATACTAGTAATTTTTTTTACGGAAAGGCTGCATTATGAGTGTTTATTTTGAGGTGGCCAATTCTGATACTTAGAGTGTGCATATGAATATAATGAAAGCAACAAGCTCCTCGACACGGGGGACATGTCTGGGGGGAGAATATATCGTAAATATTATATATATTTTTTTTTTGAATTTAATATATTGACTTACCGAACTATCAACATATATTTACGATATGGATGATTTGGGGTCTACTGCAGGTCTTTGGAATCTATTTGGACGCAAGTTGTTATTTTTTTGCATAAAACTTGCAATAGAGTATATATTTCGAGCCGCGTTAATATCTCTATTCCATAATTTGTTACAACTGTTGCAAGTCAACAAATTGTGGATCTTTCCAATATCAGGGATTCGAACATTCTCCAGTGTTTTCAGCAAGCAGGAAGGATTGGAACACATCTAAATTAAAGTATTAATATCTAGTACAACAATCCGAATCGTTCATTATTTTACCTGTGAAGTAAGATACTCATCGGTATACACCAGAATTAGCCTTTCATCTGCACTTGCTTCTTCCATCTTTTTCCTTAGCCTATGAAGCATACCAGATTGCTTTCCTTTTACTGTCACGTTAAATACTGCATTTCCTAAGGCGATCAAAGGCACTTTCTTCTCGTTCTTGAAGGGAGCTTTCTTCCATTTCTGATTTTGAGTCTCGGTTGAAGGTCCGCTCGTTGTTACAGATACAGTTTTTCCCACCTGCAAAGTCAATTTTTTCTTATTCTTCTTTTTCTTTTTCTTTTCGCGCCTTTGCTTGTAATCTGCCTTATTTCTGCGCGGATGGGTTTTATTGTCCGGATTGTATTTTTTACCGCCTGAACAAAATATGTTTACAAGTTCATTATCCATTCTTTGCTGACCACGGTAATTAGAGAAACGAAGATCCGTAAATCGACCATCATAGAATTGTAATAGCGTGTCTAGATGGGTGAAGTAATATTGTAAATGTTGTTCAAAGATTGATAGCTTTGAAGTTCGATGGGTTGGAATATTCGTTTCAATTGTAGTAATCCCTTCTTCTTGCTTGAGCGAATTCATTGTTACCTGATTTTTTTTATAGCCAGCTTTAACGTAGTACTCCGCTGTCGATATGGACCTTATTTCATGCGCATCATTTCCATTTCCATCGCTCGCAACAAAGATGTCAGTGACACCCGGATCAGCACCCCACAATCTGACTACGTCTTGCATCTCCCATGTTTCAAAATCGTTCATTTCAAGCTTTATATCTTCATTGTCCTTGGGAACTGCAGGTCTGGTAAACAAAAAGTCAGCCGAACGCCCGTCCGTACAAAGTATATTACGCATCATGACTTTTCTTCTGTTAAGCATTTCAGTGACACTGCAATAATATAAAATGTTATTTTTTTATATGAACCAAAATTATAAGACAGAATCGTTACCTTCCAGATTGTCCTAGTTTTTTCAAATCAAATAGACTCATGAAGTAAGTCGAATCTCGGGCATATGCATCCAGCGATTGATCATAAATTGCAATACGTTTGATATTGTCAGATCTATTAACAAGAATTTTTAAAGTAGTAATATCAATTGTTACGTATTGGCGTTTCAGTCCGTAGTGAGGCATCATGGAAAACGTTTTACGGGAATGGTGAATAGAGAAATTTTCTGGTATAAAACAATCTTTTCTTTCGGGTATAATAACATCTGGGTCTCTGGTTTCAGGATCGGAGAGGTATATTCTTGACTGTGCTAACTGCAGACGTGTTGCTCCAACGTTTTCTTGTACTTTGTTAAAGTTCACTTCGGACAGGAATGATGGTTTACTTAAAGCAACAGGTGTTGTTGAATTAATAGCGTTTCGAATCTTCCTTGCCAAAGCTGACCGTCTTCTTTTGTTGATATCTTCAACTTCATTTTCACAGGTTATGCTCAACATATTGTAAACCCAAGGTAAAGATACAGAATCTTGAGGCTCCTCCGCAGCAACAGTTTGAGCCACATTGGACATTTCCGTAGCTCTTAAGATTTTAAACAAGCTTGTAATGACAATACCGGGATTTTCAGAAATTTTAGAGACCGTCAAAGGTGTATGGACGCTGCTAACCTTGAACATCATTATTAATGCCAGTAAGTATTCCGTGAGTGCAGGAGAGGACACAATATTTGTTGGCCAAACAGGTGTTTTGAGCATTGTACATTTATTAAACAAGTATTCCGCTAGAGCAACTTTTTCCGGTTTTGTGAACTTAAACTAGATACAATAATAATGTAAGTATATGATTAAGTAATTAACACAGTGGGTCACTTACGTTGGCCAGACAAAATATAAAATATGACTTCATTCTTTTTTCAAAACTTTCTACTACGTGATTTGAGAAAATTGTGGCACTCTGTGCTGCTAAACTAGATTGGGCACTACTGTAAAATATTCCGCCAGTATCGGTAGAAACTTGTGAGCCTCCCGGATACAGTAATTTGTACTGTCTGAAACTTTCAATTATATCGGCTTTATCAAACATTGTGTTATTACTGCTCATATTACGCCCACAAACCAGTTGCTGACAGGATTTGAAAAATACAGGAGAAAAAAATATCATTGGCAGCACCCAGTCTTCGTCAGCCTTGTTCTTTTGTAATAGCTTTAAAATATAGAAATTTGCGAATAACATTGATTTTATTGCAGTCTCGCGCATAAAGTTGACGAGCGTCAAAACGTTGTCACAAAAGATGGTCTTTGTTTCCTCATCCATATTGGAAGTAAGTGATGCCTTCAACCCAATTTTTCTGGTAAATGTTGAAGTGATTTTTGTCTCTAATGCAGCAGTTATTGCCTCTTGCTTCGTAGTCTGATGAAAAGGACACAATGGGGATCTAGTCGTGGTATGAGCTCTTTCCTCATTATAAACGCCTGCCTCTGTACATCGTTTACACTTCTTTGCGCCATCACCAGCTACAACTTTAGATTTCTTTTGAAGTCTTCCCGCTTCCTTCTCCATTTTTTTCTCAAAAAGTTCTTGGTATTTTCTGTTTCTGCTTTGCCTTCTTCTTTTAACTGGTGTACTCGGGCCAGGATCTTCAGCATATTCTAAAAAAAAAAAGGGTAAGTGTCATCACCAAAAAGTTTTAAATTTTGAGACATGTAATTTACCTTCGTATTCTCCTTCGTTATCCTCCTCTTTGTTTTCTTCTTCGCCTTCCTCCTTTGCTTGAATGGCCCTTTTCTTTCGCTCCTTCATCATTTGTATAATTTCACGCACCGATTTGTTTTTGTAGGTATCGTTTAAGCTCATAAGCAAAAAGTCAGTCAATTCAAAACAAAAAAAGTATGTAAAAGTGGAAAGGAGCACCACAAAATTTTAAGAACGATTTATTAAAAATTGACAGCTATCGCCGCGATCACGGTGAAAAATTGACCGCCGTCGCGGCGATTGTGGTCAAAAATTCATCGCGTTTTTGCTGGTTATTATTTGACCGCGATAGAAATTTTGCGGTGGAGGGATGCTTACCTCCGTAACGTACTTCTTAAATACTTTTCCAAAGGAGCCAACGGGTTCTTGGTATTTTTAAAAACGGTTCATTTTCTAAAAATAAATATCATGCAAATGTATTTTATTGTTCTATAATATTTGATTATGTTTTTTTGATTATGTTTTTTTTTGATTATGTTTTTTTTTGATTGTGTTTTTTTTGATTGTGTTTTTTTGATTGTGCTTTTTTTGTTTATTATGTCTCCGTTTTTTTTTATCATGATTTTTTTTTATTGATGCAATAAATTCAACAAGTCTTTATCTTGATACAGCAAATTTCAGAGAGCCCATTGTTTAAATGAGGAGACAGAACTGTATTCGATTGTCGATTAACTTTCAACAGTTAAATTAATTAATAGAAAGAAAAGCATATAATGAGCCCTTTTATATAACATTATTTTCATATCAAATATTACCCCATTGGCCAAATTTCTTATTGAAATTCGATAACTGTGGTCGGCTCCAGTGAATTTTATTAACCACCCATTATGAAGATGGTGTACTGAATATGTCCTTACATTCATGCCAAGTTAACAGCAACTGTCGAACTTTGAACTGCAGCCTTTGGATTCAGAAACTATTGGTCAATGTATTTAATAACAGCCTTTGGATCAAAAATATATTGGCTGCTGAGTGTCACTTTTAAATTCAATATCCAAAGGTCTGAGTAACCCCCAGATATGTTATCCCAGCCAGTTCCTCCTCCTTTTTGGCGTATTAGACGTAGTTTACGTAGTCAAGTAGCCTGAGAACTGGATAAAAATCATCAAAAAGTTACCATATACGGAATAAAAAATCACCATATATGGAACACATATAGAGTAACTGAAAACCCTTCATTTTGACCTCTCTTAAATAAAACAAGTACCAAAATATGCCAAAAGATAAATTGACAAAGAGAGACAAAGGAAAACAGAAAGATCTGCGAAGGATTTCAACTTCTGAAAGAAATGAGAATGACAAACCAGTCAATTGCAAAAAACTTTTCATCAGATTAAGAAGACCAACAGAATCTATTGAAGAAGGTGAATCCTCAAACAACAGAGAAATTCATAACAAAGACAACGATTTTGAGCAATCTAATGAGACTAGCAGCGTTTCAAATAAGCTCATTTTAAGATTGCCCAGACATGTTACGGAAACTAGCAGCATTTCAAATAAGCTCATTATTAGATTGCCCAGACAAGTTAAGGAAACTAGCAGCATTTCAAATAAGCTCATTATTAGATTGCCCAGAGTTCCTTTGAGAGCCGAAGCCGAGATCAATACAAAACTTGGTGAATCTTCAAAGATTAGTGAAGACATTGTGCCTGCGTCTGCTGAACATACAAGTACCTCAAACAATCTTACCATAAGATTACCCAGAGATGTTTTTGAAGTGATTGCCGAGATCAATAGAAAAAGGCCACGTCCTAGAATGAATGATCTCGAATCGTCTGAAGATGAACAACCAACCGAGAATAGTAATGAAGGTATGGGAAGGTTTAGACTGGACACCGAGGAATCTCCGAGAAGACGAGAAAGCCAGCATACAAACAGTGAAACAATTAGACCAGAAAATGATCGTCCCGAAACACGACGTGAGTATCAGCGCAACTATCAACGACAAAGGCGTCAAGCACCTATTGTAAGCAGAAATGAAACACAATCAATACTGGATACTGCATTTAACTCTGAAGCAATTATTTAATAGGTTTCATCATGGGAGGATACTAGACGAAAGTATGAAAAAAGCATAAAGGAGGGACCAACTTTAGTTTGCGTATGTTGCGGAGGATTGTTTTTTCTCAAAAATGTATCCCTGGTTGATAAGGAGACAATGCTATCGAAATGGAAATGCGAAAGTGACGTTGTAGAGGTAGCATTTTGGGCCGTTGATAATCATAAATTCGAGGATTTAAACAACGTTACGATTATGAAAGATGGCAACCCAGAGAAGAATTATTTCTGTTCAACCTGTAAAGCTTCTATCAAAAAAAGCAGAGTACCAACAATCGCTTTAAAAAATGGTTTTCATTTTCCGGATAAAGTAGCATGTATCGATTCGTTAACAAGACTTGAAGAGCGTTTGGTATCCCCTCGACATGTATTTCAGTCAATTTGGTCACATAAAGGGCTTTTGGGACAATACAAAACCAAGGGAGGCATTGTTAACGTTCCTGTTAATGTTGATACCACTGTGAGCTGTTTGCCTCGTAATTACGATTCTACTGGCATAATACATATCAGTTTAGCAAGAAAATTAATATTCACGAAAGATTACATAAAGGGTAATGTCAGTCCTGTCAAAATATGGGATGCTGCCCTATACTTGCAATCCACACCTATATATGTCGAATATGATATTCAAATTGCAAATCAAAATGAATGGAATGAAAACAACATAAATACAAATGTACCTGTTCAGACAAATGAGGACGATGATGACACTGTTGATGAACAAGGGATTGAACTTGAAAGCAATGAAACCAACCCTGCGGAAGATGAACCATTAAATGCAGGTACAACGGAATCGATTCTTACCAGTGATAATGATTTCACAATTCGACTTGCTCCTGGGGAAGGAATGACACCTATATCAGTTTTGACTGACAAAGATAGTGATTTCTTATCTTTCCCAAAGGTTTATTACGGTCATAAGCTGGAAGGGTCAGGGTCAGTTTCTTACGGCAATTTGGCAAAATCCGTTGTACGAAGGTTTGATAGAAGAGCTGCAATGCGTCCTGATCTACTTTTGTATATGGATCGCAAATGCTTGTTAACTAAGATGAGTTCGAATATCAGCACTATTTTAAGAAAAAGAAGCAGCAATGGAGCTGATGGCATTCCTTTTACAGCAAAAGACGTGTCAAATGAAGATTATGTCTCCAATCTTTTAAACAAGGATCAAGCTTTTAAAACATTTTCAGGTATCCGTTCATCATCAGAATATTGGAAGAACCAAAAGAAAAATTCTATGGCCATGATCAGACAATTGGGGGTTCCGACTTTGTTTGTAACTGTTTCTGCTGCTGAGACCAAATGGAACGAACTTTTATGCATATTAAAGAAAGTTATAGATGACGATGTTATGACAGAAGATGAAGCTGAAGAGTTATCATACGATGAAAAAGCCAGATTGTTACAAGCTGATCCCATCACCACAGCCAGATATTTTGATCACAGATTCCGAGAACTGAAAAAGACTTGGCTTGACAAAGAAGGGCCTTTTGCTGGATTTAGCATCAACGAGTACTTCTTCAGAGTTGAATTTCAACACAGAGGTAAATTTGGAATTATAATAGATTTTTTGCTGCGTAATTAAAATGTAATCAAATACAGGATCTCCTCACGTGCATATGCTTATTTGGTTGAAGGATGCACCCAAATTCGAAGATAAACAATGTGCAACTCGAGACGAAGCCGACAGTATGAAGAGCGCAATTTGTGAATTCGTTGACAAAGTAATTACTTGCAGCAAAATTTGGGATGGTACCCCTCATCATGATGTGGAGTCTAAAAGCACAGAAACTACCTGGAATAACCTCATCAAAACCAGACAAACGCATAAACATACCAGTACATGTAGAAGAAAAAGAGGGGGTAACGAAATCAAATGCAGATTTAATATTCCATTTCCTCCAATGGAACAGACCGAAATCATGGAACCATTGAACCCAGAAGAACATTCAGCAGATGAAATTAAGCAATTACGCGGCATAAATGCCCGTATCATGGATTACATCAACAATAATTATAAGACTTTGGCAGAATCTGAGATGTCGTTTGAACAATTTTTGGATGTAGTTGAGATATCATCATATCAAACATATGTTCTTGCGTTACGATCCACCTTGAAACTCAACAAAATTTATATCAAAAGAGCACCCAATGCTATTATGATTAATAACTACAACAGAAAAATTATCAGTCTCTTCAGATCAAACATGGACATACAGTTTATTATCGATCCTTACGCCTGTTGTGCCTATGTTTTAGATTATATAAATAAGACTGACCGTGGATTAAGTAAAACCATGGAAGATATATATGTCAAAGAGAAGGAAAATCCCAATTCAACCTCGTTTAATATGTTAAGGTCTTTGGCATCGACATACTATAATTCCAGTGAGGTGTCCGCTCAAGAAGCTGCATATAATCTTCTGGCCATCAGAATGGTTGAAGCAAGCACAGTAACAGTATTCATTCCTACTTCTAGACCTGAGAAACGGACACATATTTTGAAAGGAAAAGATGAGTTAATCAAGTTACCACCTAATTCAACCGACTGCTTTGTTCCTGGATTGATTGAGCACTATATCAATAGACCAGATACATTGAATTTTCTCAATTTGGCACAATTTTGTGCTTACTTTGAAATCAGTAGGAAAGAACCTGGTAAGAAATCAAGAACTGACGAAATTAACGAAGTTGATGAAACCAATGGCACTGGTGATGAAAATGACGAAAATTTGGGTTTAGAAGAAGAAAACGAATTGTCAGGGTATATCCTGCCTGCTGGTCCCGTTGGTAAAGTTTTCCAATTGAAAAACGACTCTGGGTTTCTTCGTCGTCGTGCAAAATCGAAGGTTATTAGATATTTCAAATTCAATATTGATAATGATCGTTCTGAGTATTTTCGAACTTTGTTAATGCTCTACCGTCCTTGGAAAAATGAAGAAGAGGATTTACTGAACGTTGACTGTGAGGACCTGTTCAATAGTAATATTGAAGAGGTCTTGGAAAATAAACAGGAATTTTGTGCGATTGAAGATTCAACCCTCGACTCTTATATGGATCAACTTCACGAAGAGCATTCAAATGAAAGTGAAGAAAATGAAAATGGTGAAAACGAAAATGACGAGGGTCAGTCTACTGGTGGTTCGACTCAGTACTATGATCAAAAAAATGATTTTGGAAGGTATACAGTTGATATTGATGATTCAAGTGAGGGAGACTACCATCGTAGTAACGACCTCTCGGATGATTTGCGTGAAGGGACAGCTAGAAACAACGATGGTCAAAAGACGTATCTTGAAAAGCTTTCTAGACCTGATAGACTCACCAAGTCCAATTTCTATGAACTAGTATCAAAGTTGAACCAAAAACAACGTGAGTATCTCATGCATTCTGTGAACCACATTAGGTATAATCGTGACAGAACTAC